CGCTCACGGCCGACGCCAGTTGCCGATTACGGGAAACGATCCTGTGCCTCCCTTAGGTCGACTCAACCTCAGATGAATACCTGGTGCGGTATGTTAATATCGCCACGGGGAGACAAAGGCGGCCGGGCGTGGAGTTGGCCACCCACTCCCTCGTGTGCCGTTCCGGCCTTCATATCCGCTTACTCGCGAACAGCGCTTGCCTCAATAGTCTGATAAGGCTACACGGGGGACGTTGGTCTTTGGCGGTGCCACCCCTGCGACCAGGTGGTGGTGGTGGCGGCGTGGAGGCGATAACGGCCGCACGCCCACGCCGGGCGAGGCGGTACGACGGGAGTCACTGCCAACTCTGTGACCATACACGGGCATCAAACTGCAACAGAGCTCACCCGTGCCCTTGCCAACGACAACCACCACCATCACCAACCAAGAGTTCGACAATGTCACCTCTTGATCCTCCCACCCCTTCTGGCATCGCGCTGCTGCTGCTGCTGCTGTCACCCATCCTGGAATCTCACCCAGACCCGGAGGGACGCTGCTGCTGCTGTGTGAACAAAGTGGAACAACGCGGACGCACAGAAGAATACACACCTCCTCCTTCGAGACCGACACATCATCGCACCACCTCCTGTGTTTGACATTCCTTCTTGAAGACTCCGGTGGAATCACCATCAGCTGCATCTGAACATCATCATCACAGGGCCCATGCTGCGCCATTTCTCTCGTAGATGGAACATGAAAGACACAACCACAGCGGTGCCACTATGGTTTTGCAATTCAAACGACGGACCTCACATAGTAAATCCATAAAACCACATACAGACTCACAGAGATACACAGAGACCCACAGAGATGCATAGAGACTCACAGAGATACACAGAGACCCACAGAGATACACAGAGACTCACAGAGATACACAGAGACTCACGGAGATACACAGAGACCCACAGAGATACACAGAGACCCACAGAGATACATAGAGACCCACAGAGATACATTGAAGACGAGCCACAGCAGTGCGGCTGTGGCCTTGCAACCCAAGCCATGGACCGCACAGTAAACCCGATGTTGTCCGCGCTCCTTCCACGGAGGAGGAGGAAGGGCGACACGACACGAACTCTCTCTCTGTCTCTGCCGAAGCCCTCCCGTCGTGCCAGCAGCAGCAGCGGGAGACCTCCACACTGAGGCCCTCTCGCTCCTGAGACAGACGCAAGAGCCAGCAGCAGCAGCAGCAGCTCAAGAGAGAGGACGCAGAGGTCCGCAGAGACGCGATGAAGACTGTGGCCGCGAAACCCAAACTATGGACCAAGGAAATAAACCACTCTGGCTTGAAGCCATCTCGCCGTGATAGCAGCAGCAGCAGACCTCCACACTGGGGCATCGATAGCTCCTGGACCAGACTGTTGCTGCTGCTGCTTCCATCACGACCACGTCAGTGTTGGAGATAATTCAGGCAACGCGAAACAAATGTTATTTTTTTTAGGCAAACCTCGACGAATAAAGTACATTTTATTATTTCTTATATCATTTATTGACCCAAAAATGTTGACAAATTAGAAAAAAACACAAAAATACTCGCAAATAAATTATATTGTGAGACCACGCAGCAGCAGCAGCAGCAACAGGCTGATTGATCATCGCGGTCCAGCTGTGAAATCTTGGCAGGCAGAACCCTCCTGAAAACAGTCTTGAGACTCAAAGAAGAGGCTTTTCTGAGAAAATAGTTGAGGGCATCACTGTAATTATTTGGTATATATATAAAATAATTCCGAGAATGTGTGAAATTGTAGTCATTGCAATTGATGGAAATTAAAACACGAACCGAAAGTGAATGGCACTCTGCAACATGAAAATTTATCGAATAATGTTTCGTTTTTATCAAATGTCGAGCCGTGTTCCTCACTGCAGGGCCCGCGGGCTACTGGCGGCCCCTGTGGCCTTTAGTGCGGCCCCGACAACCACACAACGAGCGGCAACACCTCCCATCATCACACCCCCCATCATCACACCCCCCATCAACATCACAACACCCCCCATCATCACACCCCCCATCAACATCACAACACCCCCCATCATCACACCCCCATCAACATCACAACACCCCCCATCATCACACCCCCCATCAACATCACAACACCCCCCATCATCACACCCCCTATCAACATCACAACACCCCCCATCATCACACCCCCCATCAATATCACAACACCCCCATCATCACACCCCCCATCAACATCACAACACCCCCCATCATCACACCCCCCATCAACATCACAACACCCCCCATCATCACACCCCCCATCAACATCACAACACCCCCCATCATCACACCCCCATCAACATCACAACACCCCCCATCATCACACCCCCCATCAACATCACAACACCCCCCATCATCACACCCCCTATCAACATCACAACACCCCCCATCATCACACCCCCCATCAATATCACAACACCCCCCATCATCACACCCCCCCCATCAACATCACAACACCCCCCATCATCACACCCCCCATCAACACCGCAACACCCCCCATCATCACACCCCCCATCAACATCACAACACCCCCCATCATCACACCCCCTATCAACATCACAACACCCCCCATCATGATCACAACACCCCCATCACAATACCCCCACCACCATCATCACAACACCCCCCATCATCACACCCCCATCAACATCACAACACCCCCCATCATCACAACACCCCCATCACAACACCCCCACCATCATCATCATCACAACACCCCCACCATCATCATCATCACAACACCCCCACCATCATCGTCGTCATCATCGTGTTGCTGTCAAACCCAACAATGGTTGCAAATGTGTGGCGGTCCTCCTCGCACTGGCCATGTCCTATCGTCATCAGCGCCCCCCCCCCCCCCCTCTAAAAACGAGTGAAGAACGCTGGTCTACAGTAGAAGCCTCCTTGTCGTCGTACTCCTCCGTACAAGTTGCTTCGCTCACGAATGTTGCAAACTTCCCCAGCCCCGTGGACGTCGATGGGGACCCCGACTCGCCAGGTGAAGGCCGCCACAGCAGCGGCGTCGCCATCCCACGAGGACGGTGGTCACCGCAGCGTCGCGCGCGACTTTCAGATGCGCTTCTCCTGCGGCCGTCTGGAATGCTCTTCCGATATTAGGAAGCCACTGGAGGCGAAGCGCTTTTAAATAATCTAGATGGAAAACTCATTTCTTTACAACGGCTTTTAGTGTGTAGTGTTGTTGTTCTTCACCCGCACCTCGGATTAGCGCGGTTGGCTACGTACGGTGCGAAAGACGCTCAACATGCAAAAGAGTGTGGACTAATTTCTATCTGTCACTTCTCCCTTCTGTGTCGGATAAAGTGTTGCACCCTCGCACGCGTTTTTTTTTAACTCGTGCTCTGGTTTTCCTCCCACATGCGTAAAAACACACTCATGAATTTACTGAAATCAGCTGAATATATAGAGGACCGCAGAGCTTGGGTAATTGTTGGTAGCGTTAGCAACCAACAATTGTGAGCTCCTCAGCGACTGTGAGTGATGCAATCTGCACGGACGACGGCGCTCCGATGTATAACGCCAACTCATCTTGTTACAATTCTCTAACGAGAGATAAGGATCATCATCATCATCATCGTGATACCTTGATGGCCTAATGTGCTGTGGTACGTCACGTGTTTTCTCCCCAGGGTGGCACTACAACTCGGATTGCCCGACGCGTAGCGTGGTGCGCTGACCACTGCGCCACCGCTCGCCGATAGAGGAGCGGGTTTCACGAAGTTCTGCTCTGGGAGATAAGCGGCGTTGGTCGTCGAGGGCCGCTCTAATCGCAGTGCTCCATCCGTGCTGTGGCGCTCCGCCAATCAGCCCTTCCATCTGCTGGCGGGCGGTCCACGTGTGTGTGTGTCGTGTGCGAGCCTACGTTGAACTTATACTGGTAGGAACGAAGTTGTAAACTGAGTGTACCAGCCTGCAATAGATTAATGTGTCCGTTCGTCCGTCCCCTTTCAATACTTTAACGAAGTGAAATCTCGTGCTGTTGGGGTGTAAAAATAAAATTGCGCAAAATTCCAACAATGTTCCTACCAGCCCACCCTGCAGGGACCTGTTTTCGTACCGTACCCAGCCAACCGCGCTAATCGGAGGTGCGGGTGGGGCAGGACAACAAACTAAACACAAATAATATTCTTGGTTCTTTCGCTAAAGTCACCTGATGATGATTGCTTGTGTTGCAGTCGAAACGTCGTGAGAATTGTATTTTTTTATATTTTTTATTATTTTATTGTTTCCCTTCTTCGTGGTGACTTTACCGAAAGAAGCAAGAAGATGAATCCCTGCAGTCACGACAACTTTAAATCAAAATGTAAACACAAATCAGTTGTACAGAAATGCGTTTGTCAATCTAGATGGTGATTTAAAAGTGCGTAGCTGCAGTGACCACCGCCTTTGTTCGATGGTTAGCAGCCAAAGGCGGCTGCTGCTGCTGCTGCGACGATGCCCGGAGTTGGCGCGATGGTTGATGCTGCCTCCTTGAGTATTGTGTGGGGAGCGGCAGTGTAGCGGCTTAGGGCGCTGCGCTACAAACACGGCAACCAGAGTTCGATTCCCGCTCACGGCCAACACCAGTGACGATTATCTCAATCGGTCCTGGGCCTCCCCTAGGTTGTCTCAGCCTGAAACGAGTACCTGCTGCATTATGTAAACATCGCCACTGGGGAGACCAAGGCGACCGGGCGTGGTGCTGGCCACCCAGCCCCTCGTGTGCTGTGACAGCCTTCATAGGTGCTACTCACCAACAGCACTTGCCCCAACAGTCTGCCAAAGTCTGCCAAAGTCTGTCACAGGCTATACGGGGGATATTTGTCTTTGTGTAAATGCTTCGGTTGTGCCTCTTTGTGCTCTCTCTCTTTCTGACTTCTCCCCCCCCCACCCCCCGCGACTCCGCCCCTCGCGAGTCGTGAGCCCCCACCCCTGAGCAGACTAAGTCGCCGTGGAGTGCGCGACTCGCGGTATAAAACGGTCAGCACCGAGCCACTCCCAGCCCGGATTCACCTCTCACCTCGGCCTCTTCAAACGGTCACGCAGTGAGACTTCCCGGCTCACAGTGAGACTCCCCGGCACACAGTGAGACTCCTCGCAGTGAGACTCCCTACAGTGAGACTTCCCGGCTCGCTCCGTCTGCTGCTCGCCCTGTGAACGTCCAGGAATTGACCGCCTCTACCTCGTGGGTTCTCAACAACAAACGACATGGTGAGCCACATGTGCAGAACAGCGTACGGTACTGGACATCTGTGAAAAAGAGCTTAATCGCTCATCGGATCCCTCCTCTGGGAAAAATACAGATTCTGATTCTCATGTAGCAGCAACCTCCTGACAAGGGTCCTGAGACTCTTGGCTAAACTAAGGAGGGCATTGTTGTTTTAATTACAGTCGTGTTAGAATTGTCAGGCTGCGTGGCATTGTAGGTTACCGTCCATGCGATTTGGGGAGGTATTTTAGTCTGGCAAGCACAATACATTCCCGCTCACGGCGAATAAATAAATAAGTGGCGAATATTTGAAACGGTCCTGGCGCCCTCCGCTAGGTCGACTCAGCCTTAAATGAGTACCTGGCGCGGTGTAGTAAATATCAGCACCGGAGAGCCAAAGGCGGCCGGACTTGGTGTTATCCACCCACCCCCTCGTGTGCCGTGCCGGCCTTCATAGGTGCTGGGGCTAACAGCACTTGCCCCTACAATCTGCTACAGGCTACACGGGGGAGTGGGGGAGGCGTTGTCTCCGTATAACTTGATTGACACCAGGCACACATTTGATGTGCGTATTACTTTCCGGAGCGTCTTATAATCCATAGAATACGGTCATAGCTGATTCGTTAATTTAGGATGGTTTGTATCTATGTATGTTGACCGCACGTAGCCAACCGTGCTAATCGGAGGTGCGGTTTATAAGTGGAGGTTACGGTAGTTTGGAGCACGCCACTAACGCGTGGTGGTGGTGGTGGTTGTTAGCGCATTGCGCTACGAATGCGGTCACATGAGTTCAATTCCAGGGCCACGTCTAATATCAGCGGCGAGTCGTATCTGAACCGGTCCTGGTCAACGCGGCGTGGGGGAGGCCTTCATCCAGCAGTGGATTGAGAAATGGCTCGCTGATCTCGTCAAAGAGCTATTTTCCATCACCACGCCAACTCATCCGGTCATCATCCTCGCAACAGCAGCGGCGGCTTTCGGCTGCTCGCCATCGAACAAAGGCGGCGGTCACCGCATCATAGCGCGGCGCTTTCAGGCGCGCTTCCGCGGCCGTCTGGAACGCTCTTCCCTTCCGTTATTAGGAAGCCACTGGAGCTATGCACTTTTAAATCAACGTTCAGATCGACAAACTAATTTCATTAGAACTGATTTTTTGTGTTTAGCTTATTGTCCTTCCCCCGCACCTCTGATTAGCGCGGTTGGCTACGTACGGTGCGAAAGAAGTTTAAGGTACCTGTACATACAAGGTTTATTATGAGTTATCCAGATCGTTTTGTCTCAGGATGCAACTATAACTCACATTGTGTGGCGATGGCGGTGAGGCTGCTGCTGCTGTGGTGGCAGTGGTGGACATGCCGAGTTGGCAACACGCGTCAATAATTATGCTGTGTCCTGAAAATAAGTAATGGGCGACGTTTCGGGTAAGGGACCTGCTGCACAGCACATGAAAGTCAAAGCCGTTTTCCTTCTCAAACAAGCTTGGGTCGGTACTGTGCTCATCTCGGTTTGTGGTCCCTGAGCCAGTGATGGAAATTCCACATTCCTATGGCCGGGAGCTCAGTGTTGGCATCGGACGACCACGGCTGACTTTCGCACTGAGTGGACACAGTGCTGTTCTCATTTTATTTACTGCAGAGGAAATATGGAGGGGAGCGGAGGGGGATATCTGAGCCCAATTTATGACCATCCAGTTATGAGGAGAGTGCTCTGGCCACAGCGCCACACGACCCGGAGAACGCTCACTCACACTAATTAATAATTCATTAACAATAATCAATCAGCATTAGTTTGTATTATTAATCAGGGTTCGTCCGTGCGCTACCCTGTGGTGAATCCATTGTTCGATTAACAATGATTTGTTTCGGTGAGTGTGCGCGCGCACGTTGCGCTACGAACCCGGCCACCCGAGTTCGATTCCCGATTACGGCCAACACCCGGTGACGATTACTTGAGCCGGTCCTGGGCCTCCCCTAGGTCGTCTCAGCCTCAAATGAGTACCTGGTGCGGTGTGTGGTAAACATCGCCACTGGGGAGACAAAGGCAGCCGGGCGTGGTTGCTAGCCACCCACCCCCCCGTGTGCCACAGTGCCAGCCTTCATAGGCGCTACTCGCTTACAGCACTTGCCCCAACAGTCTGTTACAGGCTATACGGGGGGATCTTTGTCTCTGTTGTTTTTGCACGCACAGCCCCAGCTTTGGTCGAATCCACTGCTGGATGAGGAGCACCTTCCGAGTAGCAGCCACGGCCTTTTGTCGCCACGGAAATCAGAACCCGACTCTTTATATAGACTGCAGCAGGAGAAATCCGATGAGCTATGAAGCTCTTTGTTCACAGACGTCCAGTCGGTAGGGGTGGGTCAGCAATCTGCGTTTCAGCATCTGCAGAGTCGGTGGCGCACAGCGGGTTACGACATCACAACGCGCAGGGGGCAATACGGCCCCAGTGTCTGGGCTCGTGGAGCCCGACTAAGGCACCTGGAGGAACCTCACGGGGCAGCGGCAATGCTCAAAGCTCAGATGGCCAGACGAGGCGACCTTTAGCATGCTTAGGGTTCAGTCCTAATGCCCGAGGCTCAGCGAGCCAGATTAAGGCAACGTTGGGGTTCTTGGGGTTCAGTGTTAATACCCGATGCCTCGGGTTCACTGCCTCCCAGTGTTGGCTGTACTGCTGCATCTCACCCAGCGCCTCACCCCACACCTCACCCCGCGTCTCCCCACCTCTCACCACACTTCTCACCCCATGTCTCACCCCACACCTCACCCCGTGTCTCTCCCCACACCTCACCCCACGTCTCACCTCACCTCTCACCCCACGTCTCAGCCCTCGTCTCACCCCACATCTCTCTCTACACCTCACCTCTCACCCCACGACTCTCCCCACGTCTCTCTCCACCTCTCTCTCCACCTGTCACCCCACGTCTCACCCCAGACCTCACCCACACCTCTCCCCGTTTCTCTCCCCAAACCTCACCTCACCTCTCTCTCCACCTCTCACCCCACGTCTCACCCCACACCTCTCCCCGTATCTCTCCCCAAACCTCACCTCACCTCTCTCTCCACCTCTCACCCCACGTTTCTCCCCCCCCCCCTAACCCACCATGCACGGAGCGCAGCGCGAGTGCATCTCCGTGCACATCGGCCAGGCCGGGGTGCAGATGGGCAACGCGTGCTGGGAGCTCTACTGCCTCGAGCACGGCATCGGGCCCGACGGGCGGCCGCTCGACGCGACGGTCCCCGTTTCCAAGGACGACTCCTCGTCCACCTTCTTCGGCGAGACCGACTCCGGCAAACGCGTGCCCCGCGCCGTCTTCGTCGACCTCGAGCCGTCCGTCATCGGTACGCGGCCCGCCCGCTCTCGCTCCTCTCGCGTGAAGCCGCCGATGGAAATTCCACGTTGCTATGTCCGAAGGTGGCGATCGGTGCGGGGAGCGAGTCTACCTGCCGGGCGACCACTGTTGATCTTCCCGTCGAGTGTTTACTCATTTTATCGGCCCCGCAGGGATGGTGATGATGGTGACCCGAGGCAACCACGAACCGGGATTTGAACTCAGCCGCGTTCCGATCGCGAGCCGCTCGCTGTGGTGCCGCTGAGCCACGCGGCCAGGCGCAGCAGCGCTGCGCTCGCAGCTCGCAGCGCTGTTCGGTCGCCCGCTAAGAATTCGGATTCTTGCACAAAACGATCCCTTCGGGCTTTCTTTTCATTTCAATCTCCCCCCCCCCCCCCCCCATTGTCATTGCGTCCACGCGATCAGCGTCTCGTAACGAGACGGAGAATCCAGCAGGAAATCTCGCAGCGTCCAACGCGCCGTGCCCCGCCGTGAACAGCTGGCCAGGAGATGTTTCACAACGGTCAGCGGCGCCACTGGCCTTGCCGCCCAGAGGGCGCCGATTCGATTCCACATCCCGGTGCGGCCGTTGAAACAATTGGGGGAGGGGGAGGGAGCACGTTTCTTAAATCCCCTCTCTCCAGCGCAGCGTCTGTCCACACAGCATCAGTGGGACCTGCGTTCACCAGTCGGCAGGTCGCGTGTGGTGGGGTAAAGTGTGGGTACTTCCATCCCTTCCAAAACGTCTGACCAGTGTGGAAGAGTAGGCCCCGACGCATACTCTGGATGTGGCTCCTTATCTATAGAAGCTCCCACTAAATTGGAGGCCCCTTCCAGCAGCAGTGACGTGAGCAGGAAATTTCAGGGCCGCGCCTTTATCTTTTGTTTCTCAGCCAGCATCCGAGGGCCGCATTGACCTTCAAATGCAAACTGGGATGTACGCACCACGTGTGGTCACATTCTTTCGCACTGTACATAGCCAACCGTGCTCATCGGAGGTGCGGATGCAGGCAAAGTGAGTGGGGGGGGCACGTGACTGCCTGTAACCCAGCGCCGTGGAGGCAGCGGTGAAAGTTGATGGATAACCGCACAGATCTTGTTAAACCCCCTCCTCCCCTTGGGGTGTCGAGAGGGTGCCCTACCCTGGCTCGCCAGGAGACGGTGGGACAACAAATATGTGGACTCCACCTGTTCCATCTGTATGGGATCGAGCGTTGACTTTCTTTGCATGCGTGGGTTTTTTTCTCAGGGTGCTACGGTTTTATCCAACGCGTAAAAACACTCATATATTGGCCGGTAACATCTTAAAATGTAGAGGACCGCAGAGCTTTGGTGGGTGAATTTTGCACGTGCTCACCGTGTGGCTGCTGCTGCCTCCTCCTGGCGTGCAGCGCGTCACACATTGAAATGACAATAATTAATAATTATTAACTATTATTATTAATTGCGGGGCGGGCAGGAGGGGTTGGTATTTGCATGGCGATTGCGAGATTCGAGGAGGAAGCATCTGGGGCGGACTGCAACCACAGGAGGAAGCCGTGGTTCTCGCTTCTGCTGCATCGAGTGCAGAGCGCCACAGTGGCTATGAGATGTTAACTACCTCGCCTGGTATGCAGGAGGTCGTGGGGTTCAATCTCGACCCTGACGATGCCTGTTGTATATTTGGAGTCTGCGTGTCTCTCTCCTCGTAGTCGCGTGGATCCCCCGGCTTTTCCCTCACCATTTATAATCAACATCACACGTTTAGAGTATTTGGCTGCTATAAATTTCCGCATTATGACGATAAGCCACTTTGTTGAGCTATAATTTGTGATGGCCTGGTCGCTTCTGAAAAAGAGCTGTATAGCTCAGTGTGGCCTAAGCCTGGTAAAATAAAAATAAAAGTTAACAAAATCGTGTAAACAGAGGCCCGCCCGTGCGGGGGGGGGGGGGGGGGGGCGGTGGTAAAGTGGGCAATCGCCCTCCACAAACCCTCGCATTGTTTAGACAGCGCATGCCATCTAAGAGACAGGTACAAGTCACGTGAATGCAGCCTTGCGCAAGACAATCATCTGGCCGCTCACAAAATGTTCTGCTGGCTGCGGCCACTCCGTGTGCGCGGTGCCCCCCTCCCCCCCCCCCCGCCTGTGTGCCCGTCCAGGTGAGATCCGCACGGGCGCGTACCGCCAACTCTTCCACCCCGAGCAGCTGATCACGGCCAAGGAGGACGCGGCCAACAACTACGCGCGCGGCCACTACACCGTGGGCAAGGAGATCGTGGAGCCGGTGCTCGACCGCATCCGCAAGCTGGTGCCTACCACGTGGCACCCCGTGCCGCCTACCACACACCACGTGCCGCCTACCACACACCGCGTGCCGCCTACCACGTGGCACCGCGTGCCGCCTACCACGTGGCACCGCGCAGCACCCGCGGCACCGGCCGTGTCAGTGTCGTAGCCAGCGTCGGCGTCACCGACGGTGCCAGCGCTGGCACCGTCATGGGCGACAACGTTAGCGCCAGAGGAGGCTTCAGAATCGGCGTCAACACGAGCATCAGAATTGTCAGCAGCAGCAGCAGCAGATGGGTGTCCACAGAGCACGACCTCCGTCTAAGATTTCCGATTGGAAGTTTCCATCTCAGTGCCGAGAGCAGCGGTCACATTTGTCCAGAATTGGGCCGCTACATTTTTGTGGTGCTGTAACCGTTTACTGCTGGCAAAGACCGCCGGCGCCGGGGCTCCTCACGGCTAGAAGGGAGGAGGCGGCGTCCGGCAGTCGAGACGAACCACAGCGCGGCAGCAACAGACAAGGGAGGGAGCACGAAGCGGGGAGACGGAGCGACGAGATCGGCTCGCTCGCCGGTGCTCGACGGATCGTGGTGTCGCGTGAGCGATGACGATGGGGGCTCGGGGGGGGGGGGGGGGGTGGCCTCCATCCAGCAGTGGATAGAACCTGCCCGATGACGACGATAACGTTACCCGTTGCATGTGCGTCCTCCCCGCAGGCCGACAACTGCTCGGGGCTGCAGGGCTTCCTGATCTTCCACAGCTTCGGCGGCGGCACCGGCTCGGGCTTCACCTCGCTGCTCATGGAGCGCCTCTCCGTCGACTACGGCAAGAAGTCCAAGCTGGAGTTCTCCGTCTACCCGGCGCCGCAGGTGTCCACCGCCGTGGTGGAGCCCTACAACTCCATCCTCACCACCCACACCACGCTGGAGCACTCGGACTGCTCCTTCATGGTGGACAACGAGGCCATCTACGACATCTGCCGCCGCAACCTCGACATCGAGCGCCCCACCTACACCAACCTCAACCGCCTCATCGGCCAGATCGTGTCGTCCATCACCGCCTCGCTGCGCTTCGACGGCGCCCTCAACGTCGACCTCAACGAGTTCCAGACCAACCTGGTGCCCTACCCGCGCATCCACTTCCCGCTGGTCACCTACGCGCCGGTCATCTCGGCCGAGAAGGCCTACCACGAGCAGCTGTCCGTCGCCGAGATCACCAACGCCTGCTTCGAGCCGGCCAACCAGATGGTGAAGTGCGACCCCCGCCACGGCAAGTACATGGCCTGCTGCGTGCTCTACCGCGGCGACATCGTGCCCAAGGACGTCAACGCCGCCATCGCCGCCATCAAGACGCGCCGCACCATCCAGTTCGTCGACTGGTGCCCCACCGGCTTCAAGGTGCCGTCCGGAGCGTGGTTGTGGCTGGGTGACTTCGCTATGCCGGTCGGTTGCCGGTTATCGAAAGTCGGGGGAAACCGGCCGGTGGTCGATGGCGGTGGAAGTTTCGTGACGGATGCTCGGAGTGAAACTTGCCACTGTTGTCCCAATCTGCCAGACGCGAGTTGCCGCGAGGCGAGGTCGAGCCGTCGCCCTCTCCGGGTGGAAACTCGCGTGGCGCGTCGCTGTGGCAGCGTCCTTTCATTTCTCGGCTACAAAGGAAAAAACTTTGTGGCTGAAAATCCATTTTTTTTAAAACGTTTGTGGCCCTTCCCCCGCACCTCCGATTATTACGATTGGCTACGTACGGTGCAAAAGAAGTTCAACATACACGCATACAAAACTGTTGCGTGTCTTGCTTTAGACATCTCTACGTGTGTGTCAATCTGATAACCGATAATTATCTTGGGTCTCGCGGTTACCTTGCCGATGCAACGACTGTGGAGCGACTTGGCCGCTCGCCACGGGGTTATCGGCGCGTGAAGGACAGGGTCTCTGAGTGGCGGCGGTGCAGTCCGCATTGCCGTGTGGGTCACAGAGCTGGACATTTGACCCGAGCGGCTTGATAATAAATTCCAAGTTTCAGATCGACTTTGTGCGTAACCAGGTGGGGAAAAGCAAAACAAACTGCAAGCACCGCCGGATTCTGGTGCACGAGCGCAGGGAGTCCGAGAGGGACGCTCAGAAACGATCTTAGCAAGACAGAGTGGAGGGGACGTGGCGGGCGAGGGACGTCAGTCCACAGTCGTGGCTGCGTCGGCTCGACCGTGGTGTTGCAAAAGAAGCGCGGAGAGAGTGGTGGGCTCCGAGTTACACCGAGCGACGGCAGGAGGGTCGCACACGGATGTTGGGAAACTTCCCTTCCGTGGGCGTCGAGGAGGTGCCACTGCTGTATATGGGATCGAGTGTTGCCACCTCACACCCGTTGGGTTTACTCCGGGTGCTCCGGTTTCCCAGAGCTTGGGCAATCGTTGGCGCCTGGCTGCTGCCTTCCCGCTCGTCCGTGGTCCCCCCTCGCGGTGCGTGACGAATGATCGTCTCGTATTGCACCTCGCCAAACCCTATACTAAACTAAAACGACTAAATAATAAACTGTTTTTTATTTCACCAGGTAAGGCCCATTGAGCTACAAGGAAGTGGCTTATTGTCACGTGGAAATGTACAACAGCCAAAGTCACGTAGAAGGGAAACAATAAAATAAGAAATATTATTATTATGTTATTGTTTCCCTTCTACGTGACTTTACCGAAAGAACCAAGAATATGAATCCCTGCAGTCACGAAAACTTTAAATCAAAACAGCCATATACTCTGAACGCGTGATGTTGATTATAAATGTGGAGGACAACACCGGAGGACCCGGAGAAAAATCCATGCAACCGTGGGGAGAGAGAGAGACACGCAGACTCCAAATATACAGCAGGCATCAGTCGGTATTGAACCCACAACCTTCTTCATACCAGGCGAGGTAGTTAACATCTCCTAGCCACCATCATTACCAAACATGCTGGCAACAAACACGTGTGCCAAGACTCAGCGAGGCTTCTCCCCATGTAAATATATATTACTGGCATTAATACTAATCAACAACGAAATATCGATGATGGAACATAAGGAAGAAAAAATAAGCCCAAGTATAACATTGTCAAAATGCTGCTTGGTCTTCCTCCGATTGGCTACTCGCTGGGTTCATCGCGCAGCGCTCTAACCACTGCGCCATCCACCTGTCACCCTCCCCGGCACGCCGTGCCAACGCAGGTTGGCATCAACTACCAGCCGCCCACCACGGTGCCGGGCGGCGACCTGGCCAAGGTGCAGCGTGCCGTGTGCATGCTAAGCAACACCACGGCCATCGCTGAGGCGTGGGCCCGGCTGGACCACAAGTTCGACCTCATGTACGCCAAGCGGGCCTTCGTGCACTGGTACGTGGGCGAGGGCATGGAGGAAGGGGAGTTCGCGGAGGCGCGCGAGGACATGGCTGCGCTGGAGAAGGACTACGAGGAGGTGGGCGTCGACTACGCCGACGGGGACGGAGAAGAGTGCGAAGAGTACTAGGGCCACCGTCGTCGTCGTCAGCCGTGATCTATACACTGCTGGCTGTGCGCGCAATCAGTGCTAGGGCGCCCGTCATCCTCTTCGTCAGTGTTATCGTCGTCATCAGCCGTGATCTATCCACCATTGCGTGCTAGATGTACATCATCATCGCCATCACAAGTAGTTCCGTGAGGTCCTCTTCCACGGCCCATTCTCTGACGACACATTGCGACGATCCACTGTTTACTGTGAGAGTACCAGAGTACACATTTAATCTGTCTTGTCACGATACGAATACAATATGGTTCAGATTTTTATTTTCATAAAACCATTAAAAACGTGTATTTGAAAGTAGGTGCTAATGTAGAGTGGATACTATGTTGATGAGGCTTAGTTTGTTTTGCTTGCTTCAAACTGAAAACACGATCAGAACCTCGGGGCCACTCCAGGCCTTAGCACACCGCACACAGAAGCCTACGCAGAGCCCACGTCTGAGCAATCAACTTGGTTGCATGCAACTGAATTGCGTACATGTGGACGTATCTGCAACCGATTGCTCAACGACGGTTGATTTTCAGACCGAATATCCCAACAATTATGGGGAAGGATGATGCCTCCTCCACCTGTCGTAATATCACCTCCAGCCAGGACGTGTTTATTCTGGACATCTGTATTAAAAAAAAAATTGAAACACGCGTTTTTTATTATTTAGATTATTTGGCTGCTTAAAATTTCCACATGAGCGACTTTGTTGAGCTATCATTTGTGGCCAAGTTGCTTTTGAAAAATAAGATAATAGCTCAATGGGCTTTACTTGGTAAAATAAAAAAGTATATTTTTTATGTTTTTTGTAATTTTCGTACCTTTCCTACACTTTGCACTGCTATTGTGTTTTTTGTATTGTTTGTTGTTGTAACGTTCTGACCCCGTGCCCCTACTGGACATCTGTTAAAAATAGATTTTTAGCTCATTGGATTCCTACAGTATAAATAAATATTCTGATTCTGATTAAATCAAAGGTTGGAGACGCTTCTTCTTCTTGGTGAGATCTCTGTTTTTGCACCACCGATTTGCACTGTTGGCTACATAAGGTTCAACAACAAAGTACAACATACATACATAGAGACCCATGTCTCACACAGAGACCCATAGACTCGCACTGCAATGTACGCTTCCAGATGCGCTTCTGCATCCTTCTGGAACGCTCTTCATTTCGACATTAGGAAGCCCCTGGAGCTATGATCTATTAAATCATCATCATCATCATCTATAAATTGACAAACTCATTTCGTTCGAACTGTGTTTAGTTTGTTGTCCTTCCCGCGCACCTCCGATTTGCACGTTTGACTACTTGCGGTGCAAAATAAATTCAACTACGTACACACCTACACACCTACAGGTGTTTAGATGGACACTAGCTCCAGGTGACTGAGTTGCGAATTGTCGAGAGCCGTTGGGTTGCGCAACCGATGGCTCTGGAAAGGACCCGGCCCAGACCAGAGTGAGGCCCTCGCACGCAGAGGCAAAGTCCACAGGAAACCCGCGCGCTATGCTGACAATCCCCAATATTGCGAGTCGCTTTGCTGCAGCATTCACGTACGAATGTGACCTTGGCTTTAGCCGAGGTGTGCAAGACTGCCCCGCTCTGGCCATTACACAAAGACCCCCCTTATACTCTTTGGTTCTATTCGGTAAAGTCACGTAGGTAAAAAATAAAACAACAAAAATCACGACGTTTCGGCCACAACACAAGTGGCCTTCGTCAGGTGAAGGGACCGTACTGTCCAGAGGACAGCGTTGGAGTGAAGACAGCCAAGCCCAGACTTGGGACAAGTCCTGTTAGCGAGCATCTATTAAGGCTGGCACAGTAAACGAAGGGGTGGGTGGCCGGCACCACGCCCGACCACCTTTGTCTCCCCAGTAGTGATGTTACACACGGCCAGTAACTTGTTTTTTTTAGGCTGAGCCGACCTAGAACAGGCCCAGATCTGGCTCGGATATCACCTGCCCCACTGATGTTAACCGGGTGGCCGTGTTCGGAGCGCGGTGTGTTAACCGCTGCGCCAGTAAAACAGAAATTATTGAACGGATTCGTCACCGCATGTCGCGAAAATTTAACTTGTCACCGCCCCCCCCACCCAGTGCCGGATGATCCTAATAGCAAAAATAGCTACGTATGTAGTAGCTACATATGTGGTGGCACTTTCAAGGGCCCCGCGCTAAGTGTTTTCGAGCTACCAATTCCGGTTCAGTGATTCTGCACTTGCTCTATTACTATAGTACTATACCTTCTTCAACTTTTATGAACGACTGGGCGTTTAAGTTTAGCGATTTGTCGTATTATCTGGCTGTAAATTAATTTACTACGCAAGTAAAACATTGGTGTTTTCATATTTACGTGTTTTTATTTTATTTAGGGCACCTTTATAACGTCACATGCTACAGGCCCCGCACCTAGCTTAACCCGGCACTACCCCCTCCCCACCGGCAAGCTGACACAATGATGAACGCACGCGTGAACGTACGGCCATCCCGGTGAGCTCTCTTAGGAACAGTTGACGGATGACGCCGCAGCCGACGCGTGCCTGAATGCATGCGCGTGCGTCTCAAATACAAACGCGGAAACATCTCGGCGTCTGCCGCTCGTTCTAGCACAGGGGCCGTCAACCGAAATAACAATGAGAGACATTGTTTTCGAAATCGGTGGAAAAAGAATAACACCTCAGTATGGTGAAAACGAGACGGTGGTGGTTCTTAGAGCCACATGGGGTGGCAGGTTGCAGACCCCCGCGCGTTGTGCTGTGTGCAACTGGAGTTCCCATAGTCTCCAACAGGGGCGTGACAACAATCTTGACTTAAAGGTTTCGTGACTTTCGTGAACTATCTCCGTGACTTTACCGAAAGACCCAAAGAACAGGGGCGTGACAGCCCACTGCTACTAACACTGCCGCCAAGATCTTGGCCGGGCGGTCGCGACAGCGTTGGTGTACGGTGCTATTTCAGGAATATTTTGATGTTTTTTTCCTGGATTTTCTGTTTGCACAGTCACATAATCACTTTAAGATGTTTTCTTGTTCATGTTTTTGTTTGTTGCGGTTACATCCGATTCAAGAGCCGAATGGCTCACAGGGCTATACCAAATAAATTAACTATGGAACTAACTATGGAACAGTGGTGGCTCCGCTGCACTTGGCCGCCTGCAATCCCAGCAACGTGGAAATAGTAGCGAGGGCTCGGTGGATCGCCGCACAAATGTTGACAATATTTTCCATGAAAATATTGGCTACAACCGGAGATAAGGGAGAACCCATTTGTAGAATGTTCCATTCCAGGTGAAGTATGTATTGGTGAGGCAGTCTCACCAGGGCCGGTACATCAGCATTCAATCCTTGTTGGACCAAATCTTCAATTATCGCAATGGTATTAGGCACAGGAACTTTGGTGAACAAATAAACTACATCGAAACTAACGAGCAAATCACCTGATGACAGTGAGATGTCTTTAATTGACGATACCAGGTGAGCTGAGTTAAGTACAGAAGAGGTGGTCTTACCAGTGAATGGCTGCAAGGTCTCAGACAGATATCGGGCCAGTTTGTAGGTGGGTGAGCCAATGGTGGAGACGATGGGACGATGGGATAAAGGGGTGTACCTTCTTCGTGGATTTTTGGTAAGCCAGACAATCTGGGTGGTCTAGCAGCAGAAGGTTTATTATGAAAACCGTGTGGTCTGTTAAATTAATGAGGCTGAATCAGTGATGATACTGTTCGTTTTTGTACCGAAGCTGTTGGTGGAATCTCTTTTAATTAATGTAGCTACCATCATTAAGTAAGTCCTGAATTTTGTTATTGTACATGATGACCGTGGCATTGCCCATGTCGGCTGTGAGGATGACGATACTGTATCATCCCTCTTTTTCAATTAAGATAACTCAAAACGGTCACCCTTACTGATGTTGCTGACTGGTATCTTAGCACTTTTGAGGGTTGCAGTGATTTCAGATCTTGTCATGTCTGCAGCGATGTGTCCCAAACCCTTAAGAGCTACATCGATCTGGGCAATAATGTCATTTACTGGTATGTGTATGACTATGGGTATCCATTGCCGGCTGGGTTATTCATTTGAATCAACATCATAATGCATGCACATCATGAAAGCTCGTTGTTGTTGTACTTCCTGTAGATTGTGTGCACTAAAATAGCCGTACCAACGGTAATCCCAATTGAAGTTTTGCTTAAATGCATTGTGTGCTGTACTAGTAACGAATTGGCACGTTATGTTTACGTGACAAACCTTAATAATCGGCTTTCGGGTGGTGGTGGCAGGTTTTACGACACATTAATATATTTACGCGATCTAACCCAAAACATCTTTATTCTGGATGACATTAGTAACAAAAGCCTACAATGAGGAAAACAAGTATTTGATCCCCTGCTGATTTTGTACGTTTGCCCACTGACAAAGAAATGATCAGTTTATAATTTTAATGGTAGGTTTATTTGAACAGTGAGAGATAGAATAACAACAAAAAATCCAGAAAAACGCATGTCAAAAATGTTATAAATTGATTCGTATTTTAATGAAGGAAATAAGAATTTGACCCCCTCTCAATCAGAAAGATTTCTGGCTCCCAGGTGTCTTTTATACAGGTAACGAGCTGAGATTAGGAGCACAATCTTAAAGGGAGTGCTCCTAATCTCAGCTTGTTACCTGTATAAAAGACACCTGTCCACAGAAGCAATCAATCAATCAGATTCAAAACTCTCCACCATGGCCAAGACCAAAGAGCTCTCCAAGGATGTCAGGGAAAAGTTTGTAGACCTACACTAGGCTGGAATGGGCTACAAGACCATTGCCAAGCAGCTTGGTGAGAAGGTGACAACAGTTGGTGCGATTATTCGCAAACGGAAGAAACACAAAAGAACTGCCAATCTCCATCGGCCAGGGGCTCCATGCAAGATCTCACCTCGTGGAGTTGCAATGATCATGAGAACGGCGAGGAATCAGCCCAGAACTACACGGGAGAATCTTGTCAATGATCTCAAGGCAGCTGGGACCATAGTTACCAAGAAAACAATTGGTAACACACTACGCCGTGAAGGACTGAAATCCTGCAGCGCCTGCAAGGTCCCCCTGCTCAAGAACGCACATATACATGCCCGTCTGAAGCTTGCCAATGAACATCTGAATGATTCAGAGGACAACTGGGTGAAAGTGTTGTGGTCAGATGAGACCAAAATTGAGCTATTTGGCATCAACTCAACTCGCCGTGTTTGGAGGAGGAGGAATGCTGCCTATGACCCCAAGAACACCATCCCCACCGTCAAACATGGAAGTGGAAACATTATGCTTTGGGGGTGTTTTTCTGCTAAGGGGACAGGACAACTTCACCGCATCAAAGAGACGATGGACGGGGCCATGTACCGTCAAATCTTGGTTGAGAACCTCCTTCCCTCAGCCAGGGCATTGAAAATGGGTCGTGGATGGGTATTCCAGCATGACAATGACCCAAAACACACGGCCAAGGCAACAAAGGAGTGGCTCAAGAAGAAGCACATTAAGGTCCTGGAGTGGCCTAGCCAGTCTCCAGACCTTAATCCCATAGAAAATCTGTGGAGCTGAAGGTTTGAGTTGCCAAACGTCAGCCTCGAAACCTTAATGACTTGGAGAAGATCTGCAAAGAGGAGTGGGACAAAATCCCTCCTGAGATGTGTGCAAACCTGGTGGCCAACTACAAGAAACGTCTGACCTCTGTGATTGCCAACAAGGGTTTTGCCAACAAGTACTAAGTCATGTTTTGCAGAGGGGTCAAATACTTATTTCCCTCGTTAAAATGGAAATCAATTAATAACATTTTTGACATGCGTCTTTCTGGATTTTGTTGTTGTTATTCTGTCTCTCACTGTTCAAATAAACCTACCATTAAAATTATAGACTGATCATTTCTTTGTCAGTGGGCAAACGTACAAAATCAGCAGGGGATCAAATACTTTTTTTCCCTCACTGTACGTGTTAAACTGGGATCGAGTGTTTCCTCTGCACACGCGTGGGTTTTCTCCAGGCGCTTGGGTTTCCTCTAACACTACAAAACACATCGACTGGCTGATAACGTCTTCAATATATAAAGGACCGCAGAGCTTTGGGAAAATTGGCACCAGCTCGCCACCGAGTTGCAGCCTCATCCGTGATTCATTCTCTCGCCTCTTGAGTAGTTTTCTCCCTTCTAGGGCGAGCGGATACTGTGGCTGCGGCGTGTTACAAGTGGCAATGATAATTATTATTATTAGTGAGTATTGTTGACAATAATTACACTGTGTAACAATTTTTTTTAATTCCTGGGTAGTGTTATTTTCCTAATTGCTTATGCCTCAAAAGTACAGAAAATGGCTATTATTCCCTACAAACTTTGCTTTTGTGACCAGGACAGTGCTATTTTGAAATTTACCTATTTTCCAGAACATTCCTGATAGATTCAGAGCCGAGTAAACTTGGAGTAGCTTCTAGAACATTCGAGAACTTTCCACTAATATAAATAGTAGTATAAATACAATAGCCTTAAACCCACCAGTTCAGTTTAGTTCCAGCTGCCTAAGTGGATACATATCTGTATTTTTCTAAGATGTATCAATAGGCAGGAAGCATCCGGCAGACACATTTTGCTATGTCTGTGGCCAATTTATCAAGACAAGAGCGAAAAAGTACTCTGTGGAAGCATCTGCGAAGATGTGAGGCCAACAAGGCATATTTCGGCATGCCTGTTGGGGTTAAAGACAAACCCTGGGCACCTCATTTCACCTGCGAGCAATGCAAAAAAAACTCTGGAAGGTAAGATGGACAATTGTTGCTCGAAATTTTGTCATAACATTTTTTTTAAATGTAAAAAATTGTAAAAGTATTTAATTTAAAAATGTTTTACAATTTTCAATGTTATTGAAAAAATATATGAGAAATGTTGCGAGAATCTCTGACACATTAGTCATGGGTGAAATAAATGAATTTGGCGGGAACCCACCGATCACTCAAGCACCTGCTACTTCTGCATGATGGACCGGCAAGAATGCACCTGCTATCACGTATCCGGACCTTCCTTCATCCATCACCCCGGTGCCACACTGCCATAAGCTCCCCATACCCACTCCTCCGGAGAACAGCCGTCTTAAGAGAGCAGCAAGTCAAAAAGCGAGGAAGACGTTGTAGATCCAGATGACAATTTCAGAGGTGGAGGTGAAGAGAGAAACCCATACTACCCCAACAAAAAAGACCTCAACGACTTGATCAGAGATCTTGGTCTCACCAAGTCCAATGCCGAGCTTTTGATGTCTAGGCTCAAGCAGTGGAAGTTGGATAAAAGTCGCAGATCAGAGGAAGCGTCACCAAACTTTTTGCAGCTTCTTCACCCGTCAAGATGGGCTCTGCTTCTGCCACAATGTGACCCGTCTGTTCGAGGCAATCGGAATCGCCTGTAACCAGAATGAGTGGAGCCTCAAAGCCGTGCTGCTCTATAATGGTAAGAAGTACCCGTCTCTCCCCCAGGCTCACTCGGTGCACCTCAAAGAGGATTACAACAGCATCAAGACCTTGCTGGACGCCTTGAAGTATGATGAGCACGGCTGGGAGGTCATCGGAGACTTCAAAATGGTGGCATTCCTGATGGGTCTCCAAGGCTGTTTTACCAAGTTTCCCTGCTATCTTTGCCTTTGGGACAACAGGGACACCAAGGCGCACTACCACAGGCGGGACTGGCCACAGCGGACCGAGTTCTCAGTGGGGAGGAACAACGTCAAGTGGGAGCCATTGGTGGACCCCGGAAGGTGCTGATGCCATCACTGCACATCAAATTGGGCCTCGTGAAACAATTTGTCAGAGCTGTAGGTAAGGAGTCGGCAGCCTTCAAGTACCTTCAAGACTTCTTCCCTAAGTTTTCTGAGGCAAAGGTCAAAGCCGGTGTCTTCATCGGACCACAGAAAAAGAAGATCCTGGAGTGCAATTCCCCAAAAAGCTCCCTGGTAAGGAGAAAGCGGCTTGGGACAGCTTTGTCGCAGTGGTTCGTGGCTTCATGGGCAATCACAAGGTCGAAAACTATGTGGAGCTGGTTGAGACTGGTGAAGAACTATGGTACAACAGGCTGTAGGATGTCCCTCAAAGTCCATCTCCTTGATGCCCATCTTGATAAATTCAAGGAGAACTGGAAGCGTACTCGGAGGAGCAAGGCGAGCGCTTCCACCAGGATAAACTGGACTTTGAACGCCGCTACCAAGGACAGTATAACGAGAACATGATGGGAGACTACATTTGGGGGCTGATTCGTGAAAGTGATTTACAGTATAATCGTAAATCTCGAAAAACTACTCACTTTTAAATCTTTTGTAGTAATTTTTGTATCACTTTAGTATAAATACATGTTAATTTTGATTCATGTTGTTTTTTCTGACTTTGTGAACGAAAATACACAAATTTGGCAGTTCTCTCATTGAAAACAGGTAAATTTCAAAATATCACTGTCGTGGTTACAAAAACAAAGTTTGTGGAGAATAATAGCCACTTTATATACTTTTTAGGCATAACCATTTAGGAAATAACACTTACTACCCAGGAACAAAATTTTTGTTACATCGTGTTATCAACCTGGACTACATGGCGGGCTGTTAGGCCCGCCCCCAACTCCTGCCAACCCCGCCTACTTTTACATAGCCACACCTACTTTACCATAGCCACGCCCTACTTTTACACAGCCTCGCCCACTCTTACACAGCCACGCCCACTCAACCATTCGCGCCGCTCACAGTGGCCCCCACCTGTGTTTAATGTACTTCTATGTTCCCACAACTAGTATGATGAAGTATGGTCAAAAAGCCCCCCTCTCCATGATCCACAACACTGCGTGTGTGGGGGGAGGGGGGGCTATTTAACCATCCAGCAGTGGACCTACAAACAGGGCTGTGTACAGGTGCACGCGTGCGGAGAATCAACACAAGCGGCCTTGTAAAATGAATCATAAAACTGTAATAACAACAGATGCACCAACAGTATTAACACGACAACAAGAGCACACAAAGCAAGGTCACAGTGTTTACAAAAATAAGAGCCATGCTTTCACAGTAACACGTGGCAGGAACGGCAACGCAAAGGGTTAACACGGAAAACGATCGCAAACGGACAGCACACCTGAACAAAAATCATAATCCACGGTTATTTTTAATTGTTTGTGATAAATTCGCATGGGGAAAGGACAACCAACAACAACAACCAAACAACAACAATCCATCGTGTTCGACAGCCCTGCCAAGCACGCGGTTACCAAGGCAAGGTGGTGCTTGGCCAATGGGAATCGATGTCCAACGTTCGATGCCGGTTCTGGAGTCGGGCCAACTTTGCACCTCATAATGGTCGAGGGGATTGGTCGGCACCACCCGGGGTGGCAATCGCTACCAATGTCTACCATGGGCAATATTCAACATGGGCAGTGTGCACCAGGCACAGGGCACAGTTCCTATTTATTCCACAGTCTGGTCTCATTTCACGTCTCATTGGGTGTGTTCCCCAAACCGATATTCTTTCGATAAAAGAAAACCACGGTACGTTCTTTTAGCAACAATTTCCTCACCGAGAGCTACGAAAGTGACCTTGCTATCGCGCAGAGTTGCGGTGTGGAGCTAAAATGCGTCTAGAGAATCGTTATTAGCATCTGTCACCCCTGGTGGTTACCAATGGTCTCAAGGACCGCCAACTTAAACCGCCCCAGAAGAAATGGTCCGGGTGTTGACGGCTGAACAGGGCACCAATGCCCCGGTTGCGCGCGCGGTGCCCTGGTCCACTCCTGGTGGCAACTTCTTGCAGTGATTTTCACAGCCAAATTAAACGAGGTGAGATGGTCGGAGAGAGACGGTGTGGATGGTGCGTGGGCTTGTGGTGGCACGCCGGGTCGTGCGGCGGTGACGGCATCCATTTGTGATCCCAGACAGAGTGCCTGTCGGAGATCGTTGGTGACGATTCTACCTTCACTCCTGCAAAAGCTCAACACGTTCGGCCGTCACCAACACCGCCACGATGTCTCTACTACGCTACGATGGAAGGCTCATCGCCCAAAACGTCGCCCGTTACGTAATTGTCCCTCTTTGGGGGGGGGGGGGGGGGTGTTGGTTTGTTTCTTGTGCTTGTGCAGCGCGGCAGTGGTGTCACGAACCGATTTGTGCTCTCACTTCAACTGGTCAGGTCGGCGAACGTCACCACTACCACCACCACCGATTGACAAATGGACGAGCTTAGTCCCAGCTCTCCTGGAGAGCGCTGGCGGACGTGACGGCAGCTCTCGTGTGGTCGTGCAGTATCTAACCCTCTGAGCACTCCCGTGTAATGTCCAGTGACGTAGTAGCGCTGGTGATCGATTCTGGCTGGTACTCTATTGGACTTTGTTACGCAAGTATGATATAGGTCACCGAAACCAGCTGTGAGTCAGGAAAGTGCACTCGGCGGCTTCCAGCTTTCATAGCAGGGGTTCACTTCCCGGTTTTACCGGCGACTCTTGCCACACGCGACCGATGAGGCAGCGACTTGCGCCGCCTGTCGTGTGCGGGGTTTGCGTGATCTTCCCCTGTTCTGCAAGGGATTCTTCCGTGCACGTTTCCTCCCATAGCTAAAAATACATGCAACGTCACTGGCGCTGGCCACACATCCCAACAATTTGGTACGACCTTCGTGAAAAATAAATCTTGGCAACTAGGCGTAGCTTCGCTGGGTACACAAGTAAATATTATTGACGTTAATGATGGGTTCCGTTGAATTTACTAAAAGTTCTTCCAATTTTTATTCATTTTGGTTTTTGGGGGCAGGAAAAAATTAAACAAGCACACTTAACAAACAAACATGAAGGTCAAGAACCAGTGTTTCGGCCGACGGGCTGTCACCGGACCGCACCACGGCCGTGTCCAAAGTGGAACGTGAAGGCTTCTGGCGCGGCCCACACAAGCGCAGCCACGAGCGGCATTTGCACCACACGCAAGAGACCGCGTCGACGATGCGTTATTGCTGATCGAGCTTACACAATAAAGGCCTTCGCCGCGACGGGAGAGGGGGCAGAAGGGGGGGTAGCAGAGGTTCCGCGTCATCGCGCGTGCGTGTGTACGCGCACACACAGAGCGGGCAGAGCAAATACGGTCTTGAAGCTGGCTCCACTCACCGGGGCGATGGGTTGTGCAACCAAGTTCGCTCTCGATTCCAAATCGCCGTGCAACTTAACATTCGGGAGAAACGGCTCATCGTAGTGCGCAAATGTCACGTGAGCAGATCGTTGCTCTAAAGTGGAGTCTGCCTTTACTGCTCGCAACCGGTTAAGCAACTGCTCGCAACAAGTTGCAACTTTGGTTGTGTACAGCCGAATCGCTCGGGTGTGGACCCTCGCTCAACACTCACGAACAAGTCAGGCCATCCACCGCCTCCGCTATCCGAACATCGAAAACGTCACGACGCGCGCCTCGGCAGACGGCAACCAAACACCGAGTGCGGTTGTCGCGGTAGCACTCCACAGCGCCTTCTGGTCGCCAAGCACGAGGAACGAAACGTCGGACGTCATGCGGAACAACGCGCGGAGAAACCCCGCGGAGAGAACTCTTGAACGCACCATTCCGCCCCGATGTACGCTGTAAACGCTACCGCCCGCAAGCCTGGCGCAGCAGTCATTACACCCTTATCAGGTGCGCAACTCATCCTCGGGTCTTGTTCGCGAATGGCAGCTTTTGGAAACCAGGGGCGGGGAACCTTCTCCTTACTCTGGTTCAAACAGAATGTTCACACAACTTTTTGCGGCAACCACACACGTACACACGGATCGGTTACAGCGGCATCGTACATTTGTAAACACAGTGTTGTCACGTCGAAAGTATTTCCCACCAGTACCCGATTAGGGCTACCAAGATGAAGCTAGCATGGGTTACTATCTTTAAACTCTAGATAAATGCAGGTTATAAAGTTTACCCGGGGGCACAACACAAACTCCTCTGAATCAATTGCATCTCAACCAATGACCAGCAGGCACGAAGGAGGCACAGGGAGAGACTCACTTACACGGAATTAGAGCGAAAATATTGTACACTCCCCCAATGGAACTCGATCGGTGGCGCTAAGGTGCTTGCAGTGACGGGTAAATATCGTCCGCGGAGCCGGTAGGCCTGGTGCGACCCCAACACATGTGAAATGAAGTCACGTGAACGATGGCTTCCCCCCTCACTTCTGCTTTCGAGGTTTTCACTCAAACCGGTCCGATTGGGGCTGCGTTATTACCCGGCTGTGACCAGGCACAAACCCACAAAGCTGGCGCTTCGAGGTGACGGGCGGTACCGTCGATAGAACCCCAACGCGCAAATCAATGGGGCAGAACACCAGAACATAAAGATCGCGTAACAACAAAAAGCAACTAGAAATACAACACCAGGGTAACGTTAAAATGCCTAGCTTATGCTCAGCTTGTGCGGCTCGCACGGTGGCGAGATGTTAACTACCTCACCTGGTACGAAGGGGGTCGTGGGTTAGATCCTGACCACGCCTGCATGTTCTCCCCGCGGGAGCGTGGATTTTTATTCGGGTTCTCCAGTTTTTCCGTCCACAGTTAGAATCGACGTACATTTAGAGTATTTGGGTGCGATACATTTCCACGTGATAAGCCACTTCGTTGAGCTATCATTGTGGCCAGGTCGCTACTGATAAACAGCTATGTAGCCCAGTGGGCTTTACCTGGTAATATTTGAATTACAACCTCAACGGATTTTGAGTTGATTTCAACTTTGTCAATCATCCCCATCAGGTCGATCAAATTAGTCCCGGTTCTGTGAGAAATTAATTTTGGTCACCTGATGCACAGAGTGGTTTTTCTCTATTGTCTCAGATATTTATTTGATGTATATCAAGGTACCCAAACAACAGCAGTAGTCAGCATGTCGAAGTATGGTTAAGCAGCCTCCATGACTGATATGCTTCAGTTTTAAAGGGCAAGCATCATTGTCACTTAAAGCCCAAGATGCCACCACCAGTGGACCACTGCTCACCCCCAGCAGTGGGAGGGCCTGAAGGATGGGGGGGCTGAGCCCCCCCCCCACCACCTACTAAAGGCACAGCCACCTTCTTCCTGTTGTTATTATGTTTATTAAGCTCATTTACCCAGGGAAGCCTTTCCGAGTCTCAAGACTCTTTGTCAGGAGGGTCCCACCAAGTTGTCGCTGCGGCGGGGGGGGGGGGGTGCCGATGCTGTTGCTGTTGTGTGTGCAATCCCACTCGAGTAATTTGCGAATAATTCTTCAGCATAAACCGGAGAACCTGGAGGAGAGCCAAGCGGAACAGGGGGAGAGAACCTACAAACACCACGCACAAAGGTGCCCGTGTTGAGAACTGAACCTAGGCCCTTTCTGTGATGCACTCATGTTACTATTGTGCTATGGTACCCTGCCACCCATATACATTTTTTTATGGTTTGAAGCTTGTTATTGGTTTGTAATTTTCCTCTAATTTTATCCTGCTTGTGCTATCGGCGTCACGTCATGAGATGAATAATCTATTTTGATCACTCACGGAGCGGCGTGATCCTTCGTGTTGCATAACGGCCCACAGAAGTGGATATCATGGAGCTACCTCTGACATCCCTTCTGCAAGCGACACTCGCGGTAGAGGCCAGCACCTCCACACTCGCTCTGCCAAGTGAGAATATTTGTTCAAAGTTTGTTTAATACTGGCCCTGTCATGCCCCCCATTCTGAGTTTCCTTCCCCATCGCACTTTAAAACGAGGTCACGCTACAAATCGTGCACACTTTTCAGAAGCCACCGAATACTCCACCAACCTCTGGCTATGGAGGATGCTGGTGGCACACCAAGGAGCCTCGCGAGCATTTGAGGAATCCCGAGCTTCAAAGATTTACAATAATAAAATTCCACAGTTTAGGTAAACATTAAATAAAACAGCCCTTCATTTAACAAATACGAAGGGCAATCTCTCGTTCGTTTTTAATAATTTTTCGAAATGGACCACCGCTGCCGCATGGGGCACGTTGCGTGCTCGCGAATCATCCGTCGGCACGAACCGCTTCTTGAAAGCGCCGAGTGAAGCAGACAGCATGGGAGAGCAAAGGGGCGGGGTGGGAGGGTGGCTTACGGGGGGACCTGCGGGGTGCGGACCAAGCAGGGAGCCGCCGACTGCTACAGCCAAGACGCATTTCTGAACTTAAACACAACAATTTCAACTGGCCGGTTCGCACGAACGCTGACAAACTAAACCACAGTGTTGCGCGGCAGGCACACCGCTCACAAATGCCGGCTCGACAATCGCCAGTGTGGGGGGAAGCTTCCTCGGGGTCTCCCCGCATGCCCATCGCAGTGTCCAACTGCCGGTTTCCTTCACTCTATGCAGTAGCGGCGGTAGTAGATGCATTAACAAATAAGGGAGCGCTAAGCAAAACCGCACGAGGGGACAGCTGCCTGTCGATTAGCGTGTACAGTACACACACACACACAAAATGGTGCTCCAGGTGCAACCGCATTGCCGCATGCAGAGTGAATTCACACCGCATAGCAGAGCGAATTTTGGGTAGAAATAGGTGAGCTGCAAACCGAACCCGCATAGAGCGAGGAGGGAAACCTGTGCTCACAGTGGTGCATCCTTCAATTGACGTGGGTGGATATACCGTGTCCGGGATGTCGTGTGGTTTCGTTTTATGGGGGAGGGAGGGGGGCTGGGGGCGTGCATAAAATTGCGAGAGAGTTGGAACTGTTGAATAAAAATCGCCAATGTTTGTAAAACGGCACGGCCCGTGATCGGGTGTTGAGAGCTGAATTGTGCATTCCTCAATTGGCTTGCGATCCGGGATGGTGTCAGTGGTGGTTCTTCTTCTTTTAAATGTTCAATATTGCTTTTTGCATATATTTATATCATATATTTCACAGAAAAAAAAGCAATATGAATAAGGCCGCAAAAGCTGCGGCGCACGCGCTGAATTTGGCGCACGTGGGAACGTTGGGAACGCGGGTACTGTATACGGCACGCAGAAAACGCGGGTACTGTATACGGTATGCGGGAAACGCGGTTACTGTATACGATACGCAGGGACAGCCAACCGGAGTGCAAGCCCGGCATCAGGTGCGCTCAACCGGCATCGCGGCGCCTGCCCGGTGCTGTGAGCACACACCGCTTTACTCCGCTCATGTGCCGAGACTACGAACGAATAAATTAATGCATGACTGAATGAGTGCGTGGGTGGATTCACGTAGAGACGTCGCCGCGTTAAGAAAATCCAGCGTGCCGGCGCAGTGGCAGGCCTCTGCACCCGCAAAGTGAAGGTCAGGGCCCGGTCATGAGGTCAAAATCCTGGTGAGTGGTCCACCGATTGTCATCCCTTTGAGGTGGACAATGGGGGGGGAGGTTGTTTTTTCCTGTGGAAAGGCTGGCCACCGTTCACACCCCAAGCCTACCCACCATGGGAACGTGGTATTTATTGCACTGGCTCAGGGCTGCTTACAGAGATGAGTACATGGGCCACGACTCGTGTGAGCCGGGTGGCGCTCGCGGTTCCTAAAGGCCAACCAAGGGATTTTTTTTGCCAGATTTTGAAATTCCTTGACAGAGAGTCAATGAAACAGGAATGTGTTTGTTCCACGCCGGGCAAAGGCGCGTGCGCGTCCGTCCACACCGTTGCTTCACGAACTGAATTCCTCGGATCATAAAAGTCAACAACTTGTTTGATCGCGTTACAATTCCAGTTTAACGGGTGCACATTTCTTGTGCAAACGCTTGAAAGGAAACGTAAAAAAAAAACACACCAAGGACGGCGACAATTTTTCACACAAAAGGACGCTCGTCTTTCTGAGCGAGACTAATTTCTGAGACTCACGCTAGCGTAAAGGCAAAGACGTGTAAACATTTCTTTTCTGAAGTTAAGGGTCAAGATTTTTTTTAAGTCTGAAAACTGCAACTACATAGACGATGAAGACCCTCTCCAGAACGTGCGACACAACGCACGCCACGCACACACGTGTAACAGGTACGCTTGATACGCACACGTGACACGCACGCAGCACACACGCATGACATGCATGCAGCACGCACGTATGACACGCATGCAACATGCACGTGGTGTCACACGTGACGCAGCCCCAGAAGTTGCCGCAGCTGCCGCTCCGCTAAAAACCACGGCACTTGCTGAACGTTACCTTGCTGAGTTTTCAGAGCGGCATCACCTTCGGGAAGATCGAGGCAGTCGGCGGCGGCGTCACCAACGCTCTTTTAACCGTCTGTGGAGAAAAGTGCCGCCGGGCAAAATCGCTCCCATCCCGGGTGCTTGCGGCGCGACGGCGCACTTTGCTCGCTGCACCGCCTCTCGCGCTCCGCTACAGGGCAGGCGAGGTAACAATAGGGGCGGCCCGGGGGGGCAGCTGCTCTGTGAGTGGTTCCGAATTCACCACGGTTCCGAGTTCACAGTTGCTTGCTGTGCCCATTGGTGGAATGCCTCTGGCCCGACCCGTCTGAGGCCGTGATGGGCAGCCTGTCCAGACCTGGAAGGCAAGAGTCGAGAACATGGACAAAAGATCCTCCCGCGTGTTGTCGACGCAAACTTTCTGGGCAAAAGTGCCTTCATCCAGCAGTGGATGAAGGGTTCCACGATGCACGTACGTAGCTAATCGCCGCCACGGTGTGCGTTACCGCTGGTGAACTCGCGGTCCCCTTGTGATAATTAGCCGTATTTGCTCGGTACGTCGTGTTCGGGGCGTGTGCATGGTCGCAGCTTTCCCCCACTTGTTACTTACACGAATAATCCAATTTGCTGCCTATAATGTGGGGTGACGCGATGACAGGAAGATTCCGACTGTGTTGAAGAGGAAGGCACGTATGACGCTATTAATTCGACCCATATTGAGATGAAGTGCGGGCGGAAAGAAAACAAACTAAACACAAAAAACAGTTCTAAAGAAATTAGTTTTCAATATAGATGATTTAAAAGTGCATAGCCCCAGTGACTTCCTAATATCGGAAGAACAACGAAAAACGGCCGCAGAAGCGTGTCTGAATGAGCGCGATGCAACCAGGCAGAGGCCGAGAGGCAGACGTAGTTAGAGGCGGTCTCACAAAGGTGGACCAGGATGTGACAGGCTGTGGTATGGACGTGGAGATGATAACTCAAGGCAGCAGTGAGTGGTGAGAGAGAGGACTGGGAAGGGAGAGCCGACATGAGTGGGGAGAATCTTCTTTGGTTCTTTCGGTAAAGTCACGTAGAATGAGAATAAAATAATAAATTGATAAAATAAAATAACACAATAATATTCTCACGACGTTTCGGCCACAACACAAGCGGCCTTCATCAGGTGAAGGGACGAGACTGTCTGGAGGACAGCGCTGGAGTGAGGGGAGAATGTCAGAGAGAGGAAGAAGAGGAGGAAGGAAACACGGGGAAGACAAGAGAAGGAGGGAGACACAAGGAGCAGGAGGAGCGATGTGAGGGACTGTGGAGAGGACTTGGAGATGGCGGACCAGGAGAAGAATGATCACAGCAAGAGGAGCAGGAAGGCAGACTGAATGTGTGTGAAGAAGTTAGTGACTTGTTTTTTTAAATTAAGATTTTGAGTCAACTGGCCAGGATTGGGCAAAGCTAAGCGCCTACTTTCACCCAGGAAACTGGAGAGCAGCACAGACTACGTGTTTCTAACCTGACATTAAACTACACAATAAGATATTTAAGAATTAAAGTTTAAGATACAAACAGCATGTATACTATGAGGATTTTTTTTTTTAAATTACATTTCATAATTGTCCAGTGCCTTGAAGAGCTCCTGGCACAGTTTAAGAGATAAACCTGTATGCTATTCATAATAAAGGTTTTTGGGTTAGATCGCGTTATTTATAAATGTGTCGTAACCCTCCACCACCCGACACGGCCAATCAGCAAAAAAAGTGTCACGTTGACAAAAGACAAATAATTCACTACTTTAGCCCACCGGTGTGTTGAAGAGTGAATCCACAACATTTACAGTTTGAGTACGACGTTTCGCTGGTAAATACATCCAGCATCATCGGGTAATTCGCCAGAATGGTAAAGCCCTCGCTTGCTCCCGGTTTTATATAGAGCAGCAGGGTGACGTCATCACTTAACTCGTATCAGGTGCAGTGATTAGAGGCAGAGGGGGGGGGTGTTGTAATTATATAATCGATTAGTAATCAGTCAATGGTTATGATTAGTAATGAGCTGTAGATTAGTAATTAGTGGTAATGTGTGTTTGTGATTATATGCTATGTTAGTAATCCGTTAATTAGTATGTGTTTCCCCTATAAGGAATTGTAATGTGCATTCATATGTATGTATTTACCAGCGAAACGTACTCACACTGTAAATGTTGTGGATTCACTCTTCAACACACCGGTGGGCTAAAGTAGTGAACTATTTGTCTTTTGTCAACGTGACACTTTTTTTGCTGATTGGCCATGTCGGGTAGTGGAGGGTTACGACACATTTATAAATAACGCGATCTAACCCAAAAACCTTTATTATGAATAATATTGGTCGCGAAAGCCTACGTGTTAAAATGTATACTATTAGAAATTAATTAAAATAACATTTGTTTTAATATATATAAAGATCCGTTACCCAGTGCCTTGAAGAGCTCCTGGCGCACGGCGGCCGTGAACTTGGTGACAAGGCAGAGCGTCGTGAGCCCGGCGAACAAGAGGTTGTAGAGCAGTACTATGTAGAAGTTCCCCAGCCAATTGAAGCGACCGTAATCTCCGAGCAGGTCAAAGTTGGTGATTCCTGCACAAACAGGAGAGAAACAAAAAGAAAGCACTCCCTCGCACGTTCCCGCGGCAGTGGTGACTGTGGCCGTGCCCGCAATGCCGGCAGCTCTGAAACGCCACCGGAAATGCGCATGGCACCGAAACACCGGAATGCCAGAACATCGGAACCCTGGAGGTGTCATTAATACGAGTGCCACTTTGTGGGGAAGTGTTGGCCACCCACCACAGAAACGTGGAATTTTCACCACTGGCTCTGCAGGGCTGTAAACAGGAGATGGGCACTGCCTTGAATGCTCATTTGAGTAGGAAGTCACTTGAATGTGTTTTTAACAAACTGTAACATGGGATGAATTTGGTTTTCAAGGAAACAATGGGGTCTTTGTGTTAATACAGTTGTATCTATATAGACAAATATCTGCCGTAGAGCCTGTAACAGACTGTTGGGGCAATTGCTGTTAGCGAGCACCTATGAAGACCGGCATGGTACACGATTGGGTGGGTGGGCCAGCAAAACGCCTGGCCGCCTTTGCCTCCCGAGTGGCGATGTTTACGCATCGCACCAGGTACTCATTTGAGTAAATCTCGGGGAGGGCCCGAGACTGGTTCAAATAATCCGTCACAGGTATTGGTGACCGTGAGCGGGAATCGAACTCAAGACGCTGGGTTCGTAGCGCAGCACGTTAACCATTACATTACCGCTCCCCATGTATCCATTTATATATCGACCATTCGGCACTAAGTGATGGTGACGTCATCACGGCACTTCTGCCAGGCTATTTTAACTTTAAGGCCACGTGAAGTGTCGAACACCTGCTGGCAGGAGGTCACAGGACAGACCCAGGTGCCAAGGGTTAACTAATTGAGATGATTGGCTGATGCACCACCTGTGCCCCCCCTACTGTGCCAACTTTCTGTATTTCTACTCTTTGTTTTTTTTGGTAATGTCACGCAAGTAAAAAAGAAATAAGCAAAATAAATTAAAACTAAATTAAATCACGACGTTTCGGGCGCAACACAAGCATCCTTCTTCAGGTGGGGACAACGTAGCGAAAGCACAAACGCTTAACTGTGTCTCAGAGATGGTTGTGACGAGGGATTATATAGTCGCGGGGCATGGAGGGAGGGGAGGGTATGGTGTGGGGGCGGGGTGTGGGCTGGGAGAGTCACGAAAGCTTCAAATCTAGAATTTCTGTATTTCAGCTGCCCAGTGCTCCGCTCATTGTTGTGTCTATCCTTGAGACCAGGACCTACCATGGAGCTGATCTGTCCACTGACCATCGACTTGTCATCTGTAAGATGCGCCTGATATTCTTCCACTCCGGTGGTGGGTGTACACCCAGGACCCCATTCAAACCCATAGTGGCATGGTCTCAGACAACTGATGAAAGTTGCAAGCGAGAATTTCATCATCGCTTGTGGCTGGGGTTGGCATCGTCCCCCACTCCTCCTGATGTCGCGGGGAAATGGACGAGGTTTAGGACTGTGGCCCATGCAGCTGTAATGACTGCTTTGGGTGCACGGTCCAGACCTCCCCAGAGACTCTGGCTGACGGAGGTGTTCAGACTGGCTGAGAAAAAGCGACAGGCCCACTCTCATTGTCTACAACATCCCACGTCAGAGAATGAGGAGGCCGACCATAGCCTTCGCTCAGAGGTTCGGAGAGCCATGAGGCACTGCAAGGATGGGTGGTGGTCGTGGGTTGCTGAATAGCCTGCGATCACAAATCGCTCTTTAACTCCATCAAAAAATGTAACCTGCAGCGCCACACCTATTACCATAATTAGGGGAAAGAACGGTAATCCAATCTCTGACCCCCTGGAACAGGTTCGCAGATTTACTGAGCATTTCTGTGAGGTCCTGGGGGAGGGGAAATCCCTCAGCATGGAAAACATCGTGGAACAAAGTAGGGATGATCCTGGTGAGGCTGCAGTGCCACAAATATTGGAAGAGGAAGTCACCCTCTGTGAGTGGCTGGCTGAGGTGCCATCTGTTGAGTAAGTACTGAAAGCGATCCGGAGTCTGAGACCAGGAAAGGCACTGGGCAGAGATGATCTCCCAAGCGAAATGCTGAGGGTGGCGTGTATGCACAGACTGCCCTACATGACATCATAACAGTCTGGACCACTGGACAGGTTCCGCAGGATTAGAAGGATGCCCTGGTGGTCCCCCTTTTAAAGAAGGGGGACCACACAGACTGTCACAACTATGGAGGCATATCACTCCTCAGTGTGCCAGGAAAGGTCCTGGCAAGGATTATTCAACATGGCCTTGCCAGGCACGCTGAGGAGAGGCTTGCGGAGGAAAGGGCGGTCCTGCACAGATGCCATATTTTCTGTCCGTCTGCTACAGCAGAGGTGTAGGGAATTCCAACAAGACCTGCAGCTCTGACTTATTGACCTGGTCAAGGCCTATGATACCATCAGTAGGCCTGGGCTCTGGGTTATTCTTCGTGCTTTTGGAGTCCCTGACCCTCTGCTCACGATCATTAAGAACCTTCATGGTGGTGAGTGGAACCGGGTAAAACTACGTGGCAGGGAGTTGGAGCCATTCCCTGTTCACCTTGGGGTGCGACAGGGATGTCCTCTGGCTTCTACATGATTTAACATCTATTTCGACCATGTAGTTCTTGAAGCCTTCAATAGCTGTACCGGAGGAATTTCCATTTGGCACAGATAAAAAAGGAGGCTGATCGATGCCTGGGTGCGATCAAGGGATGGCTCCCTATTGCTCAACTATATTATGTATGCCGATGATCTGGTAATTGCTGCTCACTCAGAGGAGGAGTTGGAGGTGATGCTGCTGAACCTGGAGCTTGCCACTAAGAGGTGGGGACTTACCATCAGCCCCACCAAAACTAAGCACCTGCCTGGGTATTTTGTACCATCAGTCACTCCACCCCCACAACTCCCAATTGGTGAAAGGGCAGTTGTGGAAAGAGTGGAGAGTTTCCCATACCTGGGCAGTGTGCTCATGACCGGCTCCGGTTTAACAGCAGAGGTCTCACTCCGAATCAGTCGAGTGGCATTATCTTATCAGATTGCGTAACGCTGTGTGGGAGCTACCTGGTCTGTCGCTCCGCACGAAGCTTCAGGTCTTCTCGGCCACGGTCATTCCCTCCCTTCTCTATGCTTGCGAAACGTGGACCCTCTAATGGAACATCTTCACTGGTTATAAACATTTAGGCTGGCCTGCCTACGATCCATCCTGGGTTTAACCGGGCTGGATTGTGTGAGGAGCTCACAAATCCTTGAAAGATCTGGACAAAGTCCCATCGGTGAGCTCCTCTGGCAGGCAAGGCTGCTTTAGCTGGGTCATGTAGACCGCATGCCCAGCTACCTCATGCCTATACAGCTTTTGTTCGGCTGGATCGAGGGGGATCGAGGGGGATAAACGGGCGCGGCACGGGCTAGAGAACAGATGGAGTGATGTGGTACAGGAGGATGTGGAGCTGGGTGGACTTGTCGATGACTGGTACCAGCGGTGTCAAGATCGGCCTCTGTGGAGGAGGCTCGTGGAGGACGCTACTGGGCAGTTGGAGGCAGTCGCCCCAATGCTCACAACGAGCAGAGCGCCGGGTGGCTAAAGCACAGCAACTTGGCACAGTAGGGGGCACAGGTAGTGCATCAGCCAGTCATCTCAGTCGACCCATGGCACCTGGGTCTGCCCCGTGACCTCCTGCCAGCGGGCGTTCGACACTTCACGTGGCCTCAACGTGCACATAGCCTGGCACAAGCATCATGGTGACGTCACCGCCACTTAGTGGCAAAATGGCGGTTGTTGTATACAAAGACAATGGGACAGCCCAGCCCTAAATTAGCCCAGTATTCGGAGGCCAAAGTGAACACGACCGGCACCAGCCACATCGCGCGCTCAACGAGATCAACCAGAGGCCCCCATCGGTCGCCAGCAGCCCGCGGTTACTCACCCAGTGTGCGGGACAGCACGGGCAGTGCAGAGCTGAGAATGAGCAGAGAAACGCAGTTCCCAATAATCTGTGGACGCCAACAGCAACGGTGGGGTGTTAAACAAGCGGTGTGCGGACACACGTGGCCTCACGTCAACTGTACAGGGCGGCAGCAGGCACAGCAAGAGCAGCAGTAGGAGCAGCAACAGCAGTAGTAGCAGCAGCAGTAGCAGCAGGAGCAGCAGGAGCAGCAGCATCAGCAATACCAGCGGGAACAGCAGCAGCAGCATGAGCAGCAGGAACAGCATGCGCAGCAGGCGCTGCTTTTCGCGGTAACATTGTGGAGGGTTATCTGATGGGGAACGGGGCCCCAGAAGCTGTTTTACAGCCTGCTAGCTACTCCGGATTTGTTTTTCCAATTCTGACTTGGTGGGTTGGTGAGCGAATGGGTGGGTGAATGGGCGGGTAAGTTCGCGAGTGGATGGGTGAGTTCGTGAGTGAGTGAATGGGTGGGCACGTGGGTCGGTGGGCGTATCTGCAATTCTAGCAACTCTCGGACGGAAAAATGAAGCGTCAAAATTACTTAGAAAAGAAGCTCTTATCGTCGCCCTTCATCGGCCATACAAAAAACTGAGAGGATTTTAATTGACGTGGACAACGATGGACGCAGGGTGGAGGGGAACGAAGACCTTGGTCATGGGAGTGTCCTGGCTCTTGGGAGTGAGCGGCATGAATGTGGGCAGGCTGTAGAATCCCAACACTGAGCTCAGCATCAGGTAGCTGTAGGGGCGGTCAAGGAGCAACAGGGCACCGGGATCCCAAACACCTTGACAGCACAAGACTGGGGCGATACCTGGTGGGCGCACGCTCCAATAGTGGTCAGCTCCTGCCAATGGAATGTGGAATTTCCACAACTGGCTCCGGGTTGCCAATTAAGAAGGCCTACCACTCTAAGTTAAGCCGAAATGTTGAAGTTCAACAGCATAACTGCAATTCCATCGCACTTCTGTCTTCACAGGAGGAGAACGGAATTCTAGTTATGCGAACTTGATTGACATCTTACAATCCTCCTCCTCATGGAATTGTAAACACGTTCCTAGCGGGTTCGCGGGGTCGCATGCACGACTTTTGCCATGAGCACAGATGAATTGCCGTATGCGCCAAACCACGGCAGGGCACACATTCAACGGCATCATCAGCTGCGCCCCACATCTCCTTCATTAATTGGACTGTGGCCTGGCAACTGAAACTACAGACCTTATCATAAACCCATAGAGACACACAGAGATACATAGACATCTATATAGATACACAGAGACCAATGTAGACATATACACACAGAGACTCATAGAGATACATTAAAGACAAGCCACAGCAGTGCGAATGTGGCCGTGCAACCCGAGCTATGGACCGCACAGTGAACCCACTGTGGTCTGCACTCCTTCAACAGAGGAAGAGGAACAGCGACAAGACACGAACTCTCTCTCTCTCTCTGCTGAAGCCCTCCCGTCGTGGCAGCAGCAGCAGACCTCCACATTGGGGCTCCTGAACATAATGCCATGTGCAAGAAGAGAATACAGCTGTACAGTGGTGGGCCCATCGAGTAGCGTGCAGGCGGTGCAACTGCACCAGGGCCCATGGGCCGGAGAGGGCCAATAGGGACTGAGGGGACCCAGGCCCCCGAGCTACGAAGAGAGAGGAATTTAACAGGGGGTGGGGAGCCCCGTAACCCCCCCCCCCCTCGCGTTCTTTGCACCAGGGTCCCTCTATAAAGACGCTACTGGGGGGAGGGGCGGAGTGGTGGCACAGAGGTTAGCGTGCTGCGCTACGACGCTGGCGGCCCGATTTCGTTCCCCAGCCACCTGCTAACATCGGTGGCGAGCGATACCGCGAACCGGTCCTGCGCTTCCGCCTGCTTCACCGTGCCGCACTTACCAGCGCGATGCAGTATGGTCAAAACAACCCCTACCACTGAACACTACTTGGAGACCTTCATCCAGCAATGGATTCGACAAACTGAAATTAAAAGAGCCCGAGTGATTTGTTGCTAATAATGAGCACTGAGGCAGTGATTATTTGTTTACAGTCGTGAGCCAGTGGTGAAAATTCCACATTCATATGGCAGGGGGCAAGTCCATCCATTGCACAGCCACTTCTGATCTCCCCACAAAGTGGTACCACTTTTTTTGGCCACGGATAGATATTGGGCTCAGTCAACCCATAACCAGGAATTGAACTCGCCACATTCCGATTGCGAGCCGTTCGCTCTACCGCTCAGCAAGCAGGCCTGATTTTGTACAATATACAGATCCAACATCACCCATCTGCTGGTGTTGTTACTGACGTTGTTGAGCATGGCTTGGCACTTGGTAAGGGTGGCATTGACAGTGGCAGAGCAGCCCTGTGGTGGCGGCTGGGCAAGGATACAAGATGAGGACGACCTCAATAGCGGCTCCGACAGATCCAAGGGCTGACAGCGACGCCTTGCCCAGGCCAGGCTCCTGCAAGAAACAACTTGCTGTGAGATCGGTGCCTCGGGAGGATATTTGGGCGGCATAGGGAAACGTGACGCTACAAGGCTTATCGTTATTGTTGTCATCATTATCGTCGTTATCGTTATCATCGTTCTCGTTGTCGTTATCGTTCTTGTAATCGTTATCATGGTCATCATTATCATTATTGTCGTCAACGTCATTATCAACATTGTTACAGTTCTTGTCGTTATCGTAATTCATCGTCGTCATCGTTGTTATCTTTATCGCCGTAATCATCATCGTTGTCTTCGTTATTATTGTCATTGTTATCGTTGTTGTGATTATTATTGGTATCGTTTTTATCCTGGAGAAAAGCTCAGGGAATTTTCCAAACTTGTTTAGAGGAGGGTCCTGCCAAGTTTTCGCAGGAGGGAAGCAACGGTTTGCGGTGCGGAATCCCAATAGTCATCTGCAGTGTCATTTTTCAGCATTTCGGAATTATGGCCAATGGTCCCGTTAAGTTAATTATTTTATTTATCCTTCACGGGAAGCAATTGAAGAACCCGGAGGAAACCCACACAAAACCGAGGGAGAGAGAACGTACAAACCCCACGCATAAAACAGCGCCCAAGACGGGAATCGAACCCAGGAGGTTCTTGTTCAGTGGCTCCAGCATCACCACTTTGCACAAAATTTAATTAGAATTGTTTGGATTTTCATTGCTTTACGTTGATCTGCATTATGCGTTCATAGTTTTACATGCTATGAAGAAGGGCCGTTGCTCAAAACCTCACTTATATAGAATATATATTAGATTTATATTCTCTTTTACGGCCACTGTTATTGACAGACGTGTCGAGTTTTTCTGTTAATTCTGCTTGTGCGCCACTGCCAATGTTGCAGCAGCATTGCACTAAACCACATCTGCAAAATTCATGGCAGATGCGGTTTCTTGATGACGATGCAGAAACGGTAAAAACGGAAAACTCTCGAGGCAGTGTGCGGAGACGGTGGTCACGACCCAGAACAGAACCAAGGGACGCGTAACGCAGACTCAGTGCCCGACTCACAAACACCAAGGAGGAGGCATCGTCCTTATGACAGCAGCAATGATTCACCACTCCGCTATTCCTGATGCAATTATCTGGCTCAACCACCTCAATGTACAATTATAGTTGTTGCTCTACATAGGTATCATCCGTATTAAGAAGAGATCCAGTCACAGAAACCCATAGACTCACAAGAAAGATCGATATATTCACATACAGAACCACAGATTGACACAGAGATCAATAGGAAGAGGGCATCATCACAGCGATACCGCACTCGGCTGCTCCTGACGCAACCATCCGGCACAACCACATCAATGTAAAATTACAGCTGTTGCTCTATAACAGTATCAGCCGTACGGAGAAGACGACCAAATAATGTAATCGATATGATTTTTTATCATTACTAATTGAGAGGTGCATATCATCAGCGGTAGGAGGGGGTGGGGCGGCGCCTGGTTTCTATAACGTATCCATTACCTGTGCTCCTTTCGGCATGGCCGTCTCGTCGAAGAGCAGCTCCAGGATGTGGATGGAGACGATCAGCACTGAGACCCCCTTGGAGCAGCGCAGAGAGAAGAGAAAGAAGAGGGAGAGAGGCAGACCGACACAGCGGGGGGAAACTGCTCGACCGCGCGGCAAACGAAACGTGGTCATCGAACCGAGCCACGCGATGTGATCGGTGTGCTCAGGTGGATTCGGGCCTACCGTCAGCGTCAGCAGCAGCAGCATGACCAGCGGGTACCCCAGGTTTCTCTGCCAAGGAGATGCTCGCCGCCGTGTCTCTGCGCACAGACGCACGCACACAAGCACACACGTTCTCTCTCCAAGGATTGCGCACCACTGAGTGAGCAGCAGTGCAGTGGTTAGCACAGTGAGGTTTTAGCTACGACGTGATCAGGCCCGGATGTAACATCACAAGCCGGTACCGGCCGTGTCCTTCGGGTGGGCGTGATCTCACGTCATCGCACGAAAGGCCTAAAGTACTCCCCTACCCCTCCGCTTACCATCTCACTCCACTCCCCTCCACACATTCTCCCCTCCATGCACTCTCCTACCTCTCCCCCTATCATCTCACTCCACTCCCCTCTACGCACTCTCTCCTCCACGAACTCTCCTACCTCTCCCATCATCTCACTCTACACACTCTACCGCTCCCCTCTCATCTCACTCAACTCCACATCACACACCCTCCCCTCCACACACTCTCCTACGCCTCCCCTATCCATCTGTATTAATCCATGCATGAACAGAGCGATTGTAAAACAATGGAACACACGCTACGTAAGGCGAACAGCAAGCAAGGGAGATAATAAAAACATGCTTCCCTGTGGAAGCCCCCAGTAAACTTTCGCCCAGTGGGAGGAAACTTATTCTCCTTTGCTGACCCTGTGGCCTGAAACTCCCTTCCCCTAACTGTCCATGCTATTGACTCCCAGCCTCTGTTCAAATCCAGGCTCACAGTCCTTGTTCCTGTTGCAATGAACTCCCTTGCTTCTCTGGATAAAATAAACGTGCTGACCGTTTGTGTACAGCGTCTTGAGATATGGTCGCATTTAGACATTGCAAACATCTGCACGTTACAGCGTGGTATAAAGCTTCATCAGGCTTTCCCCGACCGCACGGCCCAGTCACCCTCTTTGTGCTTAACAAAGAGGGTGAGTGAGTCGTGATTTCGTTGACCTAGCTAAAAAGGTCATCGTACACATAGGTCATCGTATGCAACTCATCATTGACACCACAGAATGAGCCCCTGTTCGACTTGTTCACACCGGCAATTACTCAGGCTAGTTCTGACCGACTAACAAGACTCAAGGACGAACACAGTTTTTTAAAATATATATACACAAGGGGTGCCGCGTATTTATATATTTATTTATGTAACACGGTAATGCCCGGTGAGATATTATCTCTTTTTTTAGAGGGAGTGACCTGGGCACACTTGATGGTAGCTCATCATCTAAGTGACCGAGTTCATCATCACACAAGGGAAGTAAGAGCAGCAGCCAAATAATCTAAGCGCTCGTTGTTCCTAAACGTGGAGAGGGGAAAACCCGGAGAAGGAAGCCGGACAGCGACCCACGCTGGGACCACCACGGGGAGAGAGAGAACACGTGGACTCCAAATACACAAAACGCATCGCCAGGGTCCCGGATCAAACCCAAAACTTTCTGCGTACCAGGAGATGGAGATAACATCTCCTCACCACAGCTAAGGCTTATTTGGATCCTCACCGAGCTTTGTGCGCTCCATTGTGATGACGCTGAGAGTCTGAGCCAGCTCCTGCTGGTCCACCTTGACCCACTGGCACGCGGTGCCTGCGCACGCCAGTGGCACAAACGGTGTAGCAGCAGCGGCATCACACGCGCTGCAAACGGTGACGCTGAAGCCGACAAACCTTGGCGATAACTTCACTTGCAATCGCATCTGACATCGTATGTTTACATATTGGTACAATGGTCGCCCTATTGCTTGCTCTGCTTTTCAGAATTTAAGTTTAAAATGTGTTTGTTGTTTTAATATTTTGATACGACCCAACCAGACATCTGTGAAATAGAGCTTTATAGCTCATCGGATTCCTCCAGTATAAATAAAGATTCTGAAATTTGTTATGGTGACTGTACCGTGGCGCAGTTTGTCCTTGCCATTCGGAAACTTGACCATGTACAGGTTACCCTTGTAAAGGATACTCCATCCTAGTCTCGTGAATTCTCACCTGTTTAAACAAAACCAACTCGACTCCATCACACAAAACATAATCCTAATTATGAATGAATTTAAGTATTTGTTTGTAATTTATTTTTGTTTATTCCCCCTCCCCCAAAACTGTTATCCCGATTGTGTACTCCGTGTATCGTCACGAAACAAACGACCCGTGCCGATATCTCACGTAGCAGAGCCACCGTTTTGTGTTAGAGAAAGGTCCGTGCAAGCAGATACCATAGAACTACTTCTGAGAACTCTTCAAGTGACACCGTGATCCGCACAGTGGGTGGCGGGACCTTGCAAGCCGCCCAGCTGCAGACAGTAACGTTCGCTGCGTGACAACGCATGATCATTGTTTAGCCAAATTAACTTTGCATTAAAAACATTAAATATGTGATGGTTTATTTTACTGCCATTTGTGACCAGGTTGAGACCATCAATTAGCTACACAGGGGTGGACTGGCTTTGAAGGATATTGACGGTACTAGCTCAGAACTCTGAGCCAGCGAGCCACTCCACATGAACACGTGATGCTCAACTGGCACAATTAATCCTTCAGAGCAAGCATCTTACAGGACACACCATTTAGACGCCTCTTGATGGTGTCTTCCTCAAACCTCTGGCAGTCGATCTGCTCGTCTAGATCCTCCAGCAACTGTGGGACATCAACATCATTTACAAACAGCATCACCACCACCATCGGCATCATCATCACATTCACGATACAAGAACATCATCGCTAGCAGCGTGAACACATTTTAACACGGGGAGAGAGAGAACACGCGGTTTCAAGCGACGTGCAAAAAATATGTAGACGGCACCCTGGCATCTGAGCATTATGCAAAAAACATCAGCAGTTCTTCAACAACTGCATTGTGGTTATCTAATCTTGGGTCACCAACAACATTTATTCGAGCAAATGTGACCGACTGACAGCAGCAGCGAATGACAACTGTGGACCTTTTTTCATCCTTATTCAAGACTCATCAGCACCGTGTGGTTACCAATATTCACTGCTGCAGAGTGCTAGGTTTTTTTTATTATAGAGAAAACAACATTACAGAAGGACACGATTTAAAAATAAGATACCCATGCTCACAGACCGGACGGTTAGAAGATCAGGAATTTGCGAATTTTCTTCCGCGAGCAGTAATTGAACGTCGTACGGTTCAATCCACACGTAAGTGTAAGGCCATTAGAACCGGGTGAAGGGCTCCGTTTGGGCATTATTCGAATGATTCTTATTATTGGAAGCGAATTACCATTAATATGCCAAGAGGTGTCTTCGACAAGAAAACACAAAAGTCCAGCGTGCTTTGCATGTCTGGATGACATGACCAAACTTAGGTATAACTTGGACCATCGACCGCGTGAAAACATCAGGAGGCCAATGTGCACATCTCTTTCGTGAATGGAACATTAAATTGCATTCCACGATAGTGGGAATGTGGCCATGCGAGCCAAACCTACAAAACATATAGTATATACGTAGAGACTCATAGATATAGACCAACAGATACAGAGAGGCCCATAGAGATACAGGGAGACGCATAGAGATATAGAGTCATAGAGATACATTAAAGACAAGCCACGATACCATTGTGGCCATGCAAACCAAACTTAAGTAAACCACTTCATTTTGCATTCCTTCAATGGAAGAGGAATAACAAAACTACATAAACTCTCTCCTGCAACCCTCTCATTATGGCTAGCAGACCTCAATATTGTTATTTAGCTCTTGAACATATTGCTGCTGCCATATGCTACAGTAGCATTTACATGTGAATAGTAGCATATGTCTCCTGATATCCACTGGCTGAAGACAACTGTAGGGATGTGATTGGGCTCATACCTGAGCGGCGGAAACTCAAACCCAACTTCCATGTAGGAAGATGCACGATCAGAAGCTGACTGGGAATTTTGTGCGATCTACCAAACCGCTATGTGCGATTTACATCCCCGACTGGGAATGAAGAATTCTCACGGAGCTGTGCAATTCCGCCCCCCACGTTAGAGAACGGCCCGTCAAAGTGGAAATCGCATAACTACTTCTAAAATCCCTTCCAGTGACACCTGGTTTACACATTAGGGGATGCACTTCCCCACCTGTCTCTACCGTTGTGTTTCTCGCATGACAGTCGCGTTGTTTTTTATTCACCGAGCTGGAATTTAGCCAAGTTAAATGTGCAAAGTAAAATTTGCCGTGATGGGTGTTTTACGTTTCCTGTAGCCATCAATGTGTACATGCATGTACGTAATACAGTACATGCAAAAATGCATGCTTCATCAACCTTTGGCAAAGATAAAATTAAAGAGCAAATATATGCATAATTACAACCTAAACAATGTTGGCTATGAAGTGGTAATCATTTTGTTCCATCAACACATTTATTACCATTACAATTTAAAGTGCGTGTCTAATGAGTGATAGGACAGAATACTGTAGATCAGAAGAGATCTCAAATTATCTTTAAAAAATATTCATATAAGTAATAAGGTCTCATCTTATCTTGTGTTAAATCTGTTTTGCTACGAGGTTGCTGTGTGCCAAAGCATGGTACTTTCATTCCAAAGCATTTAAAGCCAAACGAAACAGTGCGCCACAATAACGTCCCGTAAACCATCCCGTTAAGCGTCAACGGGCGACGCGGAGACCGTCGGGGCAATATCCCAAGGCGAGCACGCTCCTCGGTTCGTGATATCGGCAACGCTAATCTCTCTCTCGTCTGTCGGGGCACAGCGATTGACGCCGGTGTTGACAAACGAGCTGAGGATGGAAAACCAAAAGGGAAATGGCTCAAGGAGCCGAGCGAGTGACCTTACCCGCGGCTTCACCAGGAGCTGACCAGTGACGCTGAACATACACGACAGGCCCAGAGGGGTGCACACTGCTCACGTACACACACACACACACAAAGACAAAGAACCCCCATAGAGATTTTAACAGACTGTTGGGGCAAGTGCTGTTAGCGAGTAGCGCCTATGAATCCGGAACGACGCACGGGGAGGTGGGGTGGCCAGGACCACGCACGGCCGCCTTTGTCTATCGAGTGGCGATGTTTACACACTGCACCAGGTACTCATTTGAAGCTGAGTCGTCGATCTAGGGGAGTCGCAAGACTGATTCAGATAATCATCACCGGTGTTGGCTGTGAGTGGGAATTGAACTTGGATCGCTGGGTTCGTAGCACAGCACGCTAAACGCGACACTACCGCTCGCCACAACTTACACACGTGCACACAAACATAAACACACATGCACACAAGGATAATCACTAAGGTCCACCATGTGGTCTAAATAGGCTATTGGAGAAAGTGCTCTAAGCGAGCACCTATGAAGAGCAGTGTGGCTCATGAAGGCCTGAATGGCTCACGAGCGGGTGGTGTGGCCAACATCACGGCCGGCTGCATTTGTCTCCCCAGTACTGATGTTTTAGACACCACACTACGTGCTCATTTAAGGCTGAGTCGACCAGGACTGGTTCAAACAATTGCCTTTGACGTTAATCATGGCCGACAGAAAGACCGGAGGCAGTTCGTGGTATGGGCGGGGCTAGTGATTGGGTGGGCTGCTAGCCCATCACGTCCCTCGAGAGTCTCCCGGATGTCCCTTGTAGACAGCGTCCCAGAAACGTGAGAGGGGCGCGAGAGGGACTCACACAGGAGCAGCAGCACGCCGAAGAGCGAGATGCACGAGTAGAGGTACGGCAGGTAAAATTCCCAGAAATCTAACAAAAAACACACACACACACGAAAGCAGCAGCAACAACAACAAAGCGTTCCCATTCGTCTTGGAACAACTCTGCCCATCCGGTAACTTTATATAAAGTGTCACAAACGGGGCTCGCGATTCAACTCAAAGTTGCTTCGAGATACCCGCAGCATTTAAGTGATTTATAAACGCAAATCCACCGTCCTTATTCAGAATATATTCTACGGCGTTTCCTTTGTCCTGCCCATCTATGTTTGTGCTGCGTGTCCCGATTTCTCTAACTATGGGACCCTTTCACCAATTTTAAGATCAATTATGCAATTTTTACTGCAAGTACGTCGTGATTGCGCAGATACGATGCCTTGCATTTGGTGTCTGAGGTGTTTGAACGTCGTAACACCTGCAATTATGTGAGAAAAGGTAAAGCCGTTTCATTATTCAATATCATGACAATGGTGAAATGATCCCATAGATACACCAGTTGAACCCGAGCTATTAATAATGTGGTGCCTGCATTGTCCTTGTGCTACTCGCCTTTTGGTGGCCTCTGCCCCAGCACTGGTGGCACAATGCCATAAATGAGGCTGTCTTTGATGCAGGCCAAGCAGTTACAAGATGGTGCAAACATTATCAAGCATATTTGTTTGAATTTCTTACCGCATGTATGTGTGGTTGCGCAGACACACGCCTTGTAATTGGTACCTATTTGGTGCTTGAACATATTAACACCTCCTGTATTTACACCAGATTGGATAAAGCCTTTTAATCATTCCTCATTGGTCTGTTGGGTATATTTTTTCATGTGTCTTGTCTGTATTGTCCATCTAAATTTGTTATGTCTGCCTTGTTGTGTACCGTTGGTCTCGTTTGATCACGTCTCTCGTTTGTAATGTCCGTCTAGTTTGCGTTTTCCGTGTCGTTTGGCCTGTCTCATTTGTACTGCACGTGTCGTTAAGCCCAATAGTCAAAATGTATATTAGCACTTTCCCTATAATTCGCACAAAATAGCAAAAGATAAATTCTCACACCCGCAATTGGATGAATGTCTCGTGAGCACAAGAATCGATTTAAAAAAATTAATGGATGGATGGAATGAACAGGAGCGAACATGCCCAAGAGTCCATTCATGGAGAGAGATGGAGCGACGAAATCTGCTTGTCTCACAGGCGTTAGGTGGAGGCCATCATCCAACAGTGGACTGATCAAGGCTGATTATGACGATGAATACGAATGCATTGCTGCATGCATACTAACAAGAGATAATTCAATGATAATGCTTGTCGGATTCATTAACATTACTATCATCGTAATTATTCTCATCATCTGTGTATGAACTAATTCCTTACACAAGTCTGGTCCAGAGATCCCTACTCTGAACACACAGTTCAGTATAATGGTGATTATCACTGACACACAACCAGGGTGAGAAAATAGGATTGTTTAGTAAACGAGCCATCACATTGCCACAATATAGCCACCGGGCGCCACGGTGGCGAGATGTTAACTACCTCGCCAGGTATACAGGAGCATGTCAGTTCGATCCCGACCTTGACGCCTGTAAATTTAGAGTTTGCATTTTTTCCCCATGGTCGCATGGATTTAGTTTATTCAAAACCCCGATACGGTCCGTTGTTAAACCACTTGCCGGATGAGACCCTGCCTCCCACACCGCCACTCTGTGCAGGTCGTGTGAAGTGTTTAACCATACTTCACCACACTGGTCAGTGCGAATGAAAGTGGAGGAGAGGGAGCCAAGGACTGATTTAGATATCGCTCCCCACTGGTGTTTTAGATTGCTTTATAGTTCGCGTGACCAGCATTCACATGACCTCTGCCGCAAAGTAATTCTTGTTTTAAAATCATGCATAGACGCACGCATGCACGTACGCAAGCACAAACGACCAGGACAGCAGCGAGTGCTCAGTGTGTGCGGTGTAATAAATGGCAGCAGAGAATTAAAAAAACACACTTCAAACCCGCTGACAAAAACAGGAAGTGGCGAAGGTGGCGGCAGGAAACGAAACCCAGAAAACAGAGGGGCTCTCGATTTCCACGACAGGCTCTTCTGCATCCTTTTGCCATAATGCAGGGCAGCTGGGTAAGCATCGTTATAATCCTTGGAGAAGGGTGGCCAAGGTAAAGGCGCAGGCCCGTAGTTCCTTTCTCAGGCCACTGCTGGCGGAAGGTGCCTCCCACTAGGGAGAGCTCGAGAGATTTTCCCCTGTGGATGGGTATCTTGGTCTACTCTTCCACGCTGGACCGACTTTCGAAGGTGTGGGAGTGGCCAGACATCTTTGAAGGGGTGGGAGTACCCACACTTTACTCCACCTGTGGTATACAGTTTATACTGCTGGGTCTACTTTGTTCAACTGCCGCACCGAAGGATCGGACTGGCATCTGATGGATTGCAAGTCGAGTGGACCAACCATGACACCAAGCTATAATTACCTAAATCTGTATTATAATGAAGTACAGATGGTATTCATTAGTGTTGTTAATTCACGTACTTAAGTAGAAACGGCGGGCCAATAGAAATGAAATTTCTTCCGAGACGTTCGAAGCACATCCTATCCCAGGATCAGCAATTACTTTATCAGGAGGAGCTGACACTGTCACAACGCATTGATATTAGTCAACTAGAATCCATTCTCATGCTCATCATATATGCACAGCATCATGCGTTGGAGAATCTATTATTCCCTATTCGTATAAATCATCATCCATAATGTATACGGTGCCTCCCATCCAGTGCATCTCAATCTCTCTGCCCTTTCCATGCTTTTATGTATGTTAAACTTCTTTCGCACTCTACATAGCCAACCGTGCTAAATGGACGTGCGGGAGGACAACAAACTAAACACAAAAATCAGTTGTAAAGAAATTAGTTTTCGATCGGGATTTAAAAGTGCATAGCTCCAGTGGCATCCCCATATCGGAAGGGTCATTGCTCAAAACGTTCACTCGATTATAAACTCTTCCTTTCAAGGCCAGTGTTGTCGACACGCACAGACCAGCATGGCGAAATACGATCAAACCTACACCATCCAAACTTCATCTGCTCCCTAATTCATCTTCATCATCATCACGATCCATGGGCAGATAACCCGTAGGTGTCCACTGCAATATTTCGTTATTTGTTTCCACTTTCCTCTGTCTTGTGCCAATATGCTCAAGTAGTGCCACACATTTAAGGCACCAATCTCTTATGTCGTCATCAAATCATTCTTTGTTAGGTCTTCCTCTCTTTTCAGCTCCTTCCATTTTTCCAAACAACTACACGCTTTTAATATGATCGTTCTTGTCCATCATACATGTGTCCAGATAGTGCCAGTTTACTTCTCATCAAATCTTGTGTTATCATCATCATCATCAGGTTGTCTTCTTCTATGTGCAACCATTTTCTCATTTCTAAATTGGGTCACTCTTAGATGCAGCATCCTTCTGTAGCAATACAGTTCGAATGCCAATATCTCTTATCCGTGTCAGTATGGTCAAACAAAGCCCCCCCCCGCCCCCCATAACGAACGAAGCAGCGAGCGCAGAAAGGCCTTAATCCAAGTGTCACGTGGACAGCTAGTGCTAAGCCTACGCGTGTTGTGTCTAAGTCACGTGGGAAAGCTGCGGGTGGAGCGAGCGGCCCGGTCGCACCGTAGAGCGACTCCTTGCTGGCAGCGTCGTCGTCGATGAGCGCCGAGGCCACCCACACCATCCCAGCCACAAGCAGCGACAGCAGGAAAAGCACCACCAGCGTCTCGTACAGCCTCGCCGCAATGCCCTACAGCAAGAGGCAAGGATCCTCCGTGAATAGCCTTTAACAGACTGTAGGGGCAGGTGCTGTTAGCCTGTACGGCACCTTAAAGCGCACACACATACGCACAAGTACATCGTACAGCAAACACACACACACACACACCCCACAGTACACACACATCACACGCACACATCACACAGTGCGCACACGCATTCACGGCCGGACGTGGGACTATCTACTCACCCGCTCATATCGCATGCCGACCTTCATAGGTGCTACTCGCTGACAGCTCTTGCCCCAACAGTCTGTTAAGGCTATAAGGCTTTGACCATACTTCGCCATGCTGATCAGAGTTGGTTGATAAAGGTGGGGTGGAGAGGTTGGGGTTGGGGGGCCGGGTGTGTGTGGGGTGGTCAGCATAGGGCCGGTTCAAATATCAACTTAGTAATCAGACACTGATTCAGGCAGGTACTTGAGGGGCACAGCTGGGTCATATGTTTAGATCCTGATGTTAGCCGCGGGCCAAGAATCCAACTCGGTTTTTCTGGGTTCATAGCGGAAGCACACTATCCACTGAGTCACCACACCCAGTGCCACCACCCAGCGTTAATGATGACAACTAATTACATAATTCTCAGGACAAACGCGTGCTGGGAAGCATGACATAATCTGTGCATACGCACGACTTTTGCGAATTTGTATTCAATTCAGGTTTCCCGTATGGCTAGATAATCCACCCTGTATGGTTAACAACACTCGACACGGCTCGAGTCAATGACACCGTGGCCTTAAAAGGAAGAAATATATGTTACAGTAGACGTTTTGGGCAATGGCCCTTCTTCATAGCACGTGAAAGAAGGGCCATTGCCTGAAGCGATGACATTGAAGATGAAGATGGGTCAATAATTAACAAAATCGAGATATATTCGACAATAACACTGACCTAAAAGGAAATATATAAATCGGCTACATCTTGGGTCATGGCCTTTCCCTTCTCTTTCCTATGAAGGGAAATTACCAAAACGTCACCTCAAATAATAAATACAATCCTTTTTGCTGTAGCGCTATTGAGCAACGTGTTGAGTTGTTGCCGACTGTGCACCACACCAAAGCAGCAGCAGCATGCATGGCCCAACAATGCGTTTTTGTCCACGTTTACCACAACGCTTTTGAAACCCAGATTGGCCTTCTCGAACATAGGAGACACTCAAGTCTCAATGGGCTCTCCATTTGCCTTCACTTAAGAAAACATACGACTACGGTCAAACTACACCCAGATCATGTAAATAGCTTAGTTACTGACGAACATGTGGGACTGAGTGATACAGGGAGGGACCCTGGAATAGACGGGAAGGGCGCCCGTGTGTGTGTGTCTTTGGTTGGTAGTGGTTAGCACACTGCAGTACGAAGCTAGCGACCCAGGTTTCATTCCTGGCGATGTTTAAAAAGAACACCTGGTGCGGTGCGTATAGAACATCAGCGCTGGAGAAAAAAAAGGTGGCTGGCTGAGATGCTGTCCTCAATACCCATGCCATGCCGATATTCATAGGTGCACATGTATGTATGTTGAACTTCCTTCTTCTTTCACACCATATATAGCTAACCGTGCTAATGGCAGTACTTGCCCTAACCGGAAGATGTTGGCTATGTACTTGGCCTCTAATCCATCATGGTGGATGTAGCAGCGATGGTTGGTGGATCACACACATGTTGTAAAACTCCCTCCCGTGGGCGTCGAGGTTGCCATACCCTGGCTTGGCAGGATAAGGCGGTACAGAAAAAATGTGGACTCCACCTGTTCCATCTGTATGGGATAGAGTGTTGCCCCCTCTCACACGCGTGGGTTTTTTCTGAGTGCTCCAGTTTCCTTTCCACATGCAAACGCTCATGAATTGCCTGACATCACCACCAAACTTGGGCAATTGTTGGCACCGGCTCACCGCATGGCTTCTACCATTACCACTCGCCTGTGGTTCCTCCTCCTAGCGCCTCCGAGTCGTTCTCCCTCTCTACGAGAGCGAGCGAGCGAGCGAACGCTGTGCAACGGCGGTGGCTGGCACGGTGTTACACGCTGACATTAGGCTGACACGGGGACCTTTGACTTCGCAGTGCAGGGGGAGCAGAGTGGGAGGCTGCAGCTCACCTTCCGTGAGCCGGCAAACCCCTCGGACTCCGTGAAGAAGTAAGCGAAGGGCATGAGGAAGACCAGCGAGAGGTTGGAGAAGAGGAAGATCAGATTCCACAGCCCTGAGGATCACCATAATGCACACGATGGTCAACACGCACATCGTCGTCCCATGAGCGTCACGGCACAACGACAACCAACATCACTCCTATAACTACTAATGTCTACTCCAACATATACCAGAGACAAAGATCCCCCATATAGCCTTCACAGACAGTTGGGTCAAGTGCTATTAGCGAGCATCTATGAAGGCCAAAACGGCACAGGAGGGAGTGGGTGGCCAGCACCATGCCAGGCCGCCTTTGTCTCCCCAAAGCTAATGTTAGCTCACCACACCAGGTACTCATATTTGATGTTAAGTCGACCAAGGGGATGCCAAGGACCAGTTCAAATAATCATCACTGTTGTTGGCCATGAGCAGGAATCGAACTCAGGTCGCAGGGTTCGTAGCGCAGCCACTACACAACCAACACAACCTCCGTCACCATAATCACCGTTACCATCATCGTCTTTTACATTCATCATTATCTGCAACACCATGATCAGAGTCAACATCACGCTCCTCATTATCATCATCAACAGCCAAGATAACCATCATCACCGTCACCTTCACCACAATCATCACCATCATCACCATCATCACTATCATCGTCTCAATGACAGCCACCACCATCATCTTCCTTTAGGAATCTCTCCCCGTCGGGCCACAACCTCCGCATGGCGTCGCACCACTCCGTGAGGGGGGGGGGGGGGTGGTGCACGGGGGCGGCTTGCACTCACCGTGGATGAGCGAGCCGTTGAGCCACTGCATGTAGTAGCTCTGCGGGAAGGAGAGCAGGATCTCGTTGCTGACGATGGAGAAGGGCAGCAGCAGCACTGCGCCCAGCGACATGGCGAGCGTAAACGTGCAGAGCCACAGCCTGCGCCAACGCAGGGATGCACGCGGGCACAGCGACAACAACAACCAACGTTCGTCGTTGAGCGGCGGTGACGTCACCACGATGCTTGTGCCATGCTAGGTGCACTCTGAGACGGCGTGAAGTGCCGAAGGTGCGTTGGCGGCATACGTAAGACACACTTCGCGCGCGCACAAACACACGCGCAACCCACATACATGTCTGGAGGTGTTAACTACGCACTGTTCGGTAACCTGCATTGCCACCAGGTATCAAAGGGGCAGTACAGCGTTACCTCTGGGTACATAACGGTTGGGGTCAGACGAGGTGAAGTGGATCGTAGCCACGGTTTGGTAAGAACCAATCAGACGGTTCCACGTGGGAATGTGGGATTGGTTGTACCTGGCCACAAACGAGTATAAGAAGGGTGACCACGCAGAGCTCGAGGAGTTCTCTCCCTACACGAAGACCGAAGCCCGGGCTGAAGACTAGCTAGGTCCCTGGACCAGCCTTCCAGCCCTTTTGAGGTCTAAGGCTCGGCATACCCAGTGGTCAGGACCCACCGGGCCAGCGGTGGGTCAGATAGCCTCCCCTAGGTCCCAGCCGGAGGACTCTGGAATAGGGTAGCGGTAGACGTGCGAGTCCCGCCAAGCTAGGAGGCTGTACCTCCTCAGGTATCAAGGAAGTTAGCGGTAGACGTGCAAGTCCCGCCAAGCTAGGAGGTTAGTGGTAGACGTGCGAGTCCCGCCAAGCTAGGAGATTAGCGGTAGACGTGCAAGTCCCGCCAAGCTAGGAGGTTGTACCTCCCTAGGGTATCGGGTGAGGGGACCGTATACCCCTCTGTGTGTTAACGATTGTATGAGGAAAGAATAACAATAAACAGAGTGTGCCTCCTAAGAAGTTTACTCGTCTTTACAACACTACACATGCAACACACGTACATACAAAAAACAGCATACACATACAACACACAAACAAAAATAAAGGTCCTTTAGCCTGAACAAACTGTTCGGGAAAGTGCTGTTAGCGAGCACCTTTGTCTTCCCAGTGGCGATGTTTACACATCGTACCAGGCACTTATTTGAGGCTGAGTTGACCTAGGGAAGGCCCCACGACCAGTTCAGATAATCGTCACTGGTGTTGGCCATGAGCGGGAATCGAACTCGCGTCGCCGGGTTCGGAACACAGCGTGCTAATCACACTATACTGCCGCTCCCCGCAAACATACATTAGACACACACACACAAGACAAGCTGCCATTCACGAGTCGTTCACATCAAGTGTGAATGCAATGCATAAGCGCAAAACTTACGATATTCTGTTAACCATGGCATCTTCGTCATCATCTGGCAAAACATGAACACATGTACGGTTAAGACCATCATTCTCCGCAACTTCAAGACTCACCAGAATGCAGCCTTTCCGTGATTACAAACTACCAGGTGCACGCGGAGTGTGCAACGGCCTAACGCGCTGCGCTTACGTGTCACAGCGGAAGCGGGTTCGCCGCTTGTCGCAGAGGTTCGCGGTTCGAATTCGGCGGGCCTCCCTGGTTAATACTGCAGGTATATTAACTGTAATGTGCACGCCGTCTGTTTCACCGTGGACGTTTAAGATTCCGTGAAGCAGTACGGAACGAGTAGGCCATCGTGTGCCAGTGTCGTGGTCCAGATCTGTTAAATTCGAAAAAATTAAGCCGCAAATCACGGAATTAGAATTGTTGGCTACGTATGGTGTGAAAGAAGTTCAACATATATGCATACAAATGTGTTAAGATGGGATGCGATGTTATTGTGTGTAAAGCGTTCTGAGATGGCCTGGCATGAAGGAGGATGGCTCCGTCAAAAACAACTCTGTATCATATTCTTGGTTCTTTAGGTAAAGTCACATGTTTGCCTTCTACGTGACTTTACCGAAAGAACCAAGAATATGAATCCCTGCAGTCACGAAAGCTTTAAATCAAAACTCTGTATCACTATCATAGCAAGAATGGCACGAATAATATACGTACTAAATAACTTACAATTATCATTACTATTGATACAGTTTGCTGTATAGAGCACACTTCACGAGGAGCAACCCAGGGTACTTCAAAATAACTTTGACAAAAAACACCATTGGCTAATACAGCTCAAGGATAAGATCATGAAAGATCCATAATTAGGTAAAGTTTCAACAACACACAAAGTGTTATGCAATACTACCAGTGATCTTGAGTCGTCATTACACTGAGCAAATGTGACCAATAAAGACAAAATGACCACAATGCAGTTCTTCAGGAACTAGTGGTTTTGAAATAAATAGATGGAGCATGTGGGCTACACTATGTAGCCCACATACACTATGTGTAGCCCACATGCTTGCTGTACCGGCCTTCCCCTGGCAAGCCAGGGTATGGGCACCTCTTTGATGCCCATGGCAAAGGAATTTCACAACGTTGGTTCACGAGCCATTAACCCTCGCTGCCTCCACAGTGCCGGATTACAGGCCACGCACAGCGTAGCCACCGCCGCCAGGACGGCTGTAGGGGGTTTGCAAGGACTGCAGTTGAGAAACTGCTGCTGTAAATGACCATCAACACACACATAAAGACAAAGATCCCCTGATAGCCTTTCAGACTGTTGGGGCAAGTGCTGTTACGAGCACCTCAGGAAAGCCAGCAAGGCACACGAGCGGGGGTGATGGTCAGCAGCACGTCTGGCCGCCTTTGAAACCCAATGCTGATGTTTGACACAACGCACCAGGTATTCATTTGAGTTTTTTGGTTTTATGTGTCTCGGCTTCTTGGGTTTCTCCCAGTGTTTTTCAGTGGGGGTCATTTGTTTACCTCTCCTATACTTTGCATTACGATTGTGTTTTTTGTATTATTTGTTGTAACGTTCTCACCCCATGCCCCGACTGGACATCTGTGAAAAAAGAGCTTTATAGAGCTCATCGGATTCCTCCACTATAAATACATATTCTGATTCTGTTGAGATTTGTTATTTGTTGCTCTTGCACCACTGTCAACGCAGCAGCAGCAGCAGCAGCGCCAACCGATCAATTTGTCACAATTGTTTGCATGCTGTTTTGGTTGTCGCTCGTAATGCTTTTTACTGCAATCCCCGTTGCTGCCGTTGCTGCCAGAGCCCACACCGAACCCAGGGGGACCTGTGGGAGGACGTGCGAGGGCGTGCAAGTCCGTGCACGTGCTCGACGCATTCCCATCATTCCCTGCCCTCTCATCGCTCGCCACGCAGATCCGCCGCAGGCGAGGAACCTAACAATACAAACTCTCAGTAACCCTTCGCCATCCACTCAAAACATTTACACGTGGCTTACAAACTCTTTTCTACGTGTACACATACAGGGCCCATCGTGTTAATCCGCTATTCGATGAGGGTCTTCCCGCCGCTGGATGAGGGTCGTCGGTGGGTGGTCGTTTTACCATACTTCACCACACCGGTCAGTGCTGTTTGGTGAATGTGGAGGAGCAGAGATGTTGGAGCATATGAGTGAAGCACAAGGATGAGCTTTTCCTGCATTGCCCCCCTGCTACCAACAGCACAGCAGCCGCCTGTGACATTGGTGAAATTAATCGCTCTGCTATGAAATCTTAATGGGGGGTTTGTATGCGATGCGTGCTATTAGCCTTGTACAGTTTGCACTGGTTGCACCGTGTTGATGCACGACCTTGCCATTCGGAACGTGACCATGTACAGTTGTTTGTGGATTGTTTTGTTCTCGTTATTGTTTTTACTGTAACCAGGTTTCTGTACCCAGGTCCCTATCGAAAAAAATTGCATTTATGCTCAATGGGTTTAACCTGTGCTGAAATAAAACCTACAAAACCCATTTCATGGACAGTTGTCACCCCATGCAACATTGCCCTGGCTTAAACCTGCTCGGCTTCCGAGATCGGGTGTATTCCGCGTGATGCGGTCATAGGATACGAGCACAATGGACAATGGTACAGCTCAATGATCAAACCGCGACTTTGCTCAACCGAGCAATGGGGTGACCAATTAGCAGGGTGATGACGATATGTCGATTCTTCCAGTTTTTATTTCAGGGTCGTGCATTGCGCGATGGGGTTAAGGTCACTCTTACAGCCACTAGAAAGGCACTGAAATTCGCCGCGATGTAAGAAAAAAAAGATTCTCAAGATATAATTTTCTACAATTCACCGAATTGCTGGGGAAAGAGAGGAGCGGCGTTTGTGAGTTTTTCTTTCCCACCCATAGTGACCACATTGTCATGGTGGGAGCCAGTTCTCTACAATAGGATGGCAGATGTTCACAATTCGCCGCACGTATCTGGACGTAAGAAATTTTTGTAACCGATGAATGGATGACTGAAACGGCTTGCTGCTCGCTTAGCAACTCGTTTCGTTCAAAGTAGTATTCTACTGCTATTTTTTATTGTTTTTTTATTTGACAAGAGCGCAGTACAAATCGCGAAATATTCTACAATTATGAATAATTATTTAAACTTGTAACGTGCTACCGCACAATAGTTGCTCGCCCTCAAAGAGAGAAAAAGGACGATCCAGAGGAATGAGGAGGAACCACAGACAGCAGCCACATGATTGTGAGCCGGCACAAAATTGCCCGCCCAAGCTCTGCGGTCCTCTATATATGAAGGTGTTATCAGTTAATTAGTGAGTTTACACGTGGAAGAAAACCAGAGCACCCACATAAAACTCACACATGTGAGGGGGTAACACTTTATACCAGAGAGATGGAACAGGTGGAGTCCACATTTGCTGTACCGGACTTCTCCTGGCAACGCCCACAGGAAGGGAGTTCGAAGACATTCGTGCGGTGATCCGCCAACCCTCGCTGCCTCCACGGTACTGGATTACAGGCCAGGAGCATAATCACCACCGCCCAGAAAAACCTTTGAGCGCAAGCAAGTTCGAGTGGATGCAGGACAGATTGTCTGCCGTGGCACTGACTGTATGCGCTGAATGTAGAGGCCTAACATGGTGTAAGATTTGGCCTGAAGGTTAGACAGACCATTCACCTGGTCAGATAGTAAATTTAGCAACTTTACAAGGACACATTTGTGAGTATTGTACAACAGAATTTGAATTAAAAAAATAACACTGTCGGACAAGCAATTGAGATTAATGGTGACGCTGAAACGGAGTTTTAAAGGGACTCGGGGGGGGGGGGAAACGGTAATAACGTGTTTGAAAGAACCCCTCAATGCGCGTTCATAAGAACACGGTGCAGAGTGCCAAGCTGGCTCCACTGAGATCCCGGCGTCAATTTCAGACAACCCCCCCTGATTAGTGCAATGAGTTGATGGTCTAGGCCCAGTCACCCACCACTGCAAAGAAAAAAACCTAAATGTCAGTCCTGAGAAAATAATGATCAATGGGAATTGTCATGTGGCGAACATTACTCTCGTAAGTAGAGCGAGGGGGAAAGTGCTGCCCCCTACTGCGTGTGGATCAGAGTTCACTACTTAAAGGGATCTCAGGGGTAGCTCCACGGTGTTCGGTTCGGCGGATCATCCTCTTACACAAAGGGTCGTACTGCTCTGTAAGAGTTGCGACGGAATGCTTCGTCTCAGGACACGACAATAATAGCACAATCGGATATCAAATTTGCAGAAAAACACAAATTAATTATTTAAAGAATCTGTGCAGATTTTAAAAAAAACGCCACTTTTTTTCAAATTTTCTTGCTGTGGTTTTCACACCTGATGATGATTGCTTGTGTTGCAGTCGAAACGTCGTGAGAATTTTATTGTTTTATATTTTTATTATTTTATTGTTTCCCTTCTACGTGATTTTACCAAAAGAACCAAGAATATGAATCTGTGCAGACTTGCATCGCAAGCACACACGTCCCACCGCCACCACCACCAAACAACAAGTGGAAACATGAGTTTCTCTTCAGTGAGATTGTTTAGTTTAGGAGCGCCAAGGTGGTGGGATGTTAACTACCTCGCCTAGTATACAGGAGGTCGTGGGTTCGATCCCGACCCTGACGCCTGTATATTTGGAAGTTTGCATGTCTCTCTCCCCGTGATCTCGTGGATTTTTCTCTGGGACCTCCAGTTTTTCCCTCAACATTTAGAATCAACGTGAGTTTAGAGAATTTGGCTGCTATAAATTTCCACGTGATAAGTCACTTCGTTGAGCAATCATTTGTGGCCAGGTCGCTTCTGAAAAATTATTATTTAGCTCAGTGGGACTTACCTGCTAAAATAAAAATAGTTTATAGTGTAGTTTGATAGATAACATAATCGGGATAAAATTGTAAAAAAAGGTAAATTATTTTGTTATTTAAAGAATGTGTGCAGACTTGCATCGTAAGCACACACGTCCCACCACCAGTGTGCAAAAAGTGGTAATTCGAGTTTCTCTTCGGTGAGAGTGTTCATACTCTTTGGTTCTATTCGGTAAAGTCACATAAGTAAAAAATAAAACAACAAGAATCACGATGTTTCGGCCACAACACAAGCGGCCTTCATCAGGTGAAGGCACCAGGTGAAGGCCGCTTGTGTTGTGGCCGAAACGTCGTGATTTTTGTTGTTTTATTTTTTACCTACGTGACTCTACCGAATAGAACCAAAGAGTATGGATCCTTGCAGTCACGAAAGCTTTAAATCTAGAAGAGAGTGTTCGTCTCCCGCGGCCGTGATTCCCAGCTTCAGGTGGTGATGGTGATGGCCGTGGTGACCACGTAGGGTTGGCTGTTGACGTGCGGGTTTGCAGGTGCCAGCAACAAGGACGAGGAGGGGCATACGCCTCGTCGCTCGCGTGCCGGAGCTTCTCCGGCAATTACCGCCGGGGCTTGGTAAGCGACATCGACACGCGTGCTGACAAATACTTGCGAACCCAGTCCACCCAGCTGCTTATGCACTCTCGGTGGGGGTGCTTCAGCTTCAAATTTGATTTATGGCTGTTTATCGCAAGCGGCCCGATGTTGAGGTCAGGCGAGCAAAGCAAACGCAGAGAAGGTTCTGGCACCGCTCCTCAAGTCATTGCACGTGCTCCGTCACGTGAACGTAATTCATTGGTTTGGCAGCTGGAAGAATAAGCGCTGTGTGAACGGTGTTTCCTGTTCGAATGCGAAACTTTAAGCACAGGTCTGGAGGTCTATTGGAAGAATGAACGTTTAATTAATCACCACCCACCCCCCCCCCGTGCGATTTCCACTGTAATAGCAGCAGCTCTTTCTGCTACGTCAGCAGTACTCCTGCTGTGTTTATTTCACCTGATGACGGTTGCTTGTGTTGCGACCGAAACGTCGTGACCTATTAATTTTCTACCTACGTGACTTTACCGAAAGAACCAAAGAGTATGAATCAAGATTGTAATAGAAATGTTATTTGTTAACTTGGCAAAGCCTCACTGAGCGAGTCTCAAGATATTTTCAGGAGGGTCCGTGTACATGGGATGTTATTCCAATTACTTCAGAACATAATAAATGTCTACACTGAGGACCGGGACTGCCACTGACTTTTTGAGACACTTAGACTCCAGCGGCTTTTGGCTAGTCATCGAACAAAGACAGTCACTGCAATGCGCGCTTTCAGATGCACTTCTGCGGCCGTCTGGAATGCTCTTCCTTCCGATATTAGGAAGCCACTGGAGCTTTGCACTTTTAAATCACCTAGTTTGAAAACCAATTTCTTTAGAACTGACTTTTTGTCTTTAATGTGTTATCCTTCCCTGCACCTCTGAATAGCACGGTTGGCTACGTACAGTGCAAAAGAAGTTCAACATACATACAAACCTCTATCTTTCGCCTGGCTCCATAGTTACGGTAATTTAGAAATCAGTCAGAATATGTATTTGTACTGGAGGAATCCGATAAGCTTTAAAACTCTTTTTTTACAGATGTCCAGTATAGGGCGGGTCAGAAAGTTATGTCCGTGACATTGTTTGGCACGTTACAAATCGCATTATTATTATTACTACGCGGGTTTTGCACATGGGATGAAACTGCAGTGCCCCAAAAAAACCCAGATAGGAGGGGAATTACGATAAATGTCCACACAGATGAGTTCACAAACCGAACAGTTGTATTACCATCTTATGGCCGCCGCGAAACCCAGCACGTTTTGAAGCATCACGCATCTACGCGAACCACTAACACTCTTGTGTCCCAAGGTGTGGGTTGTTATCCACACCTGGCAGCTATAAGAGCCTCAACAGGAATGTACATGCCCCACAGCCAGGGGACAAACAGGATTTTAAAAACTCTGGTAGTGTGCGACTGTATTCACCTCCGAACATACAATGGAACATGACAGGACTCGATGGATAATTCACAAGAAGAGGTCTATAAATTTACACTGAGACCCATAGACTCACACAGCTCTATAGATTCACACGAGACCCATACACACAGAGAACATCACACTCACAGAGATCTATAGATTCACATGTAGAACCATACACGCACACAGTTAACATTAGACTCATACAGAGATCTATAGATTCACATGTAGAACCATACACTCACACAGAGAACATTAGACTTGCACAGAGATCTATGTGATACAGCAGCAATACAGCAGTGCCGCAGCACTCCGCTACTCCTGACGCAATCATCTGGCTCAACCGCTTCAATGTGAAATTGTGGTTGTTGCCCCATATCAACATCAGCCGTACAGAGAAGGCTGGTGCTGTAGAGCAGCACCACATATTAGTATTTCCTCATTATTCATGATCATCGTGAATAAAAAAATGTTGCGGATAATGTATGTATGTTGAACTTCTTTCACACCGTACATAGTCAACCGTGCTAATCGGAGGTGCGGGGAAGGACAACAATGATATTGGCCTATGAATATTGTACGCGCAACATCTGCAGATGCTTCTAAAGCTTTGAAAAGTTCTCTCTATCTCTCTAACCAGGTTATTTCATCATGTTATCTCATTACATTCTCTCTCATCACTTGCTCTCTCTCGATGCAGTCATGTACAGTTCCAGATGTGATTCGCGGAAAGCCAAAATCGCGGATAGCAAGTTCACGAATCACGAGGGAACACCGCTGTGTACATCTCTCGGAGGGCGCGTCCAGAGGAGAGACCGGTAATCTACCGAAGCCGCTCCATTGTTATCGCAGATAATGTAGCTCAGGGGGCACCTGATATGAAGTCCGCCTTCTTCTTGTATCTCGTGATGGTGATGTAGGAGACAATGTAGAGCGTGGTGAAGAGCAGGAAGCAGATCTGGAAGTGAGTAAATGGACAAAGAGTTCAGATGATTGAAAGCAGGATCACGATCACCATCTTCAAGAACATCTGTGGACTCACTCTCACCTCACTCTACTCCTCTCCACAGACTCTACTCCTCTCCACGCACTCTCCTACCTCTCATATCACTCTACTCCACTCCACACACTCTCCTACCTCTCAACTCACTCGACACCCCTCCATGCACTCTCTCTGCTCCAGCAACCAATGCTTACTGTGGAAGCCCAGAGTCAACCTTCGCTCAGTGGGGAGGTCGCTCATTATCCTCTGTTGGTCCCAAAGTCTCGAACTGCCTTCCTCCAGTCATCTGTGCTGTCGGCTCCCTGTCTCTGTTCAATTGGAGGCTCAAAACATTCCTCTTGCTCCTCTGGCTGTGACTGACTGTCTCTCTCTATATAAAATAAATATGCTCACGGTTTTGGTGCTGAGTCTTGAGATGCAGTCACAATAAAACATCGCAACATTAATCCACATTGCATTGTATATCAGGCTATAGACATCTAAATCTATGGTTCTCTATGCGGATCCATGGGACACTATGTAAGGCGATGATGGTTCTCTCTAAGTCCGTGGGTCTCTATATATAGTTAAGTGTATGAGCCTCTATGACCAAGGCCCAGTACGCAGCTAATAAACAAATAAATCACACCCACAGTGTATAAACTATTTTGATCTTACCAGGTAAGGCCCACTGAGCATATAGCTCTTTTCAGAAGCGATCTAGCCACAAATGATAGCTCAATAATGTGGCTTATCATATGGAAATTTATAGCAGCCAAAAAATCTAAACGCATGTTTCTAAATGTGGAGGGAAAAACCGAAGGACCTGGAGAAAAATCCACGCCACCACAGGGAGAGATACACGTAAACTCCAAATACACAGGGGTTTGGGGGTTGACTCGGCCCATCACCTCTCCAGGGTCGACAAAGTGAATACTACTATGTGGGGAAGTCAATAGGAATGTGGAACTTCCACCACTGGCTCTGTAGCACTGTAAACGAGAGATGAGCATCAATGCATCTCGATGCTCATTCAAGCAGCACATCATGCTTTCCAAGCAAGAGTGAACGGGTTTATGTGTTAGTTTTCATCCGTTACAAAAGCCAGGCTTTTGCAAGATTATTCCTCAACATTTACACGTTGTGTCTTTCCCCAGCGTTATCCCGATTGTGCTGTCGGCGTCGCGCCATGAGTTCAGTAAACCTTTGTGCTAGAGAACGGCCCACAGTAGCGCACATCGGAGAGCAACCTCCGACATTCCTTCAAGTGTCCTCTTTTGCACCATATGTAGCCAACCATGCCAATCGGGGGAAGGACAATAAACTAAACACAACAACAAGCAGTTTAAAAGAAATGAGTTTTTCCCCACACGAGGGCAAACCAACAAAACCTCAACAGATCCCTTAATAACACTGCGTGGCCTTAAAAGGAAAAATATATAAATAGACGTTTCAGGCAATAATCCTTCATAGCACATACGGTATATGGAGGGAGAGAAACACGGGGGATCGTAAAAGCTGGAGATGGCACCTGTTTATATCATGGTGGCCTGATGAGAACTAAATAAATAAAAATGTTTATGATGACCGAGTTTTTAAATTGGCATGTAAATAGTTAACGTTAATAGCCGTTTTTGGAGTAACGGGCTAATCACACACGAGGAGATATCTGAGCAGTAAATCACCGTGAGCTTTCGCTGTTGCACCCGACAGAAAGAGGCGTGTCACACTCAAAACACGGGAAGGGCTTCGCCGTTCCTACTGGACCGGCAGACTTGTGGAGCGTGCACTACGCTCGTCCCACCAGGAGCGGGCGAGGATTTCGATTGCGAAGACCCAAATCTCGTTTTCTAGGGATGCATGGCTGCAACTCAGCGGCTAAACGCCAGAAAGACTCCCCCCCACCCATCGTACACTCGCTCAAGAGCCACCACTGATATGATTTACACCCCAGCATGTCAACCGTGCTGCCGTGTCAGCTTACCGTTCTGCTCAGCGCTCGGGACAAGGTTTTGCTTCTTCAAGAGTGAATTTGTCCTCTACTTTTGACACCGAGCGAGTACAATCGAGATTCAGGGGCAGAAAAACGCAACCCACGCCATGAATTCCCGAGTGATTTTGATAAATAGCATACAAACTTGAATGCCACCTTAATTGTGCAATTTTGTTACGTGAGATTACTCACGAAAGCCTCACTTGGGTTTCAAGACTCTTTTCTCAGGAGGGTTTTGCCAAGTTTTCACAGAAGAGGGTGGTGATTACTGCTCTGTAGATTCCAACTGAGTGATTTAGAGTCCACAAAATATTCAAACTTGGCAAATCTGGATCATGAAGCTGGCACTCAATGACCCACTCTTGCGAACTATGTCAATGGATCTGTAAAGACCGCTGTGAGTGAAGCAAACGCCACGCAGCAGTATTATCATAGTTAATACATGACTTAAAGCTTTCGTGACTGCAGGAATTCATATTCGTTGGGTCTTTCGGTAAAGCCACGTAGATAGAAAAAATGTTTTATCTGCATGGCTTTACCGAAAGACCCAAAGAATATAGTTAATACACACATGCTTTTAGAGTAATTGGCTGCTATAAATTTCCACATGATAAGCCACCGAGTAGTGCTATCATTTGTGATAGCCAGGTTGCTTCTGAAAAAGAGCTACATAGCTCAGTGGGGCCTTATCTGGTAAAATAAAAAAATAGCTTAATAAAATAGTTAATCAGGGCAGTCGCTGTATTCAAAGCGCGAACATCTGCACCGTCCAGGGTCAGTCCTAACCTTGACACTGCAGAAGGGTTTCCGCGACACGCTGATACTACCACACATCTACGGAATAATACCCACTGATCGTATTTCCCGTTTTGATAAATATCGCTCCGCCCAGTTTAATTAAAAAAAAATTGTATGTCCAGACAAAAAAATTGTTGAAATGAAAAACGCAACAAGATAGATTCACATATAGAACCGTACACTCACACACAGAACATTAGACTCTCACAGAGTACAGTACCGATTACTCCATTAAATGAGTGCTTAATTTAACGAGTGCTTGCTCATTAAAAAAATTCTCCCAAATACGCCATAGCTTTAGTATGGCATCATCGTCCTCACATGTATTTACATTCACATCGTGTGAGCGAAAGCGAGCGTTACAAACTTGAAAATCGCGAGCGGCGTGCGGGCTCATGAGCGGCGGCAGCATAACCGACCAGCGCCGACCCGAGACACCTGCCTAGAAACAGCGGAGGAATTCAAGACGTGCGGGAAAAACAACACCGGGCCAACTCGTCGTACCAAAAACAGGCGCCCATGTGACCGCGAGCTGTCAACGGTGACGCAAAGCAACGCGGCGGTCACCCGACAACGAAGCGCAACCCACGGCACTCGGCACGGGCCGACACAACCCGTGAGCTGTGGGCGCAGGCGGACCACGTCCGCTCGCTCGCTCGCGCTGCCGTTGTCGCGATCAGCGCAGACCGCGAGGCTGCGTGCGGTAACGAATTCAAGCCGGAGGAAGCGTCTTATCTATATTGATATTATTTTATTTCTGGGGCCACAGTGTTATTGACGATTGTGTTGAGTTTTTTTTCGTTAATGCACTTCTGCCAACGCAGAGGCGTCACCAAATAACTAGTTTTTATTTATAACCGGTAAGAGCCCATGAAATAAACTATCTACATGGACTTAGGGTAAAGATCTATAGAGACCCACCACAGATACAAACAGAATAACATGGAGATCAGCAGACCTGCATGAAGAGCGAAAGACGTATAGCTTTGCATTAAGCGCAAGTCTCAAAACATTAAATGCTGTAAGTCGAACACGAACGTGAACGCATGATCGATACGCCAGCATGGATGATGAACGTTGTCCTCGTACGTCCAACACCGGGTTATTTTATTAGCATGCAACCATGATTGAGAACGGCGGGGTCAACATTGACAAAAACGATGATCATCATTTGTTTTTGATAGAACATCCTCCTATAAATATGTTGGGGCGTCTCAGAGGGATTCACAACTCACCTCAACACGTCTGAAAGGGGCACCCCCAGTGGCAGCGGTCACAAGGCGCCTCAGAACCTGGCCTACAATCGGGCATTAGCCTGCCGGTAGTGGGGGGGGCGCTACGACTGCTGTCCATATTCCAAGGGAGTAATTTAAAGTGCGATTTTAGAAACTTGGCAAATGTTGGACCATGCTCTGCTTTTGCGAACAACATCAGGGGATATTTAATGTCCGCTGTGAAGCAGGCGGCGTGCATTAACTACGATTATTACACACCGCGGTAATTCATAATGCGTTTAGAGTAGAAACATTAGTTTCGAGTATTTGGCTGCTATAAATGTCCACGCGATAAGCCACTTCGTTGAGTTATCATTTGTGTGATAGCCTGGTCGCTTCTGAAAGAGAGCTACCACAGCTCAGTGGGCCTTTACCAGGTAAAATAAAATAGTTTTGTTTAAAATTGTTCAGTTTTAATCACGAGTTGATGATGAAGGACGTCACCCGACACAGTCAATTAGTAAGGTGCGTCACGTAAACAAAACGTACCAATTAGTTACTACTTCAGCACACCGGTGTGTTGGAGAGTAAACCCACAGCATTTACAATTCGAGTACGACGTTTCGCTGGTGATTACTCATCCAGCTTTAATCATACGATTTGCCAGAAATTCTAGAAGTCTCTGAAATGTATTCGTGCCCCACGCCCTGGGTTCACGCTCCTCGCAGCTGATTTCGTGTCGCAAGGCCCTGGCCACGCCACCCCGGAGAGCCGCCTCGCCACAACAAAGCGCCCTCTCTTTTGTGCTCCTCTTTAACCCCCCCCCCGCCCCCCACTCAGTTGCATTCCCATTGCGCAATCGATGCAATGTCTCCGCTTGTAACTCTGCTGATGGCAGTGCCATCACCCCTCTGACAGCAGCTATCGAGCTCGGGCTTTCAGACGCGCTTCTGCGGCTGTCTGGAACGCTCTTCCTTCCGACATTAGGAAGTCGCAATGCACTTTTAACTCATCATCTAGATTGAAAACTCGTTTCTTTAAAACGGCTTTTTGCGTTTAGCTTGTTGTCCTTCCCCCGTACCTCCGAGTAGCACGGCTGGCTACGTACGGTAACGAAAGACGTTCAACATGCGTACACGCAGGACCCCAAATATTATCGCAGCACCTCCTGGCTTTGATCTTTCTCCTCTTTCTCGAAGATACCGGTGGTGGTTCCATCAACCGCAACATCAGAGCATCAACACCATGCTGATGCTGCACCACAACTCCTCCACACATGGATAATTAAAGACGCAGCCACAGTGGTGCGATTGTGGCCATGCAACCCAAACTATGGACCATATAACAGACCCATGGAAATTCAGAGACCCGTTGAGGTACATTATAGACAAGCCACCAGTGGTGCGACTGCGGCGAATGCAGCCCGACCCACACGCGGTGTCGATGGGCCTCCTCCACCACAGCCGTCGAGAGAACTCACGGCGCCCCCCCCCCCCCGGGTACTCACGACACCCCCCCCCCCCCCGGGTACTCACGATGCTCTCTCTGCGTACTCACGATGCTCTCTCTGCGTACTCACGACGCCGCCCCCCCCCCCCCCGGGTACTCACGACACCCCCCCGGGTACTCACGACACCCCTCTGGGTACTCACGATGCTCTCTGGGTACTCACGACACCCCTCTGGGTACTCACGATGCTCTCTCTGGGTACTCACGACGTCTCTCTGGGTACTCACGATGCTCTCTCTGGGTACTCACGATGCTCTCTGGGTACTCACGACACCCCTCTGGGTACTCACGACGTCTCTCTGGGTACTCACGATGCTCTCTGGGTACTCACGATGCTCTCTGGGTACTCACGATGCTCTCTGGGTACTCACGACACCCCTCTGGGTACTCACGACACCCCTCTGGGTACTCACGACGTCTCTCTGGGTACTCACGATGCTCTCTCTGGGTACTCACGACGCCCCTCTGGGTACTCACGATGCTCTCTGGGTACTCACGATGCTCTCTGGGTACTCACGATGCTCTCTGGGTACTCACGATGCTCTCTGGGTACTCACGATGCTCTCTGGGTACTCACGACACCCCTCCGGGTACTCACGATGCTCTCTCTGGGTACTCACGATGCTCTCTCTGGGTACTCACGATGCTCTCTGGGTACTCACGACACCCCTCTGGGTACTCACGACACCCCTCTGGGTACTCACGACGTCTCTCTGGGTACTCACGATGCTCTCTCTGGGTACTCACGACACCCCTCTGGGTACTCACGATGCTCTCTGGGTACTCACGACACCCCTCCGGGTACTCACGATGCTCTCTCTGGGTACTCACGATGCTCTCTCTGACGCGGTTGTGGAAGTCTTGCTCCCTCGCGTCAACTTCGTCTGCCATCGCGCTTCATCTTCGCGGCCCCACGGCGAGGAAACGATGAGGAGAATGAGGGTGAGGAGGAGGGTGAGGAGGAGGGTGAGGAGAGTGAGGAGGGTGAGGAGGAGGGTGAGGAGAATGAGGAGGGTGAGGAGGAGAATGAGGGTGAGGAGAATGAGGAGGGTGAGGAGGATGGTGAGGAGGAGAATGAGGAGGGCGAGGAGGAGGGTGAGGAGTATGAGGAGGGTGAGGAGTATGAGGAGGGTGAAGAGGATGAGGAGAATGAGGAAGGTGAAGAGGAGGATGAGGAGGGTGAAGAGGAGGATGAGGAGGGTGAGGAGGAGGATGAGGAGGAGATTTGAGACTGGGAAACAAAACGCCGCGTCCCAGATCGCCTCTGTCTGGGGCCTGACAGCGGGAATCGTCCACAATCGATTCATGAACCTACAACCGACTCTAGAACCTTTCGATTCTAGGCTCGAATCGCGTCTTTGGTGGCGATGGGGTTCTCCGAATAACGATTCCCGTGTATCGATTCTTGGCAGGTGTTTCCGTACACAGATGCATTTGTCGATTCCCTATCAATTATTTACATTGCGTAGATGACTTAATTATACACCCCTTAGCCGTTACGATTGATGAATACGATTGAACCTCCCGCCCAAAACGATTCCTATGGCCGAGATAAATTTATCGATACATTTTTCTGAGGTAAAAAAGTAAACATTTTCATATGGGATCGATACGGCTATCGATTCGCGAGTTTACGATTATTTTCCGAATGAACTGGACGCGATTCTAAGTAAACGAATCGCTCCACCGTGGCCTTAGAACGGGCCGGGGAGCAGAACGATCAGATTGAGAATCCTCATTTCTCCTGGAGGAATTAAGTCGGAATTAGCTTGCGGTGCAATTTGCGACGTTTCTTTGTTGAGTACATGAATCTTGATGTTCATAGTGGAGGAATCCTACGAGCTGCGAAGCTCTTTTTCACCCCACGCGTCCGGTAGTTGACGCGCGAGTCGAGTTTCACATTGAAGCATCACGCCTCGTCAGATTCCTACAATATATTTCGATTTAAAGCTTTCGTGACTGCAATGATTCATCTTCTTTGGTTCTTTCGGTAAAGTCACGTAGAATGAGAATAAAATAATAAATTGATAAAATAAAATAATAATATTCTCAAGACGTTTCGGCCACAACACAAGCGGCCTTCATCAGGTGAAGGGACGAGACTGTCTGGTAGGACAGCGCTGGAGTGAAAGAGCCACGTTCAGATCACGGCCTTTAAGTGCTAAAGTTGAGGCTTAAAGGCCGTGATCTGAACGTGGCTCTTTCACTCCAGCGCTGTCCTACCAGACAGTCTCGTCCCTTCACCTGATGAAGGCCGCTTGTGTTGTGGCCGAAACGTCGTGAGAATGTTATTTTATTTTATCAATTTATTATTTTATTCCTACAATATAGTTACACATTCTGAAGCTGTTTCAAAGAACGTTAACCACATGCAGTATTTTTTTATATATTAAATCAAATTCCCGGTGCTTAAAACAAAAATTCCTTCGAACGATATGTGTATATACTGAACGATGTGTGTATAATATATACCGTAAGCGCGCCACTTTTTAAAAGTAAATATCCACGGGAAGATAAAATCCAACCTTGACAAGCAACATCAGTCTTAAGTCAGACTGCAGGAGGAATCCGATGAACTATAAAGCTCTTGATTTGAACCTTTCGTGACTCCAGAAATCCATACCCTTTGTTTATTTCGGTAAAGACACGTAGGTGGGCCTACTTCAGTTTTGTTCATGCTGCGGCTGTCCCACCTGACCTAGACTTCTCGTGTTGATCTATTATTTTTCTACCTACGTGGCGACTTTACCGAAGGAACCAGAGTAACAAAGCTCTTTTTCACACATGCCCGGTAGCGGCACGGGCTCTGGTTGTAGTCTTGGTTAGTGTGTTGCTGCACTGCCCAAGCTTGCACTGGGCACAATGCATGCGCACGAGTGCAGTTTGTATTTGGCTGCCGAGATGTTACCTCGCCTGGTATACATCCCGACCCCTGCTGTATATTTAGAGTTTGCATGTTTCTCTCTTCCACGTGGGTCCTCAGGGGTGTTCCTTCACATTTAGAATGAACGCACGTTTAAGAGTACGTCTGCCATAAACGAACCACATAAACCACTTAGGTTGAGCCGTCATTTGTGGTCAGGTCGCTTCTGAGAAAGAGCTACATAGCTCAATGGACATTACCTGGCAAAATAAAAAAAAGGTTTTGTAGCTTTAAATATCTTTCCACTAATGTCAAGCAGCCGTGATCGGGAATCGAACTCGGGTGGCATGGAGCTGCATGGCAGCTCCCTGCACCGGTCCACCGCAGCGTACAAATGTATAATCTTGATAACCGGTTGCAATGGAAACACAGCCAAGCAGCCGGCTGGCGATGAAACAACACTGAAGAAACAGTCAAGAAACCCCCCCCCCCCCACGTGGTTTCAGTGACCAAGGTTTAATAAAACGAGGATTTAAAACAAGGCAACCTGCAGTCTTAGCGAGAGGCCCAGTGGGGGAGGGGCTGCAGCAGAGAGACAAACACAACAACCACGTCTCCTGCCTGGCTAACGTGCCAAGGTCTCAAAACACAAAGGCCGCGGAGACAAATCAATAAGAGAATCGCAGTAATCACGAAGTCCTCTCTCCTCTTCCAGTACTCTTTGTGGCCAGATCGCTTCTGAAAAAGAATAACTCTGCGGGCTTTCGCTGGTAAAATTATACTGTAAAGTGTTAGTTTACAAAATATTTTTAGTGATTTGCTTACTATCTTGATTTGAAGCTTTCGTTACTGCAAGAATCCATACTCTTTGGTTCTTTCGGTAAAGTCACGTAGGTAGAAAAATTGTTGTATTGAGAAGAAACAATCGTAATGCTAAACAGTAAGTTAAATGTACGTCCCTTTCTATTGATACTGTGTAAAATTAGAAAACATATCTTAAACTCTTAAATATTTTAAAACTTTTTTGTTGTTGCAAAGTTAGATTCATAGTTTTAGCAGAGCAGTGGGATACTCTGCGGAAGCTGACTCCACAGAGTTACATCTGAGACCTCTGGTCCATACACAGTGACTGCCGCCTTCCCGCCGAGGATCGTCGCATGATAGTTAAACTTGGATGCTTTTAATTCTCAGTGGGAATTTATCCAAATTAGTTCAGAACCAACTTTAACCCGATTTAAATTTCGTTCAGTCATTGGTGACCAGGACTTAGACCCATCAACTTCTCCAGCCATAAGAACCTGGTTTAAAAAACACTGGCAGCTGACACAAGGATTCGATCCCAGGATTCTCAGCGGTGCCACTCGGTCCCCTTGATTAACATCGAACGCTACTGGTTCCCGATCCACGCATGGAACCGTAACATTTAAGAATGATTACGACCTTTACGAGAACCACTCTATTGGTCAGCCGAGGACCGCAACTCGGTCACGCCGTCCGCGCCATCGCCGTCCGCGGCGACGGCGGTGACGGCAGTGACGGCTGCGCACAGACGGCTGACCGACGCCGTGATTACATTCCACCATGAGCAACGTGGCACAAGAGGCAGGGCCAAGCCTCCGGCGAGCGAGTGGGCCATCGTCCGCGCAGTCGATTTGGTCGCCCGTCGTCAGCCGCTCCTCCCCTCTCCGGCGCTCCCGACTCCGCCACGTCCCCCAGCTCACCGGGGCCTCGCTCTCTCACGCGTCATCCTCCTGCGAGGAAGGAAGACGACGCAGCTCAACGTTAAACTCAACGAAAAACTTTTTTACTTTTACCGAGCTATTTTACCAGGTAAGACCAACTCGATTAGCACGGTTGGCTACGTATGGTGCAAAGTTCAACATATATACAGCTCTTTTTCAGAAGCGACCTGGCCACAAATGACAATTCAACAAAGCGGCCAGGCTAATCACGTGAGAATTTATAGCGGCAGCCAAATACTCTGAACGCACGTTGATTCTAAATGTGGATAGAAAAGCCGGAGGACCCGAAAAAAATCCGCACAACCGCGGGGGGGGAAGAACATGCAAACCTCCTGCATGAAAGGGGAGGGAGTTAACATCTCACCACCGTGGCATCAAATAATGCTTTCTCTTTTTCCAACGCACAACCCAGCCGCGTTGGGGCCGTGCCGATCCAGCACGGTGCAGCTCAAGAGGAGCCAGGCCGCTGTTCTACTACAGTTGGCGAGCCGTACCGCTGCCGTAGCACGCGAGGGACGGGTCGAGATGTCTGCGGGTATGTTCAACACGACTGCAACACCGGGGGAGCAGATTTGCTTGCGGCTCTGCAGCACAGCGGCAACGCGCGCTCCGATCGAACCGACAGGGTCACGCAGTTTCTTTTGCGTACACGGTTACTCACCACGCCCTATAAAAACCCACTTGGCCGCAGGAATCGATTCTCCATCTGTGACGACGATTGCTCGCCATCTCCGATCGCCACTCCGCCAGGCTAGATTGTTGTCGACCGTGACGTGCAAACTTTGAAGGTGCGACAGCGGGAGCCGGGGGGCACCAGCGAGCTGCCCGACGAGGTGGAGGTCCTGGAACTCAGAGCCCGGTTGCGTCACCGGCGTCATGATCACCAACCTTTGCTGCCACGTCTGGACAAACACAGGTGAATGCTGGTTGAGGGCGACAACGCGCCTCTCCCTTCGACCCGGAACGTTGTCGCCATTGCCGCCTCCGCCGACCTCAAACTCATCCCCGTTTTCCTCTCTCAGCCGACCCAGCGGGAAGCCGCACTGCTCCCGCTGGTGCGCCTCATCCCCCGCCACTCCCGAGCGGGAATCCCAACCAGCCGGGGCGCTTCCTGCGCCGGACAACAGCGGAGAAGCTTCTCGGCCGTGGCGCATGTGGCGCCAGAATTCTGGCACGCCGCCGGCGGCGGACACGGCAGAGAGGCGAGGGACAGCTGAGCACGCTCGCGCCGCCGCATCTCCTTGACGCGTAGCACGAGCTCCCGGTCGAGCTTCTGCCTCCGCAGGGCGCTCAGGTGGAGACCTGCACGGCGGCAGCGTCGCAGTGCGTCGAACACTGCGAAGCAAAGCCACTGAAATCAATCGGTGATCGCGAAATCCACGAGCAGAAGACCGAGCCGCTCGTGTGAATTTGAAAGCCGAGAAACGCGGCACGGGGGGGCCGTGCAAACCACACGCTTTGCACTCGCTCAGCTTTGACTCAGGACTACCTTTGTATGTATTTTATTTTAAGTCAATTAATCCCAACGGACTCTCACCTGGTTATACGCAAAGCACGTGAATGAATAAGCACGTAAGAAATGAACGAATTAACTACCGTTTCTGCGGCCGAGTCGTCATTCTGCAACTTGGCATGACCAGAGGCCGCGGAGCTCTGTGCGCGTGCGTTCCATCTGCACGGCGCGGGCGATTCGCTTGCTGCCCCCTGCAGATTTCCTCCTGGGGCGCCGACCGTGCACTGCGCCTCACCCGGCACGGACGTCACCGGCACGAGCGGCGTGGCGGAGGCGGCGCGTGCCGAACCGGCGCGAGCGAATGGCGTGCCACGGCTACCGCCGGGAAGCTCCGCCGGCGCCTGTTGCTGCAGAACGGAGAAATTCCGCCGCCCAGCGGTGGGAACGACGACGGTCCCAGCGACTGTGGCCAGGTTCCGTGGCGACGGAAGACTGCGTTCGGCGCCAGTGGCAGCCCGTGGCGATTGCTCGACGCGTCCGGGAAAGAGCTGTCGGTGCGCGGCCAAGAGAAAACTCCTGGCGTCAGGCCGAGCTGTTGCGGCACGATTGACGGCGGCGTCGGCGGCTTGCGAGGAGCCACGCCGGCCGCCGTCAGCCAGGTCGGGCGCCTGCGTCGGTGGGCACGAACGCCGCTCCTCCAGGGTGGCGACCCGCACCGATGGCCCCGATAGTGTGGGGGATGCAGGCACCGCGGTGGCTGCTGCGGCCCACGCGGGCACCGGGAAAGTGCCAGCTTGAGCGACTGGAACCTGGCCGGCCGTGCGACCTTGGTGGCCGCAGCCAGACAGAGTGGCGTGAACTACAGCCGGGCCAGCAGGGTTGTGATGGGCCCAATCGGACATCCATGAATTATGAGCAAGTATGGCGGTGAAGTTGGCATTTTGAAGAGACTAGGCGGAGGCATCGGTGACCGGCGCCGACGATTGACCATCGATGATCGACCCTGAATTGTCTTGCTTCACCTGCACAGCCGATACGGACGATAGCGGCATAACTCACGTGGGTCAATACGATTCAGCCTCTAACCCCATCTTTTGAGGTTCCATTAATATTTAGACACTGCGATGAATGATGGTGAATTTCGCGTCTTTTTGGGTCTCGTTAACAAATTACGACACATGCAAAAAAACCCATCAACTCTTACACACACGCGATGCCATTCGAGCTTAAGAATCCACATTGATGAATCGATGCAGCGTTATACATCTAGCTAGCGCGATTATCGAGGCTGGCTATGTACGGTGCGACAGAAGTTCAACATACATACTAAAGGTGTTGCCCCAATCGCCATGGACCCATGGTGGAAATTCCACACTAAGGAAGAGGAAGACAGTGGTTTGCGCGCCGTGAACCCGGTAATACGGGTTCTATTCCCGGCCATGGCTAACGTCAGCCGTAGGCGATATCTAAACCGGTATCCCCTGCCCATTTCACCAACCCGCATTGACCAACGCGGTGAAGTTTGGTCAAACCCCAATGACCAAATCGGCGTGAATTAGACTTTCATCCAGCGGTGGACTGACAAAGGGGGTTGTCATTATACGATTATCATGACCTCTCCATATAACTGTACAGCGGCGCACAGTCAACGTGACATCCTCTGCGTCGCGCCACTCCCTTTAAAATGCGGCCCAACGGACACGGCACACCCCACGCCGTAAAGAGCCTCGCCGTCGGCACGTGCATGCTCGGCGACGCTCTCGCAGCGTCCCCGTCTTGAATCACCGGTGGGACGATGGGCACGATGTTTTGCGACCACTCATCCTTGGGAAATGTACTTCGCGGCGGCGGCGGCAACAGCGGTGGTGGGAACAGCGGGGGCAGCGGTGGCGACGCGTGAATGGAACTCGGCGGCGGTGCGGGCTGGGGACCGGTGAGGTAACGGCCGGGCGGCCGTTCGTCAGCGCAGCTTCCGTCAGGCCGCAGCGCAACCGCGCATCGTCTTGCTGCAACCCGTCGGTGCAGGGGCCTGCAATTTACCGGGCCCCAGCGGTAGCGTGTGGTTGGCGAACGCCGGTAAGGACAGGTCGCTGTTCGGCGACGGCGGGTAGACCTGCGCGGCCGGCACGGCGGGGCTCCACTGGTTCATCCACAGAGCGCCGTTCTGGATCGCCTGCTCCAGGTCTGAGGAACAGGAAGCGCCATTGTTCCCACGAGCGGACGGCAACAGCTCGGGGGAACCATCGACCCGGCAGACGAGTCCATTAAGGGCGCTTGCCTTCCGGCTCCCCCAAATTAAACTATTTTTTTATTTTTCCAAGTAAGACCCCACTGAGCTATGTAGCTTTTTTTTAGAAGCGACCTGGCCACATATGATAGCTCAACGAAGTGGCTTATTTATAGCAGCCAAATATATTCAAAACGCACGTTGATGGTAAATGTGGAGCGAAAACCGGAGGACCCTGAGAAAAATCCACGCGACCACGGGGAGAGAGAGAGAGGACATGCAAACTCCAAATATACAGGCGTCAAGGTCGGATACGAACCCATGGCCTCCTGTAGTCCAGGCGAGGTTGTTAACATCTCACAAGGCAGTGAAAACCTCTCGGAGCCGGACTCGAGTAAGCCAGAATTCGGGGTAAGATGAAAGTCTTCCCAACTGGAACACTATTCGCGTGATAATTCAGCTGTGCGTGGTACGGGACGGCGTGTGCTTTTCCATTGTGTGGAATTTGACAGCCCATTCCCTTGAACGCTGCTTGCTCTGTTAGTTCCCTAATTTATTTTACATGTTTTACAAATAAACACATTTAACGATTCAAGCCCACGAGGAAATCTCTCCCACTGTAGTGACATTGCTGTTAAATTGACAGTTATAAACTATAACACTGTCTAAGTTAATTGTATGCAACTGCATACGGAATATGCAGATATTATGGATCCTATATCATGGGATCTGTTTTGCCAGTATCAAAATATGAAAAGTAAGAATATATTTTGCCCTTTCTGGCAATAAAACAAGAGGTGTTGAGATGTTTAAACGCCAAATAGAAACCTTTTGCAAGTGATCAAGTCTGCATTAACCACACATACTTGTGAACATGCAAACAAAACATGCTCTGATAATTATATATGCATTGTCTTTGAAATTGATTGGCCTACAACAGAGACAGCCTTATGGCCTAGTCTCACCGGTGTTAGATCAGAGAGCGCCAAAAGGCGAACAGTACAAAGCCATTGCACCTATCAGAGCATTTATCGCTCGGGGTGTGCAGCTTTATCATGGGACATTTTTTCAGTAACAACGTATATATTATCAGAACATATTTGTTTGCATGTTCACCACAAGTACGTGTTGTTAATGCAGACTTAATTCCTTGCAAACGGTTTCTATGTGGTGTCTGAACGTCTTAACACCTCCCGTTTAATTTCCAGAAAGGGTAAAACCTATTCTTATTTTTCATATGCTTTTGGCTAGCCAACGACCAAAGTCGGCCACTGCATCGTGCGCTTTCAGATGCCCTTCTGCAGCCACCTGGAACGCCCTTCCTTCCGATATTAGGAAGCCACTGGGAGATATGCACTTTTAAATAATCTAGATTGACAAACTCTTTATTTTACAACTGCTTTTTTCCCCACACCTCCAATTAGCAAGGTTGGCTACGTACGGTGCTAAAGAAGTTCAACATACATACAACCTACTTTTCCCCAAAATTTGCTATATTATGCGGTTAGAATTGTCTCTGATGCCGCTATGCGGTCAGACGTGGGACAACATTGTGTAACTGTACCGTACGCGCAACTCGGAAGGTCGCTGTCTCTCTTGCGTGGTTCAGTTTCACGTGCCCATTTTTTGGACTGCATCTACTGCCGACGTGTAAAGTGAGGGAAACCTGTACAAACAACATCTCTGCACCGGTTTCGACATTCAGTGTCTCACCGACAGTCAAGTTTACTTGAATCAATGCTGGTGAACTGTCTGGTATTATCGGCCAGGACCCTCACACTGTTCGTAGCCAACTATGCTAATCGGAGGTATGTTACCCAGTACAATTAATTATAACCGTAAAGGGTCTTCCCAGATTACTCTGCCTGTAAGAGGATTTGCTGTACCGAGAGATTTCGCTGGATGTGTGCAGTGGTTCTCAGCGTAGAACAATGTGGATTCATAGAGGCATGTCTAAAAGTAATCGTGTATCAAGACGCTGTGCAGGAACCGCGGGCATATTTACTTTTAGTTTAATAATTTAGTCAGATAGTTTAACTTGCTTTACCGGGCGAGAGAACGTGAGAGAATTAAGGACGAGTCTCATTTGCAATAGTACCCTGGGTCACCAAATTAAGGAAAACAATAACATGAACATTAATTACAACGATGGAGCAAATACAAATCAGAGGAAAACCCACGCTACCAACAAAATCAAAATAGTGCATAAAGTGCATAATGAATCTGAAACAAAGTAAACAACCGGGAACGAAAGTTGGCTTGGACAAAACATACTTTTAAACACCATTCATCGCAAAAAATAAGAGGAAGACCTTGAGCAACGGACTTGAAACAGGGGCCGGGAGTCAGCAGCACAGAGGGCTGGGGGAAGGAAGAGTTCCACAGCGGGAGGGCAGCACCAGGAACCTCGCTCAAACACGAACTGAGTCGGAGAGGGAGGGTCCAGTCGGGTCCCTGCCACCTCGCGTCACTGCTCGCTCCAGCGCAGCCGCCGTGCCTGCTGTAGGGATGCCAGGCTGGGGGCCCCCACCGGGGATTTTCCGCATTGGTCCTCCTGAGCCTTATACTGCCGAGACAAGATGCGGCACGTGGAGCGGCAACACGCGCAGCACGCTGGGTATGCGGACTGAACCCCGTCGGGCGTTTCCGGCGTTGCGGCTGGAACCGGCCTCCTGGCACGTCGGCACGGCGTGCTTTGCCGTTCGCGTCACGGTACGACCCCGATGACGTGCCTGAGAAACATTCTAAGATCTCCATTTTTTTATTGAGGCAATGTGTGGGCTCAATTCCGGCTCTCGTCTAATTTTCAGTGGTTATGCCACAAGCATACTGGTCAAAATAACCTTCCTGGCTATGATACTGAAGGTTTGGAGGAGAGCGTATTGGTATCTTGAGGCCGCAGGAGGCCTTAATCCCCATTAGTCTCCTCTATTCATGGGGACAAATCTGTGCCACAAACGTCATTAAAGAACCTTGCGATCTCGCTGTAAAGCTTTGCAACATCCGGGAAATACCAGAAGGCATGGAAATGATTCTGAAAACTCACTTTACTAGCCGGGCACGCAGGCCTCCCCTTCGCAATCACCACCGCTCACCGGGATCTTGAAATGTGACCGAGGCCAGAAGTGTTGACCTGCGGGGAAGAAGTTCTGTCTCTCCGATGGTTGCCACCCTGCTTGCCTTCCTCTGCCCTGCTCCCTGGCGCCTCTCCGGCCCCCGGGGCTGTCCGGACACGCTCCCGACGGCTCTGAATAAGGCTTGTTCTTGTACCTCCCATACTGGGCCTTCAGCTCGTCTGTGAGCACTCAGAGATATCAGGAAGAGGCAGGTGACAGCAGGGATTGGTCGCCCACTCTCCCGCGGGGGGTTTTCACGTTGGACCGAGAGCACCGTTCGGCACAGCGTCCGACGTTTCGCAATATGTGCCGGGACCTTCTACAGAAAAACTGAAGCCAAAGAAGGTGCTTGCCCAGCACGTGGAGCGAAACGTCGGACAGTCGTGCCGAACGACGCGTAATGATACAACTCGAAGACTGCTATCGAAGAGCTGCGCAGCAGCAGCAGCACGATCGTAGAAACCCACACAGGCGTAACGCCCCCCCCTCACCCCAAAATGTATTCCATACGAACGCCGCTGTGTGGTAAAGGGTCAACGCACTCAACTTGTAATCCAGAAGTAGCCGGTTCGATTCAATCTCCCGGCACGGCAGTTGAAAAACATCAGAGCCAGTGGTGGAAAATCCACATTCCTATCGCAGGAGTGAGTCAATCCATCGGACGTTGATTTACCCACAAAGTGGTACTCATTTTATCGACAACTCCAGCGAGGATGATGGGGCGAGTCAATCCCCACCCGGGATTTTAACTTAGAAACCGTTCCGCTCGAGGGCCGCTCGCCCCGACCGCTAAGCGACCTGGCTGGAAAGCATCAAAAAAGAAAATCCACAAAATGGCATCTGTGCGAGTGACGTCATTGCGAGGTCATAGCAATGACACCGCACCCGGCGACTTTGGGAGCTTGCGATCTTTCCCGGACGTTCTGCCGCCGCTGCGATGCCACCGCCGCCTCCGCTCTCTGTCCGCTCGCTCCGGAAACGCAGCCGCGTCGCTGTCCTTTCCTTCTCCTCCTCGTCAACGTCGTCGTCGCCCTTCCGCATCCCGGATTCCACCTCCTCGTGCTGGCGAGAGACGGCGTGACACGCGCATCGCCGTTAACTCCGCGCCACCGCAAGTTTGATGCACCCACAGCCCCATCGCGTGCTCTATCCGCTATTAGGCTCAGTGCTCCATTTGCTCGCGGTAATGCTAGAGGCTGTCTACATGGGTGTGGTGGACTGTATACTCGAGTGCAGCCAGACTACGTTACCGGGTCTATTCACGAGCCACATGACTTGAGTTTGGACTCAAAAAAGATTTGCCAACCAAATTCAGAGCGAGATCTAGTGTGGTCTGCGCGTACCCATGCACTGTGTAGAGTTGATTTAAATGTATTAATCAATTATTATGATTGCGCTTGTTTACCTGAGAACGCCTCACTGAGTCTCGAGCCTCTTAATTTCATATACTTTGCAATTCTATTGTGTTTCTGTATTGTTTGTTGTTGTAACGTTCTAACCCGCTCCAACTGAATATCTGTGAAAAAGACCTTAATAGCTCATCGGATTCCTCCAGTATAAATATTCTGATTCTGATCAACTTAAGACAGATCTTATGTGTATCAATATACGTGTGTGTCTCATGCAATGTACAGTCCCAATGAAAATTCGGGAATAAACGATGATGGGAACGTATCACGATGCATGTGCGCAGCCACGCACCATCGCCTCACCCTCTCTGCTGTCATTGCCACGGCCCTCCTTTGCGGCGGGGCCTTCGCTCGCGTCGTTCTCCGCAGTCGATTTGTCACACACCAGCATGGTCACCAACTCGTCCGACTCCGGCGAACGACCTTCCTCCTCACCAAGCAGGACGCTATTCATATGCACGTCCATCGGCATCAATTCATCCTGCAAGCGGACGAATCGCGCAAAAATGGTCGGCACGGCTAAGCGAGAGCCCGGTAGACGTGGAATGCCTGGCCAGCTCTGGGGCCACCGTTAGCCCAACGGTTCCAGTCACACGCCGTCATCGGTGAAACGTTGGTGTGTAAAGGGGAGTGTTTGTGGTTAGCGCTACGCTGCGCTACGAAGCCGGCAAACCGAGTTCGATTTCTGCTCACGGCCAACATCGGTGACGAATATCTGAACCGGTCTTGGGCCTCCCCTAGGTCGACTTAGCCTCAAATGAGTGCCTGGTGCGTAGTGCAAACATTGCAACTTGGGAAACAAAACAGGCCGGGCGTTGTGCTGGCCACCCACCTCTTGTGTGCCGTGACAACCTTCATAGGCGCTACTTGCTAACAGCACTTTTCCCACAGTCTCTTTCTATGTGGTTGATCTTTGTCTTATATTTGGACCTCTGCGTGTTTTTTTCCACTTATCCGGGGTATTTAAAACTGGTTTTCTCCCATTCGAAGCTATACATTCAAGCCATGGAATTGTCCAAACATCCCAATGTAGGACTCTATTATAGGACTGTATAGTAGGACTCTATTGTAGGACTTTATTGTAGGACTACTTAAAAAGGGTCTTGAGATTCAATGAAGCTTCCTTGCATAAATAAAATGACATCATTATTATGTATTATCCATAATACAGGTTTTTTTGTATTATTGTTGTATGCACAAGTTAACACTTAATACGTTTGCATTGATTGTTTAGATGGGATGCATTTCCTATGTAGTTTGTGGGGGCACGTGGTTGGGGCTGAGTCTGGGGTCACGTACAGCAGTGGTTCTGAACTTTGTTTGGCTACTGCTGTACCCCCCTTGTTGAATTTTGTTTCAACCGAGTAACCCCCTCGCCTGACCCAACGTAGTTCTGAGAAATAAAAGTATGAATATTGAACATTAATATTTTAACCAATTGTCCATTATGAGGTATTCCTAACTAGATAAGTAACTGCAGGCGAATTAAAAAAATTAAATGGACGCTCTGCATGTGTGACGTCATTTGTTTGCACCCGCTGCTTACTCTTGAAAACCACTGTGTACGATCAATGAGTTTAGAAAGGTCTTTCATATCGTTCTAGGCTACCATATGGACTTCAACCGAGATGATGGGTACAAACTTAGCAATCATTGGAAGGACGTTATTAACCAGGTAAAGTCTTAACTAACTGTGATGTTTCCATCCTACCTGCCTATGTCAGCTGTTATTTCATGCTATTCTCTCACTTTAACAAAGCCACTTCCATGGCCAGTTACATGCTAACTACTCACATTAACATCATGCTAATCTCTCACATTATGATAGCTACTTCCGTACCTAGTTACATGCTAATTTCTCACTTTATCATGCTAATCTCTCACATTATCATAGCTACTGCCGAGCCTATGTACATGCTAATTTTTGCACATTAACATCATGTTAATCTCTCACATTAACACAGCTACTTCCATACCCAGTTACATGCTAAATTCTCACTTTAACATCACTAGACCCAGCCAATCCTTTATATCCCTTGGGCTACACCCATTTCAAAACCTTTATAACAGTCTGCATCAGCAGCAGGCCATGCTTTCTTACCTGATTACGGATGCTTGTGTTGCGCCCGAAACGTATTGATTTATTTTATTTTTCTACCTACGTGACTTTACCGAAAGAACCAAAGAGCATGGATTCCTGCAGTCACGAATGCTTCAAATCAAGATTCACATATGGATTTAAATGATCAGTTATTTTATTTTGGCAGGTTCATATATTCATCAGACATGATTATTCACCAATGACTCATGTATGATATAATTTCACATATTTTTAAAATCACCTCACGTACCCCCTGGAACATTGCCACGTACCCCCCGGTTGAGAACCACTGACGTAGAGGACAATGGAGCACGCCGATATAAATAATCTAAGTTATATCTATAGAGCACCTTCACTCAAGGCGCTTCCCATATTCTTGGTTCTTTCGGTAAAGTCACATAGAAGGGAAACAATACAAATATAAAACAATAAAATTCTCACGGTGTTTCGACTGCAACACAAGCAATCATCATCAGGTGTGAAAACCACAGCAAGAAAATTTGAAAAAAGTGGCGGTTTTTTTAACGTTAGCACCACGGAGAGCGATTTGACAGTTTGTTCAGATGGACGAGTCCATCTATGTTCGGAAAGGAGGAAGACGAAAAATAATGGATGCGGTCTGAAAGCCACCGTAAGCGTGATCAATCTATTAAGACCCGAAATGGTTTATCATATCCTTCCAATGATTGCTAAGCCAGAATCCATCTTCTCATAGTTTACAAACCGGTGCCAGAATGGAATGCTGTAGTTGACAGGGGCGTGCTACAAGGTAGTGTGTGAGTGACAGCGAGAGAGGGGTACAGGAAGGAGTGAAGAGGCGAGGGCAGGGAAAAGAGAATGGCCATTGGCGAAGAGGTGGAGCTTTATTACAGGAGGTCGTGGGTTCAATCCTAACCCTGACGCCTGCTGTATGTATTTGGAGTTTGCATGTTCTCCCCGTGGCCGCGTGGATTTTCTCCGGTTTTTCCCTCCAAACTTATAATCAACACGCGTTTAGGGTATTTGGCTGCTATACATTTCCAATGTAATGTATAAGCCACTACTTCGTTGAGCTATCATTTGTGATAGCCAGGTCGCTTCTGAAAAAGAGATTATAGCTCTGTTGGAGAAAACATCCACGACACGCCGCCATTATTTGCCTACTTTAAAACGACAGTAAATCGATGTGCTACGAAGGGTCATTGCCCGAAACGTGGCCTGTTAAAAAAATGTTAAGGCCACACACACACAGTGTTATTATTTACAAATGTGTTGGGAGGATTTTTCGCGGGTGTTAATTGTGCTTTGGGGCGGCTGGGATTTGGATTTAGAAGCTACGGACGGTTTGGATGGCGGCGATTGGTGCTCGTGAGCAAGGTCCCAACTTGATCTGGTTTACTGTTACAAGTTATTGTTGGTCACCCATCATACCAGTAAAGTACGACTGTGGCAAGTATAGTAATGCATTGCTTATATTAATGCGACCAAAGTAGAGCTATGGTGGACTGAAAACTAATTTCTTGAGAATAGATTTTTATAGTGTCGTTGGCCTCCACCCGCGCACCTCCGATTAGCACAGGTTGGCTCCGTACGGTGCGAAAGAAGTTCAACATTCAATGCTAAGATCATATTTACAGTATTGTTGTGGTAATTATCGTAACGCACGCATTGCTATTGTAACGATGGGAATGCGTTGCTATGGTAATGCTGGTAACGTGTGTTGCTAGGGGAATTCTTACCTCGTCCATTTCTACAGTCGCGCGCCACGTGGCACCGAACTCGCACCTCGTGCTCACGATTCGACCACGTGGCGTGCGGGAGTCTCGCGAGATCGGCGGGAGTGGTCACGTGGACTCGCCACGGGCATTGTGTGTGAAACTAAAAACTGGTTATTAATAATAATAAAAAAATATTTTACCAGGTAAAGTCCACTGAGCGACGTAGCTCTCTTTCAGAAGTCACTTGGCTATGACAAACGATAGTTGAACGAAGCGGATTATCGTGTGAACATTTAGAGCAACCAAAATACTTTAGACGCACGTACAAGATACCCGTCGTGCATGTACTGTACAAGACGCGTGGACGTACAGTGCGCGTACACGTGTCAATGTACAGTGCACGTGTGAACAGTACATGTAGAATCCGTGTTGTCAACCCCCACGTTGTGTGGGCCTTGGGAATGAGTGTACCATACTTCACGCGTCCCAGTTAAAGTCGTGGAAGGTAGTGCAAACATCGGCGTGGGAGGAGAGAATCTCAGCCAATGATTCCCACTTTTGTCCGTGATCAAATCACCCGGAATTCACGCGATCTCGAAAGCTAAGCAGGTTGACAGAGTAGATGGTACTTATGGGTATACGGGTGACCACCATATACAAGCACAAGTGTCAGAATCTTTACACTGGAGGAATCCGATGAGCAACACAGCTCTTTTTTTACGCGTCCAATAGTTTTTTACGAATGTCCAGAATGTGTAATGTAATGTGGGCAGTAGAGGGCAGTGCAGCAACAGCCATCCACTCCCTTCAGCCAAGCGCACTTACATGCATGGCATAAATAGATATCTGTGTATGTCTCAAAAACCTCTACTTCTCGACAAGGTAGACAGTGGAAATTTGGTACGCAGGTTTTAGGACACATATCACAGGAAAAATCAGAAAATCTGAGATTTTTTTCATTTTCAGGCCCCCAAATCTCGATTTTAAGTGTCCCATAAACTTGTTTAAACAAGTTCGTGTCATTCAGAAACCGTTCAAAATATAAGATTGCTGTTTTTTTCGTCCGATAGAGTGTTAAAACAGCTAATACAATCAAAGTGAGGACCATTCTATCTTTTTTTATATAGATTTCGGATTAAAGCGGGTTTTTAACGAAAAAAATACGTATTTTATGACGTTCAAATCGTAATAATTCGAAAACGCCAAATGACTAAGTACCGCTTCACGCTCGTTCGGGCAATATGACTTGAACACCGCAGCGTTATTGTTGTAACTATATATATATTTTTATATATATGATGTATACATTATTCTTAGCTGAATGTGAATGTGTTTAGAAATCAGGCGCACGCGAGGGCAGCTCAGGGGTGGGGGGGGGCCCTCGCGCGCGAGGCCCCTCCCCCCAGCTGGTTGAAGTCACGTGACGAGGCTGACACGTGTCGCCTGTGCGCCGCGTTCCACGCCGCTACCTGCTGACAACGTGTACAGTCTCATACGCACTGTACTCATACACACAGCACGTGTACTCATACACACAGTGTACTCATAGTATACACACAGTGTACTCATACACACCACGTGTACGCTACACACAGTACGTGTACTCATACACACAGCACGTGTACTCATACACACAGTGTACTCATAGTATACACACAGCACGTGTACTCATACACACAGTGTACTCATAGTATACACACAGCACGTGTACTCATACAGTGTACTCATACACACAGCACGTGTACGCTACACACAGCACGTGTACTCATACACAGTGTACTAATAGTATACACAGCAAGTGTACTCATACACACAGTGTACTCATACACACAGCACGTGTACTCATACACACAGCACGTGTACTCATACACACAGCACGTGTACTCATACACACAGCACGTGTACTCATACACACAGTGTACGCATACATACAGTGTACTCATACACACCACGTGTACGCTACACACAGCACGTGTACTCATACACAGTGTATTAATAGTATACACACAGCACGTGTACTCATACACAGTGTACTAATAGTATACACACAGCACGTGTACTCTGTACACCCACACTCGGGAGCTCCCCGGCTGAGGCAGATCCGCTGAACTTCTGAGTCCTTGTGTCTCCGAGCTTGTTCCTCCTTGAGTTCTGAACTCCGAGTCCCTGGGCTGTTGAGCTGAGCTGTTGATCTGCTCTCTCGGCTTCACCAGAGCTCGAGTGAGGAGGAGGCGCCATGAGTTTGCTGACTTTGCTGCTGCTGAGCGCCTCTGCGCTGCTGATGCTTCCCACGCCGGGGGCTGCCAAGAAGGACTACGGTCTATACTGTGGAGGTAAGTATTGGCCGGTGTATTGTGTTGTCTGTATGTGTGAAGCCGCAAGGTGTACCTAGCCTGGCGCAAGTCGAAAACTTGGGATCGATTCTCGGGACCCACTCGCTCGCCCACTCATTCGTTGACTTATTCATTTATCAAGTCACGCAGTAACTCATCTACTCATTCATTCACTCATTCATTTATCAAGTCACGCAGTAACTCATCTACTTACCGATTCATTCACCCACTCACTTGCTTATCCACTCATTAATGTACCAAGTAACGCAGTAACTCATACACTCATCCATTTACTCATTAATTTATCAAGTCATGCAGTAACTCACCCACCCAACCACAGCGGTAGCCACCTCTCTGGCTTGAACCCGGAGAGCCCCGTAATCGGCTTCTGTGTTTGGGTGGCAGGAATTGATTTTTACCGAGATCTGCTATCGGCATTGTGTTGAACTTTATTACAGGTTACTGCTCTGCTTTGATACACTTAGGCGGACTCGTTGACCCACTCACCTGTCCACCGAATCACTCAACCCTCACCCATTCACTCACTCGCCCACTACGGTTACCACCTGGCCGGGTTTGACGGTCCGCAAATTGGCTTTCGTGTCGGGGAACTGGCAAATGTGCTCGGGAATTAGCATCTTTGTCTGGGTGGAAGACATTGATTTGTACCAAGAGTCTGGTCCCTGCGTTACTTTGAGCGTCATTGTCGTTGACACTGCTCGGTTCTGATGCTGGACGGAGTGCTGGCTGAGAAAGATGTCCGGGTTTGGCTGCCGTGAGAAGAAAATGTGGCAACCCGAATTCCCCCACCGTGCCCAATGTCAGTTGTATGTGGCGTCTGAAACCTGACCTGGACCCCCTCCACTCCCCGCTAGGTCGACTGAGCCTAAAATGAGTACCATGGCGGGTTGTACCTTGAAGGAATATCGGTACTACTAAGACCGCGGCAGTGGGGCATCTGTTGTGCTGTATGTATGCCGAACTTCTTCTGCCCCGTACATAGCCAACAGGGCTAATCAGAGGTGCGGAGAACAGCAAGATGTGACAGTACAGATAATCGGAGATGATCCCTGGTTTGCATAACATGTGGGAAATAAGCAGAAAGGGAAGTGTTGTGATCTGAAGTGCGGTGAGTGGGTGAGTGAGTTAGTTATATTTATCACCTGCAGTGTGGTGGTGGTAGCTGAACACTGTGTGGTAGGTGAGACGAAACAGTCGGTGTCTGGTTGACCAAGTTCTCAAGATTGGCGGATAGGAATCGGTGAAGTTCACGGGAACAGCAGCTATGGTAGTAGCGGTAGAAGAGTGACAATCACCCCGTCTGCTGCTTCACTATGAATTATATCCAGTGGGTGTGTGAGTGAGCGAGCAAGTGATTGGAGTGAATCGGCAAGTGCTGCATTTATCAATGGCCCCGGCTGCTGTTTTACTCTGAATTCTATCCAGTGGGTGGATGAGTGAGCACTGCATCATCATTAGTCACCCGACTGCTGCTTCACTGTCAGGTGCAGCACTGGGTGCTACTCCAGACATGACACAGTATAGGTATTTCAGCTTGGATTGAAGTAATGATGATGGCCCTCGTTGTCGTCATCATCGTCGTCGTTGTTTGTGGGGGTGCTCAGCTTGCCGAGCGCTGGTGGACGAGGTGACGTGGGAGGTAAGCCAGGTGGACCCCAAGAAAACCATCCAGGTGGGCTCCTTCCGCATCAACCCCGACGGAACCCAGGACACGACCGAGGTGAAGCCACGTCAACCACCTCCGCTCCGTGCCCACCTCCGCTCCATGTCTAAAGCCCCCTATCAGTCTTTTCCTTCTTAATATTCTCTCTTTCTGTCCCTCTCTGTGCCCAATCCCCTTTTCAATATCCCTCCTTCCTTGCTGCACCCCACTACTGGAATCAACTTTCCCTGTACATTAACCCTTTCCCATTCCGATGACGTACGTATGCGTACGTCATCAGTTTTCCTTCTAATTCCGTTTCGATGACGTACGCCTCCCCCCTTCCCACCCAACCAACCGTCACCACACAACCAGTCATCACGTCGCCGTGCCGTGGCCGCTGTCGCCCCCCTTCGTTCCCCACCCCCCTCCCACCGCCAGGTACCTTTTGCCCGCTCGGAAGCCCACCTGCTGGAGGTGCTGGAGGGCGTGTGCCAGCGCGTGGGCGACTACGCCGAGGTGGACGCCGGCTCGGGGAGGCCGCGCTCGTTCGTGCGCACGACCGCCCGTCCCGGCGAGAAGCTCGACCTGAGCAACGTCACCATCAGCGGCGACGTGGGCACCATGCTCAAGTTCGCTGTGGGTTCCCGCTGCCACCGGTCCCCTGCGCACCCCGGCCTGCTGGGCGATGCGAGACAATTCTGTCGCTGTTTGTTCTAGTCATCGTGGAGAGGGGAGAGGGAAGAGGAAGGCAATGGGTAGTGGGGAAGTCGTGGTGCTTATAAGGTTGCACTCATTACACACAAAGTGCTTGCCACAAGTGAGCCACGATACCTTGCTGATCTCGTCAAGGAGCATGAACCATCATCACGTGAACTCCGGTCATCCTTGCCGATACTAAAGACTGTTTTTAAGGATGGTCCTGCCAGGGTTTTGCAGGAGTAGGGGGCCGATGTTGCAGCTGCTGCTGCGTGCAGGCAATTTGTCTAGCATGTTAATATTTATAGCCAATTACTCTAAATGCACTTTGATTCAAAATGTGGAGGGAAAAAGCCGGAGGATCCGGATAAAAAAATCCACGGTACCACGTGGAGAGAGAGAGAGAGAACAGACAAACTCCAAATATACAAGATGCATCAGGGTTGGGATCCAACCCACGACCTCTTGCATACCAGGCGAGGGATTTAACATCTCGCCGCCGAGTGGCAACGGGCAGCAACGTCCACCAACCCCGGCGCGAAACGACGTTGCGGCTGCACAGGGTGCTCTGGGTATTTTAAAGACGACGGCAAACAGTTCTCTGTGTGCCCCCCCCCCCCGCCGGGTTTACAGTGCGAGAACATTGTGGAGGAGTTTGAGGACGACATCATCTCGCTCTTCGTTCACGAGACAGAGCACGTCGCCGACAAACTGTGCAGCAAAAAATCCGGCAAGTCTCAATCTCTCTCCCCCCACCCCCGCCCGAACGTGAGCCGTGTGGCGGTGGTGGTTACGCAGCAGCGAGTCCGCACCCCCGATTAGCACGGTTGGCTACGTACAGTGCGAAAGAAGTTCAACATTTTACATATAACCTTAACATACGTACAGCAGTGAGGGTTGGTGGATCACAAATGTTGTGGAAACTCCCTTCCTATCCGTGGGTAGAAATGTGGACTCCACCTGTATGATCTACATGGGATAGAGTGTTGCTTCCTCGCACTTATGGGGTTTTATCTGGGTGCTCCGGTTTCCTCCCACTTGTATAAACAAATCAATTGGCAGAGCTTGGGGGGACATTATGGGTGATTTGATCCTCGGCTATTTAAAAAATATACATAATTACACCTGAATTTCTACAAGATTTGTATGATCCACCCACCCTGGCTGGGAATGTGTAGCCACCGCTGCCTGGCTAATTCACAAAAAGGTAATTTCTAGACGCGAAAAAGATGCTATGGTGGCCACTTGCTTGGTGCTCCCATCATGCCTTGTGCGTCACGTGTCATCACAATAGCGCACGGCCTTGTGATTGGTCACAAGCTCAGCTTGTTACCATTTCGGGATGGTCTTCGAATCGGTAAGATTGTGTCCATGTTGGAAAGCCGTGGACAAAACGCTCAATTATTATTCTGCTTGTTTACCCAGGAGAGCTTCACCGAGTCTCAAGACCCCTTTTCGTGAGGGACCTACCAATTTGTCTCGGTGGTTGGGGGGGGGGGTGGGTGGTTTCTTCAGCGCGTGCATTTCGCGATTCGGACGCGTCGCCCGATCGAGTGCTCGGGAGGTGTGGACGTTGCCGCGCGCGATTCCCGTTGAGCAGTTCGCAGGGTAATCTTGTCAGCGTTGGGGTGGTTCTTGCGGCCGGTTCCCGGTTACGCTGCGGCAAGACGACAAGACGGCGGTCGTGCCAGCTGCCGGCAGAGCAAACATGGGGCCGATGCCGCGCGTGTGTGTATACGGCTGGGCGAGCGGTGTCCGGTTACACGCGTAGTCGCTAGCCGTGCCAGGGTACACACGCTCACGGCCAAAGTGGCTTGCGATCGTTTTTCACGCGTAGTAGGTGGTGGTGGTGGCGGCAGCAGTGGTGGTGACGCTCGCGCATCGCGCCAAGGAGGGGCCTGAGTTAAATTCCCGACGATGGCGCCTTTCCGCGTATTGGGCTTTTCTATGTTCTCTCTTCCCCCTGTTCCGCAGAGCGAGTGCGTGACGGTGTGAGAGAGTGTGGGTGTGTGTGGGTGTTTGTGTGTGTGGGGAGCGGTAGTGCAGCAGTTAGCATGCTGCACTTCAAATCCGGTGACCCAAGCTCGATTCCCGCTCATGGTCAACACCGGTGATGATTATCTGAACCAGTCCTGGGCCTCCCCTCGACTCAAATGAGTACCTGGTACAGTGTGTAAACATCAGCACTGAGGAGACAAAGGCAGCCAGGCGTTGTGTTGGCTACCCACCCCCTCGTGTGCCATTACAGGCTTCATTGGTGCTGCTCACTAACAGCAATTGCCCCAACAGGCTGTAACAGGCTATACGCGGGATCTTTGTGTGAGATTGTGTGTGGGGTTTGTATGTTCTGTATGGGTGTTCTCCCATAGCTAAAATAAAAACATTCACTGTAACTGGTATTGGCCAAAACATCCCCAGTGCTGAATAATCACCTGCAAATTACTCTATTCAGGTTACACAGCAGCAGCAGCAACATTGCCTCCTACTGTGAAATGTTGCCAGGACCCTCCTGAAAAGGAGTCTTCAGACTCCATGAACCTTGCCTTGTTAAACTCGCGTAATAACCCCGTCTGCACTTCACTCGGTCATATTCCAGCTCTGGGAATTAAAAACATCCCTTTGTCCGTGATGCGATGAACTGTATGTATGTTGAACTTCTTTCGCATCGTACGTAGCCAGCCGTGCTAATCGGAAGTATGGGGAAAGGACAACAAACAAAACACAAAAAGCAGAACTACAAAAATGGTTCTGTGATATCTGCTTCCGTGGGCGGAGGAGTTGCACTGCTATACGCGAGATCCGAATAGATTATTTGCGTCTATGGATCCATTAGAATCAGAATAAAATTCTGGGGAAAACATAAAAAAAACAAGACAAAACACTCGATTAATCTTGTTTTTGTTTTCTTTGCAGATTACTGCGAGCACACTTTGCACGTGCCGCACGACGAACTCTGAAGTGGGGGGGGGGGGGCTTCTCCAGTAAATGACACGGACACGAGAATATGCGGACGACACACAGATGACACACGGACGACAAGTAGACACAGCGGACGACACGTGGACACGCAGATGACATGCTGACGACACGCAGATGACACACGAATGACGCGTGAATACGCAGACAACACGCGGACGAAACGCGGACGACATGCGGATGACACGCGGAGGACATGCGGTTGACACGCGGACGACACACGGATAACATAAGCACCGGCCTCTTAACCAGCAAGCGATGATACCGGCACGGAGCGGACATCTCGTCGCACGGATCACAACGGTTGCGCAGCAGCGACTCGGCGCTGCCGTGAACCGCCACGCAGTTCGAGGGAGGAACGGCACGGCTCGTTGCACGTGGAGATTTTCCAGGAGATACTTTTCCTCGATTTTCTTTTTGGGGAACAAAATCGGTCACATTTAGCGTCTACGGGGATTTGTGCCGTAACCGTCGTATATGCTTCTTGCTTTGCCCATCTCTCTAGCTCCCACCAAATCTGTTGTTGGCGGCCCCCGGGATGAGTTTGTCGAAATTCCACATTTCTAATGCAGGGGCCAATCTCGACATTATGACCACTATTGGCCACCCACAAAGTGGCAGTGATTATATACAATGCTCCCCTGAGGAATGATGCCTTTTGAGAGCGAAGTAATCTGCTGACTGGGATTTAAATTGTCAGTTGAGCACTCTAATACCCTCTTTTTCACCCGTGCTGAGCCAGTGAGGGGCCATAATAGCACGGGTGGTTTTCCATTGGCCACTGGCCATGCCGAGTGGGAACCAAAGCGTGCGTCTCATTTACCTCCGTCACACCCCAACTCGCTGGCTCCAGCCATCCAGGGTAAACGCCATTAGAAGTGGTACGGACTTGCAATTCCTGCCTTCAATTTGTGCTCGATTATTTTTTTGAAAAAGATTTGAGAGCAGCACCCGATTTTGCTCGACGTTCACTTGACGTGGATTTCGGAAGCCGCCGGCGACTGTAGCCTTTGGTTTTTTGTTGACGGCGCCGATGATGACGCGGACTGGCAGCGCGCTCCCGTCCTGCGGGCAGCCTCCCGTTGTTACGGTGACGCCGCAGTGGCGAGATGTTAACGTTCTCGCCTGCTACACAGGAGGTCGTGGGTTCGATCGCGACCCCGACGCCCGCTGTATATTTGGAGTTTGCGTGTCTCTCCCCGTGGTCTTGTGGGTTTTTCTCCGGCCCCTACAGTTTTTCCCTCCACATCAAAAATCAACGTGCGTTTGTTTAGATTTTATAAATTTACACATGATCGTAAGCCACTTCATTTGGGCTATTATTTGTGGCCAGGTCACTTCTGAAAAAGAGCTATAGAGCTCAGTGGGCCTTATCTGCTAAAATAATAAAAAAAATAGTTGAGTCACCTGGCGCTGATGCCAAGCATCCCTCATGCTAAAAAACTCATCGACAAGTTCACTGAATTGGGATTAGACGTGGCAACATCTTCACCCTCCTGCCCCCCCCCACCCCTGCAAGAACTTGGCAGGACCCTCCTGAAAGAGACTCCGTTCGTCCCGACAACCGATGTGATTTGCGTAGAGCGTGCAATGACGCACCCAGCCGATGTCACCTCTATCTCGGTGGGGTATCTGTAATTGGATATCCCTCTTTTTTTTAAACAAATGGAAGCAAACGTAATCCTTTGCGCGCGAGATTCGAGATTCAAGATTGAGAATTGGCGTCGATAAAAATGAGCAACGGCATTGTTGAACCTTTGCAGAGTCGTGCGAATGGAGCACTCGAGTTAAGCTTGGTTTATGGCCAAATCGAAACCGAATTAAAGTTGCCAGGGGTTTCCATTGCCTCGCACGCAGTGTCCCCAGAATCATTCAGAATCCTTTATACTGGAGGAATCCGATGAGCTTTAATGCTCTTTTCCACGTCGCAGTAGGGGCGGGTCAGAACGCTACAATACAATACGCACGTATCGCTTGTCCTTTAATCGCTGACCTGTCGTTTGACCATACTTCACCGCCGGTGAGTTAGTACGGGTTGGTGATGTTGGAGGGTAGAAGGGTAGGGAGGGAGCGCTAATGAGAGCCGTGACCGGAGAATTCACCTCGAGCCGCTGGGGGAGTCACCACTTGCACCACCGCTGCTCGTATGTTGAACTTCTTTCGCACGGTACGTAGCCAACCGTGCTAACCGGTTGGCTACGTACGCTTAACACCACCACTTGCTGTGCGTACGGTTAATGTAAAGAGCAACAACGGCACTGCCACTGCGTTAACCCAGGGCAGCTGTGAATGACGGAATCCTGAACCTTGGAGGGAACTCCACAGCGACATCGCAATGGCTCAAGGTGCCTCGCCCACTGTGTCAATCCGCTACTGGATGAGCGCTGCCATTAGGTTATGGAATTGAATTGCTGTCAAATCCCAGTGCCATGGGTTGCCTTTTCTCCAGACGACTGCTCTAGCTGGTTTCATTGCAATTTGATATTTTTAATAAGAAAATAATAAAAATGTGTCAGGTGACAATGGTTTGCCGTTTCCTTTTAACATTCTGATCTCGTGCCATTATAGGGCATGCGGTGACGGCCCCTTTCCCAGCTATCAAAGTATTGTTTTTAATTGGAACAAATGCTGTTTATTTAACCGATGGGGGCTTGTTAGAAACTGAATTCCCGAACCTTCCAGCACGTGGGTTGAAAATTCGGGCATAGTGCCGGACAATTCCCAGTTTTAACCAAGTGGTGGTGGTGGCTACGCTGCACGTGGCTGCCTGTAACCCAGCACTGGAGGCAGCAGCGAGGGTTGGTGGATCACTGCACAGATGAGCTGTAAAATGCCCTTCCCGGGGTTGTGGAGCCATACTCTGGCTTGCCCGGAGGCTGGTCTATGGGCAATGACAATTAGTCTGTGGGCAGTGTAAATCTATGGGCAATGTTAGTCTATGGGCCATGTTAGCCTATGGGTCATGTTAGCCTATGGGCAATGTTAGCCTATGGGCCATGTTAGTCTATGGGCAATGTTAGCCTATGGGTCATGTTAATCTATGGGCCATGTTTGCCTATGGGCAATGTTAGTCGATGGCCAATATTCCAGTGTGTGGGTGCCGTGGGTCTGCAGGTCGTGGGTCCAATCCTGACCCTGACACCTTTTTATTTAGAGTTTGCATGTTCTCCCCGTGGTCACGTAGATTTTTCTATGGGTCCTCTGGTTTTCCCCTCCACATTTAGAAACATGCATTTAAAGTATTTGGCTGCTGTTACACATTTCCACAATAAGCCACTTCGTTGGGCTATCATTTATCCAGGTCGCTTCTGAAAAAGAGCTACACAGTTGTGGGCGTTACCTGGTAAAATAAAGTTTTTTTTGGTTACACTCAACACGAGGTACTCATTTGAGGCTTAGTCGACCTAGGGGAGGACCGGTTCAGATAATCGAGTGATAACACACATTTACACCTGTGTGCATGTTATAAACATTGTGTCAATCCACTGCTGGATGAGAGCCTCCCGACGCAGTCCAGGCCGTGGGCTGCTAAAGTTGACCGCACGCTGCCATCACCACGCTGGTCGGTGTCGTCTGAAGGCTGGGAGGGACAGGACCCGGTTCAGTCCATACAACACGCGCCACTGATGATAGCCCTGGCTGGGATTTAGATGCATAGCCACATCCAAATCGCAACCGCATATGAAGGAAATTTACAGGACAGTGATGTTGACATTCTGGCAAAAGGAGTTGTTTTTAATTTGTTATACACATATATAAACAAGTTAGTTATAGGCAAAGAGAGGTCTTGAACCTGGACTCGATTCGGGACAGGGATTCGACAACACGGATCGCTGTGGGAAGGGAGTCACACGAAGTAGAGGAGAACGAGCTACAACCCACTGAGTGAAGGCTGACTGGCCCCTGCCCTGGGAATGTGGAATTTCCACTGCTGGATTGGGGGACAACAATGAGACATAGGTGTCTCCCTGGGTTGTCTGAATAAGGAAACAGGGATGCATTGAGAAACGACACTGACATCTTGTGAAACGCTGAGCAGTAGGAATTGTATGTTTCCGGTTTTACAGATTCGTCCGAAAATGTTGAAAACCACGTCTTAACGTACGACATTTCAGTTTAACACGTAGGCTTTCGCGACCAACACGAATGAGTACGAAATTCCAGTTGATGCCAAATGCAATATTGTTTGTATCCTACAATGTCACAGGAAATTACGTCACACACACACTTCATCCGTGTTTTCAACCCCCCAAAAGTGGAGTAACGTGGGTGACATTACTACGATAAATTATTTACGCAATGTCGACGACCTAAAGAAAAATATAACATCCGAAATTGTCCTTAAAAATCCAACGTCAGAAATGTATAAATGGAAACTCATCCCGAACAGATGAGGTTAGGCGAGGCGGGGGTGGGGGAAGGGGGCGAGGCGGGGGTGGGGGAAGGGGGCGAGGGGGTGGGGGAAGGGGGCGAGGAGGGGGTGGGAAGGGGGCGGGGCACAGCTCATCGGGTGAACTGGCGCCGGTCGGGTTTGCCCACAGTGCTGCCGGCCTTGCCCATGGCGCCGCCGGCCTTGCCCATGGCGCCGCCGGCCCTGCCCATGGCGCCGCCGGCCCTGCCCACGTGCTTGTAGATCTTGGCGCCGTGGTCGTGCCGGCTCTTCTGGTGGCCGAAGCCGAAACCACCGCCACCGCCGCGCTTCTGCAGCCCCTTGCCCTTGCTGCTGTGCACGTCTGGAGGGGTCGGTGTGAAGGAAACTCTTGAGACTGTCTGCGGTGACGGCAGGAGCCCTCGGGGGGGGGGGGTGGGGGGTCGGGATCGCGTGTGCGGCGGTGGCACCAGAAGTAGGAGTTTGAATCCTGGACAGGGTGCAGACTCGGGACCGTATTTATGGCCACCAGGACGACGATGACTACGACGATGACTACAACTACGATGACGACGACTACGACGATGACTACAACGATGACTACTACGACAATGACTACGACGATGACTACGACGATGACTACGACTACGACGATGACTACGACGACAACGACTACGACGACAACGACTACGACGACAACGACTACGACGATGACTACGACGATGACTACGACGATGACTACGACGATGACTACGACTACGACGATGACTACGACGACAACGACTACGACGACAACGACTACGACGATGACTACGACGATGACTACGACAATGACTACGACGATGACTACGACGACTACGACAACGACGTTGACTACGACAATGACTACGACTACGACGATGACGACGACTACGACGACGACTACGACGATGACTACGACGATGACTACGACTACGACGATGACTACGACAATGACTACGATGACGACGACGACTACGACGATGACTACGACGATGACTACGACGATGACTACGACTACGACGATGACTACGACGATGACTACGACGATGACTACGACTACGACGATGACTACAACTACGATGATGACTACGACGATGACTACGATGACTACTACGATGACGACGACGATGACTACGACGATGACTACGATGACAACGACGACTACGACGATGACTACGACGATGACTACGACTACGACGATGACTACGACGATGACTACGATGACGACGACGACTACGACTACGACTACGACGATGACTACGACTACGACGATGACTACGACGATGACTACGACGATGACTACGACGATGACTACGACTACGACGATGACTACGACGATGACTACGACTACGACGATGACTACGACGATGACTACGACGATGACTACGACGATGACTACGACTACGACGATGACTACGACGATGACTACGACGATGACAACGACGACGACGACTACGACGCCACGATGACTACGACGATGACGATGACTACTACGATGACTACGCCGCGCGTTTCAATGAATCAGCGCCACCGTCATCGTCGGCAGTCATCCCTTCAGGATCCATCATCTCTGATCATGATCATCAACATCGCCATCACCGAAAATGGATGATCATCATCAACATGAGCTCCCGATATAATCACAACTATTACAATCACCACAGTCACAACCAATCACTATCACCATCATCACCACCACAACCATCCTTACAAACAATGATCATAAAGTAACAACGGCTTATCACCACTAAGTGGAGGTGACGTCACTAAAGCACTTGTGCCATGGTAGGTGAACTTTGAGGCCGTGTGAAGTCTCCAAGGCTCACTGCTGGCAGGAGGAACAAGGACAGACCCAGGTGTAATGGGTTAACTAAGGTAACTGGCAGATGCACCACCTGTGCCCCCTGCTGTGCCAAATTGCTACATTTTAGCCGCCCAGTGCTCTACTGGTTGTTGCGAGTGTCGCTTCTCTGCCCTCCATCGTTGCTGGAGGGCGACTGCCTCCAACTGCCCAATAGAATCCTTCATGAACCTCCTCCACGGAGGCCGATATTGACACTGCTGGTACCAGGCATCGGCAAGTCCAATCAGCACCATCATCCTTTTGTACTGCATCAGTCCATCCCTTCCCCAGTTCGTGCCGCATCCATTCAGCCTCCACTATCCGGCCAAACAGAAGCTGCTTGGGCAAGCGGTGGCTAGGCATGTGGGCTACGTGACCCAGTCAATGATCATCACCACCGTGACAATTACTATGTATGCTACTTTGAAATTCTTTCGCACCGTACGTAGCCAACTGTGCTAATCTGAGACACAACTATGATCACCAACCGAGCATCATTGCCATCATCCAGCATCATCGTTACAACCAAAGATTAGCACGGTTAGAAAGAAAGTCAACGTACATACATCACGGCCAAACATCATAATTATCACCTCAAACAATTATCACAACCATCACCATGACCCATAATCAGAATCCATTAACAACTACTCATCACCACCATCGTCACCGAACATGGGCTGATGACGATGATGCAAGGATACTGAGGTCGACGAAGGGCGGCACGCGGAATCCGAAGGAGAGAGCGGCCTTCTGCAGGTCCAGCGTGGAGACGTTGTAGATCTGCTTGAGCGAGTGAGAGTCGTAGGCCCGCACGTAGGCTTTGTAGGCCTCCTGCGCAGACTTGTGCAGGTAGTAGTTCTTCTCTATCAGCTTCTCCATCTACGGGGGGGGGTGCACAAGAGAGAGACGGCGTGATGAGTGGGGAGGGGGCAGAGAGAGGATGAGGTGAGGGGGGGCAGAAGAGAGACGGGGGGCACAAGAGAAGGTGAGGCGAAGTGAGGTGAGCACAAGAGAGGGTGAGGCGGGGTGAGAGACAGGACGAGGTGAGGAGGGGGGGGGGGGGCCACGAGAGACGGTGAGGCGAGGGGGGCACAAGAGAGGGTGAGGCGGGGTGAGACACAGGACGAGGTGAGGAGGGGGGGGGCACGAGAGATGGTGAGGCGAGGTGAGAGACAGGACGAGGTGAGGAGGGGGGGGGGCCACGAGAGACGGTGAGGCGAGGTGAGGCGAGGGGGGCACAAGATAGGGTGAGGCAGGGTGAGAGACAGGACGAGGTGAGGAGGGGGGCCACGAGAGGCACGAGAGAGAGGGCAAGGTAAGAGGCTGAGTCGACCGACAAGCGGCCCAAGACCGGTTCAGATAAACACCACTCTTATTGGTTGCGAGTGGGAATCGAACCCGGGTTGCCGGGTACGTAGCGCAGCACGCTAACCACTGCACAACTGAACACGCACACATGCGTGTCCTCACGTGCGTCCAAGCATAATCGATCACAGTGGCTAATGCTGACACTCACCAACTCTCACTGATGCTCACCTGGGACTGGATGTCGGCGATCTTGGACCAGGAGAACTCGAACTCGCTGAGCGGCACCTGCACACGGCACCATCGACATTATCGTTGTCATCATCATTATCGTCATCATAGTCGTCATGATTATTGTCGTGATCGTCATCATCATCATCGTCTTCATCGTCGTTTATTGTTCGTACCGTGCCTCCCATACAGTGACATGTCGCGTCACCAGGGTATAGGTGGCATCTGAGGTCACAGCCAAGAGAGGGACTGGTCACGGACCAATGCACCACTCACAAACAGATGCAGTAGAGATACGGCAGAGACGATTCGCACAACAAATGAAACGTTCACCTGTGCCGACTGTCATCAAACTTAATTTATGTCAGTAAGGAGTGTGCAAGTCTATGGATCTCTGCGCGAGTGCGTGGGTCTCTGCGCGAGTCCGTGGGTCTCTGCGCGAACTGGTGGGGCTCTGTGAGAGTCTCAGTCTCTCGGTGGAACTCACCCGCGCCTGCTTGAGGTAGCGCAGGAATCCGAGCTCCTCAGGGCGCAGGATGAGCAGCGCGTGGCCTTGGCCTCCGATACCGCGCGCTGTGCGGCCCACGCGGTGGATGTACTCCTGCAGAGACGGCGTCACAACCAGAGTCACAACCACGGAGTCAGGACCACCATGATCACGGTGCCATGACTAAATCGCGAGGAAGTCGGCCGCCCAACATGAGTGGGAAGTCTCATGAACGAAATGTTCACCTGGGATGCCTGTTATAAGACCCGGACTTTATTTCATTTGGTAAGGAGTGTGCGACTCTGCGTCTCAATGTGAGTCTATGGGGTCTATGCGAGTATGTGGGTCTCTATGCGAGTCGATGGATCTGTATCCCATTGTGTGGGTCTCTACGCGAGCGTGTGGGTCTCCGAATAAACCAAACGCACGTTGGCAGCCCAGTGCTCCGACACGGCCATTGTGAACTTCCCACCACTGGGGCCACGCGGCATGCTTCTGGTACAACTGAAATTCTGGCAAGTCCGTGTCAGCCGCTGATGTAGCCCCGAATGTGCGTGTACGCGTGTTTGCCTGGGGTGCGTGTGTACGCTTGTGCGCGTGTACACGTGTGCTCGTGCCTGGCGTGTGTGTACACGTATGTGCATGTCTTGGGTATCTGTGTACGTGTGTTTGCCTGCATGCGCTCAAGTGGGGTGCGCATATTTGCATGTGGACATATCTGCTGGTCATTTATCTCATTATGCCTGGAGGTCAGTCCCATGAACAACTACCGCCATAGAGCCCTTCAACATCTCACATGGCAACCTCAAAGCGCACCTAGCATGGCACCAGTGCCACTGGGACATCGCCGCCACTTGGTGGCGAACGGCGGCCGCTGCTGCTGCTGCCGCTGTTGTTACTGCTGCTGTCATCGTACCTTTGGGTCATCTGGGGGGTCAAACTGGACGATCCAGTCGACCTCGGGGATGTCGAGGCCACGCGCCGCCACGTCGGTGCAGAGCAACGTCCCCGAGTCAGCATTGCAGAACTGGAAGAACGTCGTCGTGCGCTTCGTCTGCTTCTGCTTGCCCTGTGGGGGGGGCGTGGGGACGTGAGCTTATGCGTGGGCACACGTCACGAATACCACCACCGCCATCATCACGACCAACAAGTTGGCCTGATTGAAAACTCATTTCTTTTTAATTGCTTTTGTGTTTAGTTTTTTGTCCTTCCCCCGCACCTCCGATTTGCATGGTTGGCCACATACGGTGCGAAACAAATTTTACGTACATTTCTACATCATCACCATCACCGCCTCCACCGACATCATCATCACCACCTCCATTACCACCATCATCACAACCACCTCTACAACCAGCATCACCACCACCGCCGTCACCATCAACAACATCATCAAGACAACCATCGTCAAACCAGGTTCTGATAATTATTACTTTGGGCCCTGATTTATTACTTCGTGTGCTTTAGCCAGAGAAACACTGTGTGCCATCTGTTTCTCAGTGGGCATTGTAAGACCATTGACGTTATTATAAGAGAGTAGGTTGCGTGTGTGCCGGCTTCGCCGTCCGAATTTTTCAAAATCTAAAGTGACACCGCAAACGACTGAACTGGATTCGTACAGCAGTAACCATTGGCCCGCCTACTGGCAGCAGACTAATGCCCCGGTCACTCGTGCATTGCATTGACGGTCTCTTCTGAGTTCTCGCCTGGTTAAATAAAACCAACTATAACTAAACTGACCAGGGCGATCACTGGCCACGAACTGCAAACCTCTGCAACCACCCAGTAAACCGTTGGCCCGTGTGACGAGGTGAGGTGGTGGCGGCGGTAGCGGCGGTGCACGCACGTGGATGCCCATGACGGGGAGGTCGATGTAGTTGAAGAGCTCGTAGTGGAACTTGACGGACATGCAGGAGGAGAAGAACACCATGATCTTCTTCTTGCGGTTCTTCTTGAGGAAGGTGAAGAGCAGCAGGAAGCGCTTCTCCGATGGGCACACCACGTAGCCCTGCGGGGGGGACACAAAGGCGCACGCCGAGTCAATCGGGCCATGGCAACCGCTGGCGAGGCCCGGACGGGAGACCGAAACACCTCCAACAACCGGGAACTTTGCCACCGATTATTATAGACGTTAATAAAGGATAAAGGTGCAGCCCCTGCGTTTAATCACTCACGCTGCTGCTGGCGCAAGGAGGCCCGGGGGGGGCCCCGGGGAGGCTCCCCCTCTCCACCCATCAACGCCGATGTTCCGGCTGATATCCAGCGCCAGTCACAACATTAATATGGGGTGCTACGTTGCCGAAATGTTAACTACCTCGCCTGGTATACCGGAGGTCGTGGGTTCGATCCCAACTCTGATGCCTGTATATTTGGTGTCTGCATGTCTCTGTTTCTCCAGGTCCTTTGGCTTTTCCCTCCACATTTAGAATCAGCATGTGTTTAGAGTATTTGGACGCTATAAATGTCCACGCGATAACCCACTTCGTTGAGCTATCATTTTTGGCCAGGTCGCTTGTGAAAATTAATTATATAGCTCAGTGGGCCTTACCTGGTAAAATACAAAATATTTATAGTTTAATCAACATCGTTGACGGCCGCCAAACTCGCCAAGTGGCGGCGACGTTACCGCCGCGGCGTTCGTGCCAGGCTAGGTGCACCGCTGATAAAAAAAGGGGGGACGACGATGCTCACATCGCCTGCACCACACCTGCTCCAGGCCGTCCACGGTGGCGGTTTCTTTGTGGTCGTCCACGCCTACGTACAACGGCTCCTTCTTCAGCGAGATCTTGGCCAGATCCTCGATCTTTCGCGTCTGTGTCGCCGAGAACAGCATCGTCTGCCGTTTCTCTGTACGGGGAGGGTGGTGGGGGGGGGTAGAAGCCAGGAGGGAGGAGGAATTAGCCACGCTGTCTTGTCCTGCTTACAATTGGAATGAAGAGATTTGCAACATGCACAATATTTTGCGTATGTAAAATGACAAACGACTCCCGAGGCGCCGAGCCAAGATCAAAGCGTCACGAGAAAGGCATGAGGGGTGGCCTTTAAGGGAGAGATGGGGTTTTAAGAACGAGGTGGAACCTTTAAGCGTCTCTTAAAAACAAGAATAGGCTGAACGCCGCCACTGCGATTGTCCATTAGCAGCAGCAGAGGGACGGTGATGGTTGCGTTTCCGACGGTGGGGGCTGCCACGGAGAAACGGCGCCCGGTAGTGGCGGCCCTGCTACATGGTATAGACAGGCGGTTGTGCGTCGCGTCACTGCCACTTCCGTGACGCGTTATACCGTGTGCCCGTTAGTGCAGGGCGTCAGCAGCTCATTCAAGTTGGCGGTTGCTCATCCACAAGCGGTCTGGTCTCAGACACGCCCCCTCCAACCCCCCCCCCCCCCCCGGCTTAACCCCGATGAGAACCGGTCGCGTTCCGGGTGGAAACCGGCATGGCGCGAAGGCATCCGGCGCCTGAAGGCGACGGAACTCACTGGGCAGCAGGCGGATGATCTGCTTTATCTCCTCCTCGAAGCCGACCTCCAGGATGCGGTCAGCCTCGTCGATCACCAGGCACTGCAGGTTCTTGTACATGAACGTGTTCGTGTTCTGCGGAAGGGGACAGGAGGAGGACGTGCCGACGTCGGGTCTAAGTCGGAGAAAGCAATTTCTCGTCGCTTAAAATGAGCGTTGAGGCATTGCTTGGCTCGGCTCCCGTTTAACTAAGCCCTGCGGAGCGAGCGGCGGAAATTCCACATTTCTTTAGCGGGGAGACAAATCTTTATGAAGGACAACCACTGCTGACGTCCCGACAAAGTGCTGCTCGTTTTATTCGGCACTGGGAGGGATGATGGGGCTGAGGATTTTAATTTGCAAACCTCTTGATTGCAATCCGCTCGCTCTCCCGTCAAGCCACCTGACGACTTGCCAATGACCGCGCAACAAAAACCTCCACCACCACATTCAATTTAACTTGATTTTTTTTACGTGGAAAGTTTAAGCCGCCGTCCAACGTCGCTGCCTGGTGGCAGGGGACCAACGCCACGTCCGTGCGCAGTGCCACGCTGGGACAGCTGCCGCTGGGAGTGTGGGGTCCCCCCCCCCCGTCCGAGGTGAGCCTGCAGCGGGGCCCATCGCAATGAACAGTTGAGATGAGGTGCAAGGCACACACAAGTTGCCGACGACTTTGAGCATGCAAACGCTCACTCACTCCCTTACCTTACGTACTCACAAGAGAGACGCTTTGTATGTATGCTGAACTTCTTTCGCACCGTACGTAGCCAACCGTGCTAATCAGAGGTGCCCCTGACCCAATACTAGAAATCAATCGGCTACTGGGAATGGAACGAGCCGGGTGGACCGAACGCCCCCCCCACCGCCTCATCTCGTTCTCACGCTCTCACCTGCATGTGATCGAGCAGACGGCCCGGTGTTGCCACCAGGATGTTGATGCCCTTGGCGAGCTTCTGTGCCTCGGCGGTGCGGTTGCTGCCGCCCATGATGAGGCCGTAAGTGTGCACGTGGTGCTTCATGAGCTCGCGCAGCACGCCGTACGTCTGCATGGCGAGCTCCCGCGTCGGCGACAGTACGAGCACGCCCGTACCTGCACACGTACGCGCACACACGCCCCCAAAGGGCGGACGCGAGGACGGAGCACCCGAGCGAGTGCGCAAAGAGGTCAGTCGGTCGAACGCACAGCTCGCACAAGATCGTCATGTGAATGTGGCACATTTACTGCAACTCGCTATTATACGAAAAGTCTGGCAAAAAACATTACTAAGCTGCAGCATGTACAAAATGTATGGCACGCAAGGGTGGTAACACTCAAAATCCAAGCTCTGGATGGAAATTAACCCACTTGCTGTACTGCCTGCCAAGCGTGGAGACAACGATCTCACAACACGCACAGGCAAGGGAGGGAGGTTCCGTTAATTTGTGTGTGACCCACCAACCTCTCGCTGCCTCCACAGCGCTGGATTAACACTTCCCCACTCTGATGACGTATGTGTATGCCATCACTTTATCGGTACCGAGGCTCCCACAAGGCCACGCGTGAGAGCTTGTGGCACAGTTTGGCGCCAGCTATCAGTGCTGTCCTATCGCTACAGTCCTCTGCGGTGCGTACGTCTTTAAAAACAATGGCGCTATGCCTCTCTAAATAAAATGAACGCCGAACTGCTTGCGCGTTCCGAGATTTAGCGGTGAACGGGACCTATCCTTGGCAACTTGCAGACGTCATCGGAATGGGAAAGGGTTAAAACATTGCCTCCGATGCCACACGCTCCACTCAGCAGCGCGCGGTACGTGGAGCGCTCCACATGGGTGGAGGATTCAATGGACGAGCGCGTGGGCAGGCGGGTGAGCAAGTGAGAGACCCACCGTTGCGCGGCATGAACTTGATTTTGTGGATGAGCTCGATGGCCGGGATGAGGAAAGCCAGCGTCTTGCCGCTCCCCGTGCGTGCCGCCGCCAGGATGTCCCTGCAAGAGGAGCGGGCAATTAGTTAGCGGCGACCGAAGCGAGCAGCACATCAATCTTATGCATTGCAGAGCGTATCCATGGCCTGTGAATCAAACCGATATTTTCAACTCTCAAGAGCTGGAAAAAGCTAAATTAGAAACCAAATTTTGGAATTTTCTATTTGCTACAGTCATTGGTCATAATAAAGACTTTTGGGTTACATCATGTAAATATAAATGTGTAGTTAACCCTCCACCACCCGACACAGCGAATTCGGAAGAGGCATCATGTAAAGAAAACGTGACAATTAGTTGCTACTTCAGCACACCAGTGTGCACACCGGTGTGCTGAAGTAGTAACTAGTTATTATGAATAATATTGGTCGCGAAAGCCTATGTGTTCAATTGTTATCTGTACTGACACCACCCGGCCTGCCAGATTCGAAGTGTGAACCTCTGCAACAAAGCGGTGAGGGAGCACGCTACGGCTGAGCGGCCCCGATGGGGAACGTTTGTTGATGAGCGCGCGGAGATTTGCAGCGCACTGCATATGCTGCCCCCGTGCTTCCCAATGTTCGCTCACCGGCCCTCGAGCAGAGGGCGGATGCTCTTGTGCTGAATCTCCGTCATGGTGGCAAACCCCATCTCGGCCACGGCCTTCAGCGTGTACTCAGACACCAGCTCCGCCAGCGACGAAAACGACATGTCCTCAAACGCACCTGCACGGCCGCAAGCAACCACGGCAGCAGTATAATCACAAAGGGTTAATCATTTCATCATTTTAGCTTGCAAGGTGCGAGGGGGAACGACAGACAAGCCGGAAAGGCAGCCACGTGGCGTGTCAATGCCAACAATTGCCCAAGCTCTGTGGTCCTCTATATATTTTTAAAAATATACTTTTAGCAAATTAACGAGTATGTATACGTGTGGGAGAAAATCAAAACACCTGGGGAAAACACAATGCGTGCGAGAGGGGGCAACGTTCTATCCCATAGAGAAGGGACATTAATTATTCCACATTTTTCCATCTAGGTTTCCCTCGTTCTATGCGGGATTGGTTTGTGCGATTTCGCGCTGTATTTGCAGCTAACCTATATATATCAAAAATTCATTCATATGCAGCTACGCGGATGGCCACGGGACAACATTGTGTGTGTGCTGTATGCGCTATTCGGCAGGCACAATATGACGTACGTCTTCCCTGCTGCCCACAGTGGAGCCCCCGCCGGGAACCTATAGCGCTTGGTTATGCACGGTAACATCCCACCCGAGGGCGATGCACGCTCGACCCTGCTTAGCTCCCAGCATGCATCCGACGAGATCGGGCGCATTATGGGGCGATGTAGACGCAGGCTCACCATCACGACGGTCATGCAAGGCTAAACCACAGTTCCCACGGGCCCGCACGGCATGGGCGGGGGGGGGGGGAGGTCCTCACCCGTGGCCTGCGCCCGCATTGTGACCGTGTCGTACCGGTGGTGCCGATGGGCAGGGCGGGTCCATCGTCATCACTGTCCTTCGTCTCCCCGTCCGTTCCCTCTCCACTCCGCTTCTCGTCGTCTGTCTGCTCTTGGTTCTCCCCGTCGGCCTCGACGTCCTCGCCGCGCGGCCTCTTGCTCTCTGCAACAAACGTGATGAGAGGAACGGGTGAGCGGAGCACAACATATGTTGAATTTATTTCACACCGTACGGAGCCAACCGTGCTAATTGGAGGTGCAGGGGAAGGACAACAAACTAAACACAAAAAGCAATTATAAAGAATTTAGTTTTAATTCTAGATCATGTTTTAAAAGTGCATAGTTGCAGTGGCTTCCTAATATTGGAAGGAAGAGCATTCCAGACGGCCGCAGAAGCGCATCTGAAAGCGCGCAATGCGGTGACCGTGTTTGTTGGATGGTTAGCCCAAAGCCACTGCTGTAAGGATGACCGGAGTTCACGTGATGGTTTATGCTCCGGGAAGAGATCAGCAAGGTATTGAACCACAAATACCGGATTTTCCCCGCATATAACCCGCGGGGTATACAACTTTTTACAAACAAAACAAGACCCTGCGGGGTATATGGAGGTGCGAGCTATCCCAAAAATATTTCACACGTGTGACATGTCATAACTCGTTTATTTTTTTATGGTAGGACTATCCACTATGCAACACTTACCTTTGACTAAAGCACTGCTGAATAAACCACTCACTCTAAAATTGCACATGTTATGTTTTAAATGATTCTAATTGTTCGTACAATGAAACGACAATGTTTGAAGTGGGCGCACTTTGTTTACCGTAATACTTTCAGTGGCTGTAGGGAGGTGCGAAAGTTTCAGCTGAGGCTATGGATTGCACAATGGGAAGGGCCTTAACAAGCGTCTACCAGACACGGAATCATAATTGCCGAGTCCCTTAGGCCGCTGCGATTGGCTGAGCACTATACAGTCGCGACCATGAGCTTTGTTTCAAACTTCCAATGGCTTTGTTGCCAGGAGGCAATGGCGTTACCGTTTTGTCTGGTGCAGTGCGCAATCTACCAGTACTGAAACTGTACAGGGGTAATTACCGGTCCAGTAGCTGTAATATGATGAGGTCGATTGCTGGTAAGCCTAACAGTACGCTTACTTACTTATCTACCAGTTATGTGTTACTTATTTATTGGATATTTACTTTTGTTACTTATTTACTGTTTTAAATTCACTCGTTTCCGGTTCGTTTGTTTTCTTTGTGCACGTTATGATTTGAATGTTAACAATTGATAGTGGAATGTATTACAAATGTAATCGTTGTATTAATATGATGGAATTAAGCTGCGGTAATGACGTTAAAGATATTAATGCATGTGGGGTATATGGAGGTGCGGGCTATCTGAAATGAGTTTTACACAAAACGCTATTTTTGCGGGGTATATGCGTGAAAATACGATATTGGTAATTTTGTTGATGTATGCACTGAGCATCCTGGCTAACGAGATCCGTCTGTGGGCGATTAGAGCCCTGTGCAAATTACTGTTTTTTTCAGATGCAATTATAACGGGGGCTATGTGAAAATGTATTATTAGTTTAAAATGTGAAACCAGTGGAGGTGTTAACTTCACATTGCGATGCACTGTAACAAAAAGAAAAATCACACCGCAAATCACTCAACTGGGATTGTACGCAGCAACCACCGCCGGAACCTCCTGAAAAAGTATTGAGACTCAAGTAAGGCTTTTCCTGGGTAGGCGAGCATAAAAAATACTACCAATGATTTGAAACAGAAACTAACCTGCCCCTCCCTGGACATTTGCAAAAGAGAGCTTCACAGCTCACCGGATTTCTCAGGGATAATTAAAGATTCCGATTTCTGAACTTCTTCTCACCAGTGCCACCCGCGTCGTTGCCCGTTGATTGCTTCTTCTTTCTCTTTCGTCGCTTCTTCCCCTGCGTTTCCTGGGTCCCGTTCTCTGCTGGGGCCGAGGGGCTCGCGTTCCCAACGTCTGGGGAAACACTCTCCTCCTCCTCCTTCGCTGCGTCTGTTGCTGCTCCTCCTCCTTCTTCCACCTCCTCCTCGACCTGTGTAGGCCTGGGCACTGACAAAGACAAACCCCCACCCCCCCGTATAGCTTTAACAGACTGTTGGGGCGAGTGATGTTAGCGAGTAGCGCTGTGAAGGCCGACACACGGCACACGTGGGGGTTGGGTTGCCCAAACACCACGCCCGGCTGCATTTGTCTCCCTCGTAGCGATGTTTACTACACACCGCACCAGGTTAAACGTTTGAGGCTTAGGACCGGTTCAGATAATTGTCACTGGTGTTGGTGGCCGTGAGCGGGAATCGGTCGCCGGGTTCATAGCGCAGCACGGCCGCCACCCACAATGTAACGCACACAACGGCAAGTTGTGGTTGACTCAATACGCACATTAAAGAAGGATTAAAAAAAGTGCAGCTGTTTTCTTGTAGGTACCTACCTAGGCTGTCTTCCATGATAGGCCTGAATCTCCCATGCTTTCCACATCTCTCGATACCAAACTACATCTCCCATGACCTCCCTGTATCTTCCACCACTTCCATACATTTCTCAATTCAACTCAGCATCTCCAATAATTTCTCGGAAAATCTCCACCACCTCCCCGCATCGCCTACCACCTCCCTACATCTCCCGAAACCTCCCTGTATACCCCACCTCACCTTTACCAGCTGCCTCAATTCCCCACCCTATCTCTGTAGCTCCCTACCCTCCTTCTATCCCCCCACCACATCCACAGAACTCCATACAGATACCACAACCTCGCTACACCTTCCGAATCAAACACATTACTGTATTTGATGCTGCGTTGGCAGTAGTGCACGATTAGCAACAACAAATAATCACATTTGCCAATAAGAGTGGCCTTACAAATTAAATACCCATAACAGGCGACGTTTCGGGCAATTTCCCTTTGTAGCATGTCCACCTTCCTCCTATAACATTTCCCACTACCTCGCTCGTCCCACGTGTGAACTATTGTTATAACGTTCTGACTCGCCTCGACTGGACGTCTGTGAAAAAGACGCTCGCGGCCCATCGGACCTCTCCAAAATAAAGATTCTGATTCTGATCCGTAACCATCCCCACGTGTGTCCCGTACACCCCAATGCCAAACCGCCCGCCCGACTGACCGCCTCAGGCGTCTCTTCCCCCGTCGCGACAGGCCGCGCACGGACGAGTCGCGGTGGCGCGGCTTCGTCCCCTCACCTGGTGCGGCTTTGCCAGTGCCCCGGAGTTTGCTGTTCTTCTTCGCGAGCCGCTTGCGCAGAATCTTCATGCTCAGGTCCGCCATGTCGGCCCAAACACGTGTGCGGGGTGAAGAAGAGCCGTGGCGATTCTGCGATTAACTAGTCGAGTATATCGATTAGGAAATCGATTTCCTCCCCCTCCTTCCTCCTATCGTTATCTTCGTCCTTCTGTTTCTTTCTATTTCAGCTCTTTGTCGTTAAATTTTGTAACGGGTCGTCTACGCTTTGCGAGAAAAGTGTCATAAATTGTAACGGAGAGGGTTTTCGTTGTGCGTGAACCGAAAACGTGGATCGTGAGCGTGTATAAAAATGAATGCGGACGAGGAATCGTTTGTAGCCGACGCAGGCTGTTGACGTCATCAGGGCCAGTTACCCGAGATGCAACGCGCGGGCAACGCCGACTGCGCTGATCGCATTCGCCTTCAATGGGCACATTTAACTGGAGACGTTTCGGGCAATGGTCCTTGTGCATAACACATAGAGGCCAGAGAGTTGGAGACGACGCTTGTTCACACCATGGGGCTTGGACAATTTAAAGAATGAACATCAATCGATCAATATCGGGCCGCGGGGGCAGCGACTGTGTTCATGTGTTATGTTTTTCTGTTTGTTGTGGTTGCACAAGATTCAAGAGCCGAATAGATCACAGGGCTATACAAAAATAAATAAACTGAAAAAAAACTGACTCCACCGAGGCCTTCCATCCTGTCCAGTCCTCCGCCAGCGGTATCAAGAATGAAACATGTTAAATAATAAACATTAATCCTCATAGAGGTTTTTTTTTGGGTTAGATCGCGTAAATGTATAAATTGTGTCGTTTAAACCTGCCACCACCCGACACAGCCAACTAGTGAGGGTTGTCACATCAACAGAACGTGGCCAATTCGTCACTAGTACAGCACACCGGTGTGTTGGAGAGCCGAGCCACAACGTTTACAATCTGAGTACGACGTTTCGCCCGTAATTACAGCTAGCTTCATCAGGCCACAGGAATATACGCTACGAGTAAGATTTTAACAACCCCTTCAATAGTCACATTACTAAAAAGGAATGTGTATTAAAAGTAAAATCATAAACTACAATCCACCTAATGCATCACTTAGTCGCCTAGTATGTATTTGTTCTCTTTGAGGGCCCAGGGTTATTGTCGAAAGTATGTTTTTTATTCGCGCCGTATAACCAGTCTCAATAAAGTTATCGCGTCGTGACGCCACCACGTACAGGGGTAATTGTGCGCGATGACGTCATCAAACAAACCATCGCGTCGTGACGTCACCGCGTACAGGGTTCAAATGTGCGCGATGACGTCGTTGACCGATATCAATAAAGTTTTTTTTTGTGTGTTGTGTAGAAGACGAGACGAGGCTCAGGCTAGGTGGTGGTGTCTTGTCACGATGACGGTGGGTGTCTGTGGAGCGTCGCTCCCTCGTGCAGGAGCAAGGCGACGACAATCCGCCGCAGAGAGAGAGAGGCGATCTCTGTCTCTCCGCTCTTCTGGCGTCTCCCGACCGGATACAAAGAAATAAATAAAAGTTAAACTCGAGCCTGCGGCCTAGCACCGTAACCACCAAGTAGGCCTAGCGCCGCGTCAGGGCGCGTGCTTCTTGATTAAACTTCATTTTGCCGCGTGTTTGAAAAGTGTATGATCTGTGAAGCGATTTTAGCGCTTCTGTTATAAAAGGATGAAAGTAGTTTCGCTTAATTGGTGATTACACGTGTTTTCCGTTCTTACATATTACAATGAGCCGTTCAGGCTAGGCCCCAGTTCCATCTGTCGGGAGTGAATTCCTTAGCGTATTTGTATATTTTTCCCATTTAAGTGTTAAACTAGATATTTGTTTTAGCCTTACATTTCCAGTTTAGCGCGATGTGGCTTACCCGTGGTCGTATTAGACCATGTTCTCAAGTAACATTGTTTTAGTTTGCTTACAATGGATACCCTTTCCGTGATGCCTCAGATTTTTTCTCGTTATCTTTTCATTGTAAAATGCTCGTCATTGAAAAAAGTGCCGCTATTTCCGTGCGGGGTTCGTCAAACTCCACCGTAGGGGAACGATTTACGATGGGACAGGTTGGGCAGATCGCGTAGCATGAAGCAAACTGCACCGATTGCATCGCAGCCCAGATCTGACTCCCGCAAAATTGACTTAAGTAAATTTTCATTTTGAAATGTTACTTGACTGTGCGGGGTGTTTATACTGCTGGCCATCCAGCAGTGTAAATTGGTACGCCAGTCAGTCGGTAGACCGAGTGTGGTTGGATAAATGGTGGCTGTGCCCACCTTCCAATACGCCTGGCCAGAGCGTAAGCCAAAGCTACTCGAGCTGGTCTTCGGAACTACCTCGAGTGTATGCTCTTCCCCATGCATTGGCGCCATAAATTAACTACAGGGCTGCACCCCTAACATTTTCACCTTTTACGTGACGCTGATGAATGCTGGACCGTGGCGGAATGCCGGCTCCGGTTATGCGCGGCCAAAAGTTATTGGATAAGGATGACGATCACGTTTTAAAACGACCAAAAGTTCATCACATTACGTGAATGAAGAGCTAGCATGTTGTATGAGGTCAATTATTTAGCCTTAGATTGTATTCATTTCAGCAGGAAGTACCCAATGAGCGGTTAGGCACTTATTTAATTGGCGCCTTGCGACTTCTTAAATATTATACGGTACAGATCTTAATTACAATCGTGGTTGCATTGATCGCGATACAAACAAGTATCGGATCGTGCTTTACATGTTACAGGAATAGGGAACCGCTCGAAAACTAAATAATGAACATCTAATGAGAAAAAGAGGCATTACGTATGTGGCATCTAATACATGATTATTTAAATTATTTAATTACATATCGAAAATGTCATAGAACTCCAACCTTACTATTTTCAGTAACACTTTTGATATTTCTACTAAATACCCTTTCATTAACACTGCGAAATTAATCAATATGACAGATTAATATCACGTAAGAGTTGTATTAAAGAGTCGTAAATGTCTGTGGATGTGCAATATACATTTATACCTACATCTTCCCTATTGGGATGCTTTGCACCACTATGGCCAATAATGTGTTTTAATGCTACCTTGAACTGTTTTTCACATTACATATATCCATATTTAACGACCTGTGATATTTTAAATGTATACAGTTGTGAATACTTTACATGCAATGTTACTGTGCTTTTAAGAATGTCTCATAGCTTATGCGCCCAGGTAATGTATGTGAAATGTCTTTCGCACTGTATGTAGCCAATCGTGCTAATCGGAGGTACGGTAATGTTTCACCTTAAGACCTCAAATCGCTATCGTAATGATCGTTGCCTATTGAATGTGCTTGCATGATTGTTAAGGTACAGGGATGGAGCTGCATTGGTATTGTCTCCAAGTTACTACCGTTATTTACCGTTTGAGTTGTTTCTACTAATGTTACTTTTCTTGTGTTTTTTATTGAAGGTACAGTATTTGTGGAGTTTTTACATCTACTGATGCTACGTCTACTTACATAGATAAGATGAATGTTTTCTCTAAGTGTCAGGGGGCCTCGCAAATGCAGTCGCGCCTTTTTCTATGCGTGGCCGCTACTGCGGCGGTGACGCGTACAGGCACTTGCAGATCCCCCAACTCCAACAAGAAGCAACATTACACTCATGCACTCGCATTGGCAGCGATTAATGACCAAATCCACGATTTGTGGCCGTGAACATGAACACACTTTTACTCGTGCGCAATAATGCTGAATTACCACATCCCCATCCCAAAAAATGTATATCAAAAGAAACATTTCGGTGTCGTAGACCCATATGGTTACAGCTTGCATGCATAATTGCTTGTGTGTACATTCATAGCGTAATGTACAGTTCTATGTATTGTATGTAACCTTGTGTGTGTATGCTTAAGTTAATTTTCATGGTGTCCGTGACAAGCTGAACACACAGCATATGTATCTTACAAATTTATTATGACAACCAATTCCTGACAACCAAAAATTGACTTTAATGGTATGATTTAGGATTTATTTTAGAATGTAAATATTCATGTGGCGTGCATGTGGCGCTTGCGTGGCCCCCGGGAGTTTATAAAGCCGTTTTCCACAAACCCTTTGAGCTCGCTGAAATGATGCGAAAAGTCGAGCAAAACAGTTGCGAGGAAATTGTTTTTGCTTAAGTTTTTGCAGTGGTTGAAATTGCGTGGCCTGTTTGCTCGCGGGATTCTGTATTGGCTCTCGCAAGCGACGGTGCAATGCGCGTTGTGGAAAACGGCGGCTGTGTGTACAGTATTTTGATGTTCCACTACTCATTGTCGCTTGGTTTATATCGAGTCCTTGTTGTGGCCATTGCCACTTACCGTTTGGGCACTGCAAACTAAAACAATGTAGAAGAATTGAAATGGAAGATTACATTTTTTATTTTCTCAAATTCAAAAGTAACATTAAGTCTAAACAAAGTGTACAAAAACTGAAAATCGTCAAAACACTCCAACTGCTGGGACTGCGAAGAAGTTTGGCTTCAAGTCCTCTAAAGCGACCATGTAAGGACTGTAGTTTGCGCCGTGAGAATGTCACTGGTTTACAAGAATGTGGTGTGCGAGGTTGTTTAGCGTGAAACCAAACATGAATAATTGAAAACGTGGCGTTAGAGTTTGGCCTGACGTGGATGCACAGGTTGTGAAAATGATTTGCCACCATCGGCATTAACAACAAACGCTGGCGAAATAACTGGGAAGTGTTCATGTTTACAGATGATGCAGTGGTTAATGCTGTGAATCTGGCTACTGGGGTTCGATTCCCAGCCATGGCCAACGTCTGTGGCCATGGAGTGATGTCTGACCTATCTGGTCTTGAGGCGTTGCACCAATGCGCATATTAACCAGCATGCTGTAATATGGTCACACAACTCCCTTGACCGACATGGCCTCATCCAGCAGTGGATTCACAGTGTATAGATAAAAATAAGAAATATAATTGGCTGATTTGGGACTATTGTCTTTCAATCATTTTAAGTATTTGAGGGTTTTTTTTCTGCGCAAAACGTTTACATAATCCCTGCATTCTGAACCTAGCTCCTGAATTTGGTCCCCAACTTACATCAGCGATGAGTGATGTTAGTCGGTCCTGGGTGCTTCTTTCCCTTCAACCAACACCGAGTACTCTATACTCTTTGGTTCTTTCGGTAAAGTCACATAGGTAGAAAATTTAAATAAAACCAAAAATAATATATAATATATCTATATCTACCTACGTGACTTTACCGAAGAACCAAAGAGTATGGATTCCTGCAGTCACGAAAGCTTCAAATCAAGATTCAACACCGAGTAGGCTGGTGAAGCAAGGTCCACCCCCATGACCAACACAGCATTGGTAGTATTGGTAGGTCTTCATCTAGCAGTGGGTTAACAAAGGCCTGTACATTATTATTTTGATGCTTTTTTAACTAACACATCGGACCGTTAAACCAAGCGGGTGCTATCATAGAGGGCGCTCGTCTTGCTTCAACCTTGATCCCCCGTGACTTCAGTGTCTGCTTGCAGGGCCAGTCTGCCTCTTCAGATAATGAAGTCGCGTTGTACAACAGCTGCTGTTTGTGTGCGCAGCTTGTTTTTTTTAGTTGGAAATGCTCACTCGCTGATTGACTCATGCTGAAATTGGTGCCACCTATGGTAGCAAAACTTTAGTCATCGATTTATTCATATGGCTAATAAGAGTCAACTATTTGATAACCCGCTCATTTAAAATGTTTATTTCACAATTCACTCTTGTTGGCCACAAATAAATTGGAAGTCATGCTAATGCAGGTTGTACCAGAAATTAAGGAATATCTGTTCTGGGCTTGTATATTATAAATGCAGTCATCCTAGGTGAACATTTCTAAGTTAATTTGCTTTTCAAACTCGTGAGTGTTGCTTGAGAAATCCTGTGATATGCAGCAATGGGTGGCATTTAAGCATCTAATGATAAAGTAGTTAATTGATTGGAATCCATTCTTGCTTGCATCAAATTGTACACAAAACTTATTTTATCACTTAAACGACTTAAGCTAAATTATATGCTCATGTGACATTCAGGCTATTGGATCGAAAAAAAACTGTCTCCAAACGAGACGGAACAAGTCGGAACGAATACAATGAGATAACAATTATTAATTAAAACCACGAACCTGGATCATGACGATTAATTGGAATCGCTGGAGATGGTTGAATTGCTACTTGCCTTGTGGCAGTCTTGCGGTTTTCCGTAAGGGTCCTGATTCATACCGATATTAAATGATTAAAGCACATCGTCTTAGCAATTTTATGAATTTTTTGCCGATTAAAACATTGGCACACTTTTGCCAAAAATCTTAGCCAACAGGAGCATTCGACCATGTAATTTGAGCCTTTTTTATCACTTTCCAATTTGATTTTTTATTAGAATATGGTCAAAATTTGTGCTGTTTTGTGAGCGTTCAAAACGGTCGTCATGCTTATAGAGACTTTAAATTCCACTACAAATACAGCGTCGCATATCCGACCACATATCCACCCTTACCCATCCACACCCAGTGCAGTATTTAATGTAACGCATTTTATATAGGTGTTCACAGAGCCGGGCTTTTAAAGTATCCGCTAATGCCCCAGTCCCCAGCAAGTTGGATACGTTCTATTCTACGACCAACTGTTCTGTCGTTGGAGCGATGCGCCGCTTCTCGTTTGTTTGGAGCAGGGAGATGCTTCGATGTGAGACTTGCCACTTTGCAGGGAAGCCGGGTTCCAACGCGATTCCTCCTTTCCCACCTCACCAACCCCCTCTCCCTGCTGCGCTTGCGTTTTACGACACAGCCGCGCTCGACGTGGACACAGGAGCAGGAAGGGAGAGTCGGCGCCGCACCACCGCACGCAGCCGCCGCTCGTCTGCCTCTTACGCAAGCGAGGGGGGGGGGCACATACCGGCAGGTGGCGCGGCGACCGAACAGCGTTTCTCATGCAGGAGCCGAGCGGAGAAAGGGCTTCCTTCGCTGCAGCCCTGACGTCTGACGCAAGATCATGTGCTTTCTCGCGAGTTCCGTTGAGGCTCCCGGTGGTGCTTTGGCGATCTTAACGATGCCCTTTGAACTCCCTCGCCTCTTTGCCACCCCTGCATTCCCCTCCTCACCTATCCACCCATCACCTGTCAGGACGTAAAAGAAGACTGGCATATCGTGCGCAAAATGTTTGTAGGTGGTCTGAATATTGACACCGAAACCGACACGCTGACTTCCTACTTCTCCAAGTACGGCACGGTGGTGCATGCCGTGGTGAGTGTGTGTGTGCGCGTTCGTCATACAAATGTAGTTTAGATAATTATATACATTTGATCTCAAGATGCAGGAACGGTATGCATATGGCTATACTCGCTGGATTACTGTACACTCTGGAAAGTAAAATGCCCCTATAACTTGTACCCGGTATCATAATATAATTTGGTTATAAGGTGCACACCCCAACTTTTGCTTTCAAATCCATGGGCAATGATATAGTAATGGAAAAATAGTATTTTATAATTCAGAAAATATTGATCTTGATTTGAAGCTTATTGAATATTGTTCATGATATAGATAAGTTAGATCCTATGGGCAGCAGAAGAGAGTGAGCGACCTTCCACTGAGCGATGGTTGGTTGGGGGCTTTAACAAATAGCCCCGAGTTCACATTCAAATCCACCACCACAGCACTCGCCTCTCAACAGATGTCATACTTCTGAAAATGAAGTGAATATTCATATATTAGCTGTATGAAGAAATGTGTAAGGTGAATTAAACGCTGAATTATTTGGCATTTACATTTAAGTTGCCAAAGGTTTGCTATATCATGTGGTACTGACGAGATAACCTGGCATAATTAGACGTGTTATAATGAAAACTGGTGAGGTGATGATCTTAAATTTAGACGGATGAGAAAGTACTCATGCATAGCTTCTTCTCATGATTTACATTTATGCGCTCATTGATGATGCATTATATAGTTTGCATCGTTATACATTACTGACTATTAATTCGAATGATATGCCAATACTGCATTGAGGTTATCGCTGCAAACAATAGCCGTGTACAAACAAGGCCAAATGAGATGGTAAAAACGAGATGAAAAGTAATTGATTCTGTAATCTACTCATGGCCAATGAATTGTTACGATGCGTAGAATCGGTGAATTGTTAAATGCCTGGTAGCAATATGAGAGGAAGGTTATGAGTGACACCGTGAGTAGCTCATCCAATAGCTTTGCCCCCATGGTTCTGGTTGCTACCTCTCCCCTCCTCCTTGATGCCTCTCCCTTAACTCTGCCCTTCTCCCCGCCTCCCCTTGGGCCTTGTTGTGATCAGGTTCTGAAAGACGCACGCACGAACAAGTCACGCAAATGTGGCTTTGTGACGTACTCGAGCGTGGAGGAGGTGGACGAGGCTATGAGCAACAGGCCGCACATGATCGACGGAGTCGTGGTGGATGCCAAGCGTGCCATGAGTGCGCAGGTGCCTGCATAACTCGCTCTTATCTTTTTTGTTTAATTTGTCATTCCCCGCACCTCTGATTAGCATAGTAGGCTCTTACGTTGCAAAAGAAGTTCGACGTTTAGAATAGGACAGCAGACTTGCGTGTGTGCGTACGTTCTACACGTCTCATCAGCGAGCTCCTGCCAAAGGCAAGGAGGCTGCATTGGCTTCATGTTACCTGCATGCCCAGCCACCGCATGCCCAAGTAGCTTCTGTATGGCTGGATAGATTGGGCAAAATGGATGCAGCATGGGCTGGAGAAGAGATGGACTAATGCGGTATAGGAGGATGTGGAGCTGAGGGGACTTGTCACAAGCGCTGCCACGATCGTCCTCTGTGGATTAGGCTCGTGAAAGATGCTACTGGGCAATTGGTTGCAGTCACCACCCAGTAACTATGGAGAGAGGAGCAGCGATGCTCACAATGAGCGGCACGCCAAGTGGCACGGTGGGGGGGGGGGGGGCAAGTGTGTGCATCTGCCAGTCGTATTGGTCAGTTAACCCATAGCACTTGGATGTGTCTCTTACGCCCCCCCACCTGCCAGTACGGATTTTTTACAATTTATGCAAAAAAAGTATACTTGTTCTGGCATAAGCGCTATGGTGATGTCACCGTCACTTATTGGCCAATGGTGGCTGTTTGAATGTTCAGATCTGGCCACATGTGGCAGAGCTTTATAGGTAGTTGCTAATGGTGCTTGCCCTGACAGTCTGCACTACCATTGAGGGATCTTTGTGTTTGTACGAATGCCATGCCGAGTGTTGTTTGGAGTCCTCGTTTGTGTGTGTGCTGGCTGGTGTGTGCTGGCAAAAATGCAAGTGTGTGCTGATTGGACTCCATGCGTGTGTGCTGTCAGGTGTGTGCTGTCAGATGCGTGCTGACTGGATTGCAAGCGTGTGTGCTGGGTAGTGTTGGCCTCTTGACCCCTCGTGCACCAGCCTTCAGTCTCCACTACTATTGAGGGATCTTTGTCTGAATGCTATGCAGTGTTTTGCCCCCTAACCCCCCTCCCCCCGTCCCCCACCACTGTTCCTACAGAACATGCGCATGCCCGGCTCACAGGAGAAGGTGACCAAGATCTTTGTTGGCGGCCTGGGCCGCGAGATCACGAGCCCTCATCTGCGCGAGTACTTTGAGTCGTATGGCGCCGTGCTCGAGGCCTTCGTCATGAAGGACGCCAAGACCGGGAACTCCCGCGGTTTCGGGTTCGTGTCGTTTAACGACCACGACTGCGTCGACAAGTGCACCCGTGAGTCCCTGTGATGATGATGATGATGTTGAACCTCTCAGTTCTATAGCAATGAGTTCAATCTAGATTTAAAAGAGCATAGCTTCAGTGGCTTCCGTATACTCGAAGCAAGAGCATTTCAGATGGCCGCAGAAGCGCATCTGAAAGCAATTACCGCATTTGTGCGGCCACTGATGGATGCCTTTAAACATGTAACCTGACGCCATCCTCACGAATCAAGTGCACTAACATTTTAACGACTGCCGTTTCTTGTGCTCAGAGCAACGATACCACATGATCAATAACAAACAGGTGGAAGTCAAGAAGGTGTGGACCGAGCACCAGCAGAAGAAGATGGGCGGTGGTGAGTCGTCACCTCCGCACATGGTCACTCGCGCCGTCACCGTTCTCAGACACTTTTTTTTTGTCATTGATCTCTGCTTGCCCCGGTATAACATCGCCTCTCGGGAGTTTTTGGGAGGACGTGTGTTTGCCTTACTGCAACTCAGCTCCCAATGGCATTTTTCAGATATACGTTTAAACGTGTGTGTACGTTATATAAAGTTTGGCAAATGTCTGTACAGAGCTTGCTTTTGTCTATAACTTTGCTCTTGTAGACATCACAGCTTTAAGAAACGGATTAACTTTTTTCCTTGACTGTTCAACTCTTAAGGTCTTTGTTTTCCTCAACGTACACAGAACGAGCACCACCAATCACTTATCATGTAAAAGTTACCCCCGATTAGTACCGCACCTCCATTAGCATGGTTGGCTACGTACGGTGTGAAAGAAGTGCTTTTTGTTACGTACAAATGTCGCGCCACCCTCACCCGCTGGCATTGACCCGTGCCACGCCATGTGCCGTTGCAGGGCGCGATCGCCACGGCATGCCCTCTAACATGCCCCCACCCCACATGCTGGGCATGCAGGGCATGCAGGGCATGCAGGGCATGCAAGGCATGCAAGGCATGCAGGGCATGCAGGGCATGCAGGGCATGCAGGGCATGCAGGGCATGCAGGGCATGTCGGGCATGCAGGGCATGCAGGGCATGCAGGGCGTATCGGGCATGCCGGGAATGTTCGGCCCACCAGGCTTCCAGGGCATGCCCCCGCCCCGCATGCCCGGCATGTCGGCAATGCCAAGGGCACAGGGGATGAAAGGGCCACCAGGAATGTCAGGGATGCCACCGCCGCCGCTGCCGCCACCGAATATGCCGGGAATGCCTTCTGGCCCGGCTTTGCCGGGAGTGAACGGCATGCAGGCGCTGCAGGCTCTGCAGGTGCTGCAGGCCGTGCAGACGCTGCAGGGCCTCCTCATGCCCAACACGCAAGCGTCTGCCTCTGCCCTCGCTGCCGCCGCCGCGGCCATGCCAGCCATGAGCATCACCAACGCCATGGGCCTTGCCAACACGTTGGGAGCTGGGATGACCAACCCTGGTGCGGGGCCTAACTCTGCCGCGGGCAGCTCCTACGACCCGAAGATGATGGGGACCATGAGCGGTCACGGCCGCGATAGTTTCAACGGCGGCGGCAATAGCGGTGCGACGAGTAAGGGGGGCAATGAGCTCCCACGCATGCACAAACACGGGGTGGGTGGGGGGGTTTAGGGTTGTTTAACTATTACCTTGCAACACGCACATTACAAAAACACCCTCAATATAGCCTTGACAGACTGTAGGGGCAAGTGCTCCTAGCGAGTACATAGGCACCTATGAAGGCCAGCACTGCACATGACCGGGTGGGTTACCAGAACCAGCTAGCACACACCCTAGCACACACCCTAGCACACATACTTGCACTCCAGTCAGTACACACCAGCCAGGTTTACACAGCTGCACTCCAGTCAGCACATGGCCATCTAGACGCTTAACTCTGATGCCTCACCCCCATCCCATTTTAGGAAATGGGGCCGAGAACCCCTACAGCGGCAGCTACAACAACTACGGGGACATGAGCGCCTACGGAGGGGGCACAACCGAGCAGGGCTTCCTTGTGGGCAAGGTTGGCGGCGGCGGCGGCGGCAGCGGCGGCGTTCATGGCGCTTCGCGGCTCTACAGAAACATGCAGGGTGGGTAGCGCCCGCGCACATGTGCTCGTCATGGCTGAGTAGCTGGGCGCCACTGCCGAGATGTTAACTACCTTGCCTGCTATGCAGGAGGTCGTGGGTTCGATTCCGACCCCGATGCCTGTATGTTTGGAGTTTGCATGTGTTCTCTCTCCCTGTGGTCGCATCGATTTTTCTCCGGGTCTTCGAGTTTTCCCTCCATATTAGAAAGTTGTATTTAGAGTGGCTACAAGACATTTTCACGGGATAAGCCACGCCGTTGAGCTAGCGTTTGTGGTCAGATCGCTTATGAAAAAGAGCTACATAGCTCAGTGGGCCTTTCCTGGCAAAATTAAAGAATAGTTTAGATTATTTACGGTTTTGTGGCAAAATTTTCAGGTTCAACAGGACATGCAAATTCGTTACTAGTACAGCACACCGGTGTGTTGAAGAGCAACTCCACAACATTTACAATCTGAATACGATGTTTCGCCAGTACTGTAATTACTATTTGCATCATCAGGCGGACAGCCAGATTTATATTATGGATGATATTGGTCGCGAAAACCTACGTGTTAAACTGAGATATTGCGACGCCTGAGGTCGGAGCCTCAATTGTGGATGTCCAGATGGGCCTTGAGCCTGGCCCTGGGCCGCGTCCAATCCCAAGGAAGGGCCGTCTATGATCGCGTGCAGACTTCTGGTGCGTTCCGGCAACGTACAAGGCTTCACTGCCAAATAAATGTGAAACCTTACCCCCGCCCCCCTCTTATTCGTTACAGATGAGCGCGAGGATTGGCAGCCGAGCAGCTCCAACGAGCTGGCGCGCAGCGACGTGTGGTCACACTTCCAGCTACTGGGCACCGGCGTGCGCTGCTGCCTGTGCAGCGTGAAGCTGCAATACAAGGGAGACAGTCTGCCGGCGATGATATACCACCTGCAGAGCCGGCACCCGCAGGCCCTAGAAGGTTAGGGTCTTGGAGTTGCTTTTACGCCTGCTGCCTCGCTCGCATCTTAGGACAGAGCTGATTCTACACGGGCTTCGTGGTGAAAGGGAGGGGGGAGGGTCCCTTTAACCATTTCACATTCAATGTGTTTTTCAACTCTTAATTTATCCTGCAGCCAGCCACTATTTTAATCCTGTAAAAGCGTGACCATTTGATATTGGGTTAAAATTTGCAGAATGATAGGAGACTTAAGTGCAATATTTGTTGTTCCACATTTTCACACAAGATGCAGCAGACACATCCTGCATCTCACCTACAAAAAAACTACATTTGGTAACTGGAAATATCATCCTGCCACTGCCAGGTTCCCAAATTAGATGGGATCGCTTGTGAAGGGTTAACAGCAGTGTCCTGCCCTCCATGTGCCCCCCCCCCCATTCAGAGGTATCTCCTTGCTCTGACTGTTTTAGTCAGTTTTCTTCACTAATTTTCAGAATGGGGTCACTTTCTCCGATAAGACATCCGTGTGAGGGCCGCCACACATTTGAAACAATTGGGGTTTGACAGGACCATGTTGGGGTGTTTTCACATTTGTGTATTGTCGGGCTCCTCACTAAAGGCTACCAGCGGCCACCAGTGGCCCGCGGGCCCTTGCAATTAAAAACATTGCTCTATTGTGAAGCAATTGGGATTACAGCAGTAAGATCGCCCCCTGCTGAGAACCTGGCAGGACCCTCCTGGGAAAAAATCTTGAGACTCGGTGAGGTTTTCTTGGGAAAATGAGCATAATAGTAATAACTTTCATATAATAAATGTCTTGTAAAACCAGAGGACCTTGCAGAAACAGAAATTGTTGTACTGTGATTCTGTGGTTCTGCATCTACATAATTGTTCGTGTCTTTGAATAATTTGCAGACAAGCATTACTCGAAGAGGGAGTCGAGAGATGGAGACTGGGACAACCGGAGGGATGACCTGCGGTACTACTGAGGATCGACTGCTGTGTGGTTGTACAAAGAGTTGTTGCACTCAAATATAGCCACCCATGGCTATATTTGAGTGCAACAAGACAAAATCGGAACCGGAGTCACTAGCGACCGTCGAAGGGTAAACTGGTAGGCGTTATCTTCGGTGGCGAACCGTGTGCTTTGTGCCCGACCGCATTTGTTTATTAAGTAGTAGAAATTCGTGAAATGTTAAAGTGTAGGAGTTTCATACGTTCGTTCTTGGGGGTGTTCTTTTTGGGCATCGCTGTTTTGACATAGTCGCCGATCCTGCGTGCCTACACCCACTTGGGGGGAACAGTGACATTTTTGTTGAGATAAATATATTGTAACTTACAAAATTTACTTCCAATAGTTATGAACCCTGGTGGAGCCAGTTGAGGGTGGGGGGGGGTGGCACGTGCCCCCCCAATGATCCGATCGAAATTCCTAATTTCAATCGGATCATTGGGGTTTATTAGTAATAAATCGACATTTTGCGACCCCCACTTCCACTGTGTAGCAGGTTATTATGTGCCAGGGACTCTGAGATGATGGGACAATAGTCTTGGAGTCGATAATTGGCAATAAGTAACGGCAAAGTAGTTATAAGTGACAGAATTGTGCGCAGTTGCGTACACAGTACACGACTTCCCTGAAGGCATTCACCTTCAGCGAGCGCGATGCCGATCACACAACGCGGTTCGACTTCGACCCTCGATCGATGGCTGCGCCATTTCCGCAAACGCGTCGAATAAAAAGCTAGGGACAGTCCTTACTAACAACTCGTCTATCATTTTTCATTGGAGGGGTTGCCCCCCCCCCCCCTACCTGATAACCCTGGCTCTGCCATTGTTTATAAAGATTATTTTGCATACAAATTATGTAATGGGTGCATTAGGGTTAATGGTTACTAATATGAGAGTAATAAGTGTAATGATGTTGTTGATCATTTAAAATTGTTTGCTTTCCGAGCATTCTAACAATTTGTGTGGCGGCCTTTAAATGCATTCATACATTGACTTGGCCAGGTGGCTCGTGGGGCTAATGTTGTATGTCGTCACTTAGAGGTCCCAGCTCAAACCCATGTACCCACCCGCTTGCAATTGTAACCCGGGTTCTCAAGTCTCGAGAGTTGTTGGTCTCATCCCTGTCCCCGTTGTCTCCCACAACACCCATCGTTTAGCATGATTGGCTACATGTGGTGTGAAAGAAGGTCTACATACATAAGTTTAATTCTGCTTATTTCCAGCCCTTAGGAATGACTTATGGTGGTTCGACTGCAATGTAATGAACCTTTACATCCACAGCAGGGCAATGGATAGAGTGCAACAATGTCCCAAGTGTGGCTAAGGAATAATTGAGGTGAACCGAGAAGTTCTGTAATTTCATCTTCCAGATGCCGTAATCTAAGAGGGGGTAAAACACTTTCTGGTCTGTGCAAGAGTTTAAATTTCAAATGTATTCCTCCCATGATCTTCATCTCATGCCAGTAAGTCCAATTGGCATACAATTTAGAATGTTCCTTTTTGGTTTTTGTCGATGGAAACCACTGCAGCTTTAAGGCACGTTGAGGAATGACTGGAAGACAACACAAGTCGACTTTCATTTGTCTCTTAATTGATTGGTCTGCTTTAAGTAACTTTTAGACAGCTAATAGCTTTCTGTACGTATTCATTAACTGCTATTGTGTGTCCACTGCTGCATATGTCCACTGAAATGTCTACAGTGAATCGAGTGCCAGACAGATTTATTTGACAGTGCTTCTCGGTACAATCAATGCACATTAGCACCACATGGTAAAGTTAGAGTTTTGTGTGGTCTTTACCATGAACTGTACGTTACTTTAACTCCCTGTGGCGCAATGGGTTTTTCATGGTCCTGAAAATGTCTTAACTGAATTCTCCTCGCCTTCACCTTGAAAACGTGTGCTTGTGATGGAAGTCCAACTTGCGACACAACAACCTGCTTTAGTTTTCTCTGGGAGTGCTGGACCCTGATTCAAACCCATGGCTTCAGCCGGCCCTAGCTCGGTGCTCTGACAGTGAAATCAGTATCTCCGCTAGCAACCCACCTCACTCTGTACCTTTTAAACATCCTCCTGCTCTAAAAACTGGTTGACCTGTCTCGTATGCACGTGTAGGTGTGCATGTATTTCCACGTCGCGCTACAATCTGTGCTGCTCGCGATGTGCAAACGCCCAGTATAATTATTCAACTGTAATGTAATTTATCTCAGACGGATATCTTCAACTGGGTCTCAAGAATATATGCTGCAGGAAGGCGGTCATGCATTTGGTTATTCGGCCAAGATAAATTTTAACCGGATCTGTCTAGCCCACCCAAAGTCAGCGCTGCTCAAATTGAGTAGCTGGTGCGATGTACGCAGCGACGTTTATGTTGAGGTGGAGGGAGGGGCCCCCTGGCTCAGTCAGTGCCAAGCCAGCACCGCTGAGATCCTGGCTCCGAATGGAGGCAGCTGCCGTTGGTTAAACTTATTCCTTAAATTGTAGCGAGTTAATGGTCTCAGCCTCATCACCAATGACTGCGAAAATAAAAAGTTGTCAAAAGTGCAGTTATTCTCTTGACGTGGCAAACCCACAACATTTACAACTGAGTACACGTCAAGTGTAAACAGTGTACTCGATTGTAAATGTGGATTTGCTCTACTCAATACAACGGTGTGCTGAATTGGTAATAAATTGGCACGTTCTGTTCATGTGACACACCTTATTAATTGGCTGTGTCTGGTGGAGGTGGGTGTATGAAAACGTTTACGTTTTCGCGACGTCACCCATCATTATTTATGACGATGTCGGTCGCGAAAGCTTCCGTATTAAGTTTCTATAACTGGTTTGACTGCCATGCAACTGATCTCGTGGGAAGTTTGATCCCCCACCCCCACTACTGCGTAAAGGATAAAAAAATACCACTTAACATATATTTAACATTTTTTTTGTGCACAATCGCGCATGAAGTAATGTGGCGTGCCGCACTGCTCTGCAAAGTTTCCAAATTGTGTGGCTAATGACATTGCGACAATGGCTTTGGAGGAGCGAATGTTGGCGTGCACGATGCTGAACCACGCCACGGCGGCGTGCAGCGTTCCAAAATGAGTTTGTGCTTCTTGAACGCGGTAGCCCTGATAGCCGTTGCTTTAAACGGGAGATCTTAGGCTTTTTTTATTACATTAAAATAAACTCATCCTTTTCTAGTCGTCCATCTGTGCCTGACTCCCAATTTCTCCGAGTTGTGTGTATGTACGTTCGACTTCTTTTGCACCGTACATCGTCAACCGTGCTAATCAAGAGGTATGGGGGAAGGACCACAAATTAAACACAAGCAGTTCAAAAGACGATGTTGTCCTCAAGATAGTGGCTCATTTGTAGCCAGCACTTTGTGTATAATGAGTTCAACCTAAAATGTGTTCGTTTGGGAACCGGAAGCCAATCCAGCTCTGCAAGCACTGGACGGACATGGTCGGATCTTGCAGTACCCGTCACGTCGAGCCTTGTCGATACTCCACTGCACGCCACCATGTTGGCCGTTTCGAGCTCGTCAAGGTTTGCTTTCCAAGACGAGGTCTGCGTCTTGACATTAGCTCAAAGATGTCCGAACAATGCCTTGCACCCACCCACCTACAGCTTCCCGTTCGATGCCGTAGCTGGTTGAACCAGAGCTGGGGACTGGGAGAGTCATGATTTTGCCCTGTCGGTCATGGGGGTTGTATGACCATACTTCACCACATTGGTCAATAGCACTGTCTTCAAAGGGAAACGGGTGATATTTTGGGAAATGGCCCTTTTTCATGAGCTATGAAGGCCCACGTGGTGGTCCGTTAAGGGCAGTCCAGAAACATTGTACTATACTGTTATGCTCCCGCGTCTCCCCGTGTTTACCAACTTGCACTGACCAGCATGGTGAAGTATGGTCACTTTTTGTTTATTTAATCGAACACCATGGATGGAGAGTTAATTACGGTCTGAGATTGTATGATGGACTTATTTGCACTGTATGTAGCCAACTGTGCTAATCGGATGTCTACACTTTGCTGCGCGGACAAAAGTAGTTTGTAAAACGGACGCCAAGTTCCCTGCATACTTTGTGAACACTTTGCCCAGCTGATGTAGCATGTAGTGGTAACGCGGAAGCGATGCTAACTCGGAAGCCTTCCGCAGATGCTACGAAGCGCACGGTTTTGTCGTGGGAGGGTATTTTGTAAGTAAATGCCACGGTCTTGCTCTCTGTGCTCTGTTGCCCAAAATAATAACTCTTCGTTAAGACGAGTCCACACCCGTGTTGCAGAAACGTGCAGACAAATCTCCATTTGCCCCTTCTGTGCGGGATCGTGTTGTCTCCTCGCACGTGTGAGCTTTCTCCAGGTTCTCCGGTTGCCTGCCACGTGTATAAACTCTCATTAAATGGATGAAAACATCTTAATAAGTGGACTAAAAAGGTCTTGGTATCACCGGCTCATTGCCTGGATCACCTGTGGTTGGGGACCACGGTGAGAGATGTTAACTACCTTGCCTCGTATACAGGAGGTTGTGGGTTTGATCCCGACCCTGACGCCTGCTGCTGTATATTTGGAGTTTGCGTGTCTCTCTCCCCGTGATTGCGTGGATTTTTCTCCGGGTCCTTCGGTTTTTCCCTCCACATTTAGAATCATCAATACGCGTTTAGAGTATTTGGTCGCGATACATTTCCACGTGATAAGCCGCTTCATTAAGCTATCATTTGTGGCCAGGTCGCTTCTGAAAAATAACTTCATAGCTCAGTGGATTTTACGTGGTAAAATAAAAAAAAATAGTGTCGTTTCAATTTACCTAGCGATTGTGAGATCCAATTTGCATGAACGACGATATAAAATACCAAACATTTGGAATACAAAGTACGAGGTTTTAAAGTGACAATGAGATGAGCGAAGTCACTGTTTGAGAACACGACTCTCAATACATTGCCTTAGTTCTTTTAAAAACAACTTTTATTTTGTTTCATTTTTAAATAGAAAAAAACAAATGTGTTAATTATTCAACGGGTTAATTCTCAAAAATCATACTGACGGGGCCATTAGTGAATACAGTCGGGCAGTGGCTCTGGACCTTGTTTCGCTACTGCTGTACTCGTTGAATTTTGTTTCAACCGAGTAACCCCCTCGCCTGTCCCAACGTGGTTCTGAGAAATAAAAATATGAATATTGAACATCAATATTTTAACCAATTCTCCATTGTGAGGTATTCCTAACTAGTTAAGTAACAACAAGCGGTCAAGAACCACCGCAGTCGACGATAGACGTGGGTTAAGACAAATCTTGTTTACATGCTCGAGGTTCCGTTCGCATGAAGCCAGGCCTTTAACCCAGGCGGTCTGTCGTGCAACTGTGTTGCGTGCAACCCGAATATCCTTGTGACGACGTTACGCCCGTCGCTGATTTGCAGAGGGTTCGCGGTTGGAAACTCGAGCCGCTCTGGTTATCACTGGCGGCTGTGCGTATTAACCGGTGGGAAAAAATACAACGCACCGCATGCTCCACAGTGGATGTGAAGTATCCCGTGACGTTCGAGACGAGCACTGGATAGGCTCGTCGTGTGCCGGCGTCGCGGTCCAAATTTGCCATATTTCGAAAAATTAAGCCGCAATTGACTGAGTTGGGGCTTGCACGCAGCAACATCGCCCCTTGCTGTGAACTCACTTGCAGACCGTGTCCGTGATAGCGCCTTCATTGCCTTGCGCTCTAAGAATGGCGCGCACACCAAGTATCCTGCTTGTGTTTAGTTAGTTGTCCTTCTCCCGCACCTCTGATTAGCACGGTTGGCTACGTACGTTGCGAAATAAGTGCAACATACATACGTACTAAAGTATCGGTGGTACGCATGTTGAACCTCTTTCGCACCGTGTGTAGCCAACCATGCTAATCGTGCTTAATCGTTGTACGTATGGATGTCTACTCTCACGCGTCAATCCGCTAAGAAATTTGTAGTGACGCATTTCATCACGTGACAGCACAGTTGCGAAAAATGTTTGGTCGAATTTCGATTTAAAACTTTCGTGACTGCAGGGATTCATATTCTTGGTTCTTTCGGTAAAGCCACGTAGAAGGTAACCAATTAAATAATACGGATTAAACAATACAATTCTCACGACGTTTCGATTGCAACACAAGCAATCATCATCAGGTGTGAAAACCACAGCAATAAATCTTTGAAAAAATTGGCGTTTTTTTCTCAACGTTAGTACCACGGACAGCGACTAAGCGGTTGTTCAGACGGACGAGTCCATCTATGCTCGGAACGCGAGGAGGGGGGAGAGAAGGAGAATGGAATGCGGTCTGAAAGTCACCGTAAGCATGAACAAAATCAAGACCCGAAATGGTTTATCACATCATTCCAATGATTGCTAAGCCAGAATCCATCTTCTTGTTTGAAATTGTCTCCACCATAGAGCCCAATGCATCTCCGACCAGGAACACATTGCCAGTGAACTCAAGCACGTACACCAAGCTCTCAAGGCTAATGGTTACTTCGACTACACAATCCGCAAAGCCATCACTTCAACCATGAAGAAGGACCCTCTTGAGGAGCCATTAAAAACCATCACCTTACCCTACATTGCGGGGGTCACAAAAAATATCTCCAAAATCCTGAATAAACACAAGATCCAGGTACGATTCAACACAGTACATAAAATCCGTGATCTGGTCCCGTCTGTAAAATATGTGATTCCAGACATACAGTACCCTGGCGTCTACAAACTAAGTTGCCTCTGTGGTAGCAGTTACATTGGAGAAACCAAACGACATGTCTCGGACCGAATCCGTGAACACAAAGCAGACCTAAAACAAGGTAGGACTAAACCTTAGCCGTGGCAGATCACTTATAATTCAGTGGGCTCACATGACATTGACTTCTCCAAGACAGAGGTTCTCTGCAAGCCATCCGGCTACCATGAGAGATTCGTTCATGAGGCTATACACATATACAAACAGAAAATTTGAACCGAGAAGATGGATTCTGACTTAGCAATCGTTGGAAGGATGTGATAAACCATTTCGGGTCTTGATTGATTTCGTTCACGCTTACGGTGACTTTCCGACCGCATTCCATTCTTCTCTCCCCCCTCCTCCGTTCCGAGCATAGATGGACTCGTCCGTCTGAACAACCGCTTAGTCGCTGTTAGTGGTGCTAACGTTAAGAAAAAAACGTCACTTTTTTCAAAGATTTATTGCTGTGGTTTTCACACCTGATGATGATTGCTCGTGTTGCAATCGAAACGTCGTGAGAATTGTATTGTTTTATTTTTATTATTTCCCTTCTACGTGACTTTACCGAAATAACCAAGAATATGATTGGTTGTTCACAAATCCTGAACGCGGCCGTTTAACTTCCCTGTTGCGCAACTACTTGCTCAGCTGCGGGCAAATCAGTTGCGGGCAATTTTAAATTGCGCGATTTCTGGAAGCGATTTTTGTTGAGTATCCAAAAGCTCCGAGTGTGGACTCGGCTTAACGCACAATAATTATATTGGGCCACAGGGCCTCTACGAAGTACATACATAGGCCATTTACTTATAAAATACCCTCCCACTACAAAACCGTGCACTGCATAGAATCTGCATAAGGCTTTTTAGTTTGCATCGCAGACGTGTCACCGCTGCGTGCTACGTCCGCTGGGCAAAGTGTTCGCTAAAAATATATGCGCAGGAAACTTGGTGTTTGTTTTATAGACGAATTGCTTTCGTCGGAGCAGTTATTACAAAAGTCATCGTTCAAATTATTAGGCGACGATGATGCAGTTGAGTATAATATTACATCGCAGGGTGGCGAGAGGCGGCGGTGGTGGCGGGTGCTGGCGGCTTGGGAAGGTCTTTATCCAGGACCTGATTGACCATGGCTGATGTTGACGGATGCGTTGAGTTGACCTTGTCTGGGAATTGAACCCATCCGTTCACCAAGTGAGCCGTATCCACGGCCTTTTGTGTCATTTGGAAAGTTTTTTTCTTCCGGTTAACAACAGTGATCATTATAATGGCCCAGTCGGTTGAGTCGGCCTCACTTGATGACCAATGTGATTAATGTCTGATTGGTCTGTTGGCAGACCTCCTGGTTTGTTATCGTGTCCACCGGAGGGTTCAAGATTCACTCTGCTCTGAAGACACACCTGTGTGTTGTCGAGGTGGAGTGGTGGATCAGTGGTTAGCGCGCTGCGCTAAGTTCCGATTTCCAACCGTGGCTAGCATCAGGAGTGAGCAGCAATTAATTTTAGCCAGAATAGTCCGGAACGGTTTTTTTCTGGGAATTGATTTGGCACATCGGATGTATCTCGCCGTATTTTTTTCCTTCACGGTATTGCGGTGATGTGTCAAAATATAGTGCACAAAAATACATAATTATTCACAGTCGTAACTTGGACTCTAGTGGTAGTCCCTTATGCCGACTTTCACTACTCATAGCCAGCCAAGCAGTGTTCCTGAAAAATGTCGAGTGATAAATGGAAGCCCTGGGTTGTGAGTGATGTCACAACTGGTCTTACTACCCTGTCGGCCTTTACCGACCTGTACTGACCAGCGTGGTGAAGTATGGTAAAAAAAAAACCCATGACTGACAAGCCGTGGGAAGGCCTTTGTCCATTCGTGGATTGAGAATGATTGCTTTTATTCAGAATTTTTATTCCAGCTCCTCGTGTGGATCAAACCATTAATGTCTACGACAGAAAGTAGCAGCTAGCTCTCTATAGCCCTTTGTCATTCCGCGACTGGATGGGGCCGCCTTTTGCCCGTCTAAGCCATGGGGTTGTTGTTTCACCATACTTGACCACGTTGGTCAATGTGCGTTAATGACGTTGGGGGTGGCACGGGGTGGTAGGGCCAGTCAAGGTATGCTAGCCATGGCCATTAATCTAAACTACATTTGTGTGACCAGGTAAGGCCCACTGAGCTATGTGGCTCTCTTTGAGAAGCAACCTGGCCAGAAATGATAGCCCAATGAAGTGGCTCATCATCACGTGGACATTTATATCAGCCAAATACACATTTGGAGGGAAAAACCGGAGGAACCGGAGACAAATCCACGTGACCACAGGGAGAGAGACATGCAAACTCCAAATATACAGGCTTCGGGGTCGGAATCGAACCCACGACCTCCTGTAACCAGGCGAGACAGTTAACATCTCGCCACCGCGACTGTTTGCTCCCAGAAGGCCGTGGGGCGATGGGTCGTGTAGATATTTATTTTTATGAACAGACGTGTAGGATAGACGTGTTGTATGCTTGTCGATATTTGAAAGATCTGTTCGTGCGACTTCAAAAATGTTGGGCCCAACTCCACCATTTCTTCCACCACCATCTCCCCCATCACCTCCACCAGGTCACTGTTACACTTTGATCCTCAACACTGAGGTCCACCATCGCTGACGTGCTCAGGAGCAGTGAGTTGAAACACGCCAGAGAGAGAGAGTCACGGGAAGAGAAGCACGTGGACTAAATACATCACGTTGACAGATAAAAGTTAAACGGGCTTGGGCTGATGGAAAGATGATGTGCGATGATGAAGAATAATAGTCGGAAGTGGCAGCCACAGGAGGAGGGAAACACGCGATAACACGCCCGCAGCAGAGATGGAGTGATGAATGGGCTTGTGCGGAGGAGCAAATGGTTTGTTGCATCGACCGCGGGGTCATGAGTGATGGTGACAGATGGAGGAGGCCTCATCCAGCAGTGGATGTGGATAGATCATGGCTGATGACGATTAGTGACGACTCGAAGTCAATGTGCACGTGAACCACCAAACCAAACAAAATTCGGCATCACAGCTGCTGCCCCGGCACTCAAAACTCCACCTCCCCACGGGGCTGGAATCCACCTTGGCTGTCCTGGTTTTCCCAGGAACCCCGTTCTGGGAAATTCCCCCAATTCTTCCAGGGATGTGAAATTGGGAGTCCCGCTTCCCATCTGTAGCGCAACCATCCACCCACCACTCGACAAGACGCACTTACCTGGGCGATGGTTCTCGGAACTCTTGAGATATTCTTGCCATGTTCGCTAAAGGTTACAAGGCACAAGGTGCAGCCCTGAAATTCCTTGCCGAGACCCCTGCTGGCAGCAGGGACTCTACTAGAAGGAGCTCGAGAGTCCCCTGCAGAGGATATTTGGTCTACTTGTTCCACGTTAACCAGACGTCTTGAAAGAGGTGGGAGTACCCACACTTTACCCCCACCGAGCGCGACCTTCCAATCGACTGCCTGTGGTGACCGCTGTGTAGACTGCCGCGTGGACAGAGGCTGGGGATTTCCAACACTTGCCACGTTGTTTTAACCGCCACACCTGGAGGGACGGGATCGACCCGGCGATCTTCGGACCGCTGGTCCGGTGGCGCGCCGCTGACCGTCACGACTGCCGTGGCGGCATCCAAATAACTCCTCCGCCGTGGCTTGGGAAGCCAGCCATTGCTTATCTCGTCAGGCGGAGGCGACAACGCCACCCACAACCTCAGCGCCCGCTCGCTTGGCCGTCGCCGTCGCCGGTGCCGCCGCCCCCCCCACTGGGCACGAGGCACACGGCGCCATCGCTCGTGTGCCGCAGGCAGAACCGCTCGGGCGGGTAGGGCCTGCCGCTCTCGTCGCGCAGCGCCGCGAACACCTGCGCTCGGAGCGCTGCCAGCCGGCGCTCGGCCGCCGCCACCCCCTCCTCGATGTCCCTCCTCTCGGCGAGCAGCGCCTCCCGGCGTCCCTGCAGGCGCGCCAACTCGCGCTCGAGGCCCGTGAGGCCGTCCAGCTTGCGCTTGCGGCAGTTCTGCGCCGCCACCTTGTTCTTGCCGCGCCGGCGGATGTCGCGCACGAGCGCCAGCTGCGGCTCGGTGAGGCGGTGGCGCGCCAGCAGCTCGTTGAAGTCGTCCACGGCCATGTTGACGATCTGCGACACGCCGATCGGGATGCGCATGGCGGCCGCGCGGCGCTCGTCGCGGCTCAGCCGGGCGTCCGCGCCCGACGGCAGCAGGCGGAGGGACGACGCCGCGCCGCCGCGCCGCGCCGCCGCCGGCGGCAGGGGATCCAGGTGGAGGCGGTCGGGCCCGGTGGTGGCCGCGGTGGCGGCGGCGCCGCCCGGCGGCAACGGCCCTGCGACCCTCGTCAATCCCGCTGCTCCGCAAACTCCGCCGCCTTCGCTCGCCGCTATGCAGACCCCACCAGCGCTGCCGCTGAGGTCCACCAGGGCTGACGCGCCGAGGAAGGAGATGTAGTCCGGGGTGGTGCTGGGCTCGCCCCTGTGCACGTCGTGCTGCTGGTGCTGCTGGTGGTGATGGTCCAGGTACATCATCTCACACGGCATCTGCTCCCCTCCGCCGCACTCGCCGTCAGCGCTCGCCTCGTAGCCCAGGGTCCTGAAGCTCTCGTACGTCTCTTTGCTGCCATCGCCACTGCCGCTACTGCTATTGCTGCTGCTGCCGCCGCCGTAGCAGCCCAGGTGGTCTGCGTAGGGCAGCAGCACGGCCGCTGAGTCGGGGTACAGCCCCGTGCCTCGGCTGAGACACCGGTGAGCGCACGGCTGCTCGCGCGACTCACCACCACCTCCACAGCCAGCGACACCAACGCCATCTGCGCCACCGCCACCGCACACCCCGAAGCTCCCGAACGTCGCTCCCGGTGGCCCCACGGGCAGAGGCTGGTAGCTGCCGCCGCTGCCGGCAGCTGGGGAGGCGGCGGCAGAGGAGGGTGGTGGCAGCGGATGCAGTGACGGAGCGCCGGCGTGGCGCGGCACGCATTGCGCCGAACCGAAGTAGCTGATCTCCTTGTAGCCGGCGCCGCTGGAGGCGGAGGTCGCCGCGTACTCCAGCTTGGCCCGGGCAAAGCCCTGGGGCTCGGGCCTGAGCGGCGGTGGCGGCGCGGAGCCTGCCGAGAAAGCGGCGCAGAAGCCTGTGGAGGCGCCGGTGCCGCCCGTGGCGGTGGTGCCACCGCCGCCTGGGTAGAAGCTCTGGCTGGGCAGCCGGGCGCGCTGCTGGCAGAAGCCATCGACGAGATCCGGCGACTCGCTGTACAAGGAGGCGTCGGCGGCTCCTGGCGGCGCCTGCTGCTGATGCTGCTGCTGATGATGGTGCTGTTGCTGCTGCTGGTGCTGATGATGGTGCTGTGCGGGTGCAGTCACGTCGAGTGCCTGAGACGGGGATTACAGTGAAGTCACGACTTGAATTCGATACAAAGGTGGAATGAGTAGTGCCTGCATGTGTGCCGAGTGTAAGCCGAAGATAATGTTGATGGGTAGCACGAAATGATGATGACAATTCTAATTACATCAATTCTGATTATTGTGATGATGATAATGAAGAGGATGATTGTAGTGATAGTGGTGGTGATGGTAGTGGTGAAGATTATCAGCAAAGATTCGTTCATGAAGCCATCCAAATATATAAACACAGACACAATTTCAACCGAGAAGATGGGTACAAACTGAGTAATCATTGGAAGGACATTATTAACCAGTTTAAGTCATAACTGGCTGTGATGTTTCTTTCCTACCTGCCGATGTTAGCAGTTATTTTAGACTCTCTCTTACATTACCAGATTAAATGTCTTTACATTAACAGGCTAAATGTCTCACTGTCTAACACAGCCACCTTTGCTCGTTGGCCTCGATGTGTTGTTGGTTTTCTGTTTTCCTACATTGACATGCTACTCTCTCACAATACAATGGCCACCTCCACAGCTTCGTAGTCGTGGAGGTAGGCCAGCTCTCGGATCTTACATTTACATTCAAATTTCATCTCTAGCCCCGCCCATTTCGCGTATGGCCCTTGGGCTACACCTATCTCAAACCTTTATAAACATCCTGCCTCAGCATCTCTCCCGCCATATTTTTTCACCTGATGACAATCGCTTGTGTTGCGATCGAAACGTGATATTTTTATTATTTATTATTGTTCTATTTACGTGGCTTTACCGAAAGACGCAATGAATATTTTTATTTTATTTTACCAGGTAAATCCCACAAAGCTATGTAGCTCCTTTTTCAGAAACAACCTGGCCACAGATGATAGCTCAACGAAGTGGCTTATCATGTGGACATGCATCAGCCAAATGCTCTAAACGCATGTTGATTCTAAATGTGGAGGGAAAAACCGGAGTACCTGGAGAAAAATCCACGCGACCACGGGGTTAGAGACATGCAAATTCCAAATATATAGCAGGCATCAGGGTCGTGATCGAACCCACGACCTCATGTATACCAGGAGAGTTAGTTAACATCTCGCCACAATGGCGCCCATCTGTATGTGTTCCACCAACCCCTTCACTGCTGTCTTCACAGCGCTGGGTCACACACGATGTGCATATCCACCACCAGTAATGTTGATGACGAGGATAATGATGACATGATCATAGTGATGATGATTTGATATCAACCTGCATCTCGGGCATTTCCAAAATCTCTTGCCAGCCCTGCTCCAGATCTCTGGCCAGCATGTGTTCGGAGAGAGGACACGCCACTTGAAACGGAGTCACGCCTTGCTGCTGATGCTGCTGGTGATGCTGCTGCTGCTGTTGGTGGTGGTGATGATGCAGCTGGTGCTGATATCGGCTGGAGTCCCTCGTCGGTGCCATTGCGTTGGCGCCAGACATCTGCACAACGGGCACCACACGTTAGTGCCCACGTGTGTACGTTGTGTTTAACTAAAGAACTTGTGCCATGGGCGGCGAATTACTTGGTGCACTGATTAATGGGATGTAATAATATGTGTAAGCTTCGAGGGACTGTCTTTCTATCTACGTGACTTTACCGAAAGAACCGAAGAGTATGGCTTCGAGGAACTGTCTAGAATTCGCTCCAGTGGGGGGACCTTCCATCGGCATACTCTCTCATAAAGCCCTCTGTGTGCTACTGTGGTCATCCAGAACAGGCCGTACAACATACCACGACGCAATGCCCGATCCACAATTACCAAGGAGACATTACGGCGATGATGATACACTCTGCTTGCTCCTGACGCGGCTATCCTGCTTGACCACCTGAATGTGAAACTGTAGTCGTTGCTCTGCATCTAAAACCACTCCCCCTGTCGAATGAAATTACCGTATACAGTACTGCATTGTACTGCATGGTATTGTACTGCATGGTATTGTACTGCATGGTACATGATTGCATTCCATGGTATGGCATGGTACTACATTGCCCTGGGTGGTATTGTACTGCATCGCACTGTGTGACACTGCGTGGTATTTGTACTGCATGGTATTTCATTGCGTGGCATTTCACAGCGTGGCACGGAACGGTACTGCATGGCACTGCGCTGCAGTGAATGGCACAACGTGGTACTACTGCATGGCACAGAGTGGCACTGCATGTCAGCATGGCGCTGCGTGGCGTTGCATGGTACTGCATGGCACTGTGTCACTTCCTGGTACTGCGTGGTACTTCGTGGTATTTCGTGGTACTGTGTGGTATTTAGTAGTACTGCATGGTATTTCGTGGTATTTCATGGTACTGCGTGGTACTGCGTGGTATTCCGTGGTACTGCGTGGCACTGCGTGGTATTTCATGGTACTGCGTGGTACTGCGTGGCACTGCGTGGTACTGCGTGGCACTTCGTGGTATTTCGTGGCACTGCGTGGTACTGCGTGGTATTCCGTGGTACTGCGTGGCACTGTGTGATACTGCGTGGCACTTCGTGGCACTGCGTGGCACTGTGTGATACTGCGTGGCACTGCGTGGCACTGTGTGGTACTGCGTGGCACTGCGTGATACTGCGTCCCCTGTGGGGCCCTCGCGCACCGAGCCCGTGCCTCCGCCGCTCGTGTCCACGAAGGGGAAGAGCTCCTCCAGCAGCTGCATGCAGTCCTCCAGGCACAGCGGCCGCGGGGTGGCGCTGCGGGGCCTCTGCGAGGGCGGGTGGGATGGGGGGGAGGCGTGAGAGTGCATCGGGACCTCTGGGTCGTCGTCGGCTGTCAGATCTGCGTGTGTCGAGGTGACGCGGTGCGGATTTGCGGGGAGCGGTGGTGTAGCGGTTAGCGCGCTGCACTACGAACCCGGCGACCCGAGTTCGATTCCTGCTCACGGCCAACACCTTTGACGATTATCTCTCCCGGTCCTGGGCCTCCCCCTCGGTCGACTCAGCCTCAAATGAGTATCTGGTGCGGTGTGTAGTAAACATCGCTACTGGAGAGACAAAGGCGGCCGGGCGTGGTGCTGGCCACCCACCCCCTCGTGTGCCCTTACTGGCCTCCATAGGTGCTACTCGCTAAAAGCACTTGCCCCTACAGTCTGTTACAGGCTACACAGGGCGTGGGTATGAATGTGTGTTTGTGTGCGAACATGAGATTGTGTCGATTCTATTTATCGTGGTAACAACAACATTTTTTTATTAATTATGGCGCTGTCACGTGGCTGTCCCGAGTCCGTATGGAGGGGTTTCGTTAATTAAACGAGGGCTGACAGCAGGGGGCTGTGACAATCGCGACACAGCTGGTAGCGCGTTCCCCGCGTCTTAATGCTGCATAGGTTCGCGGTTCTAACCCGGCGGCCCGCCCTGGATATTACCGCGGTATCAACCTTAAAGTGCTACTCTGGTAAGTCCTCACTTAACGCCTGGTGTTCACACTAGAACGCGTTTTGGCTGGAACACGGTTTTTCCGTTCGGGAACACTTTTCGTACAACGCGGAAGGCGCACCCCGTTATAACCGGTTTCTGAGCGGTCCACGATGGACTACTTTTTTGGGCTGAGCGGTAAAGTGATAAAGTACGCGGAATGATACAGTAACGTGGCCGTGTACCCTCAGTTATTCCTACACCGTATCTCGCCACACTTTATCACTATATTATTTACGGAGAAATAGTTTTTGCTGAACGCTTTTTTCGCGTTAAACGATGACTTTAATTATTTCACTGGACTACCACGGGCCGTCTGCTTCACGGTGGAAGTTAAAACGTGCCGTGATGTCATTTGCAAGAGTAATCCATCATGTGCCTGCGTCACGGGTCACACATTTGGAATAATTAAATGGATTACACGTGGCAACTTCGCCTCTTGTGCGCCGTGCCGCCGTCCTTCATAGGCGCTGCTCGCTTACAGCACTTGCCCCAACAGTCTGTTGAAGGCTACACGGTGGATATTTGTGGTGACGGAATCGCTCACGTAGTAGCATAGCGCTTGCTGCTGGCAGGGAAGGGATCTGCAGCTGAGAGCAGCCCTGACTGACAGCAGGCCACGTGACAGACCCGAGAGGGATCTCGGGTCGTGCTGGACGATTATTCGATTTCAAATCGAAATCGCAATTTGAACAAATGCGATTAGTAAATCGCAGAGCTGCGATTTGAAAAGTCCTATTACTTTCTTATTGGAATTGTTTTATTATTATAACTTTATTTATTTAACTTAACAATTGTTCTATGTTTGATTGTTCCAATCCAATTAAATGTTTTAATAAATACATGTAAGCAATTCATATATTTTAAGCTCTCATCCTTGCATTAGAATATATAGAGCAGTTCACATTTTGATGGTATCACGTGGTTCCATCAGAATAGTGAACTGAAGCTTGACTTAAAAAAATGTAATTGCAAATCAAATAGCAATATGTCAGAAAAATCGCAATTTGATATTTTCCCCAAATCGTTCAGCCCTAATCTAGGGGAAAGGTTACGCAAGGGGCACATCGGGAACCCGCTGGAAGGTTCCAGAAGGGGGCGTGGCCGGGGCGGAGCCAGGCCACGCCCCCCAGTATAAGAGGGGTCCCGGGAGGGGACCTCGGGGCTGTCGTTTGGAGTGGGATCCTCGTGGTCGTTGCTGCTGAAGATCCTCACCATCATCGCTGTCGTCTCGTCACCTTCGTCGCTGTCCTCGTCACTTGAGACATTGCGTTGCTGGACGGTGTTGGCCGTCTTAGTTCAGCGCCGTCAGACTCAGAGCGTTGTGTGTAGGCTAGCAACCTGAGTAGAGTTGCGCGTCTGCCTGAGCTGCTGCTCCCTGGGCCTGCCTGAGCTGCTGCTCCCCGGGTCTACCTGAGCTGCTGCTCCATGGGCCTGCCTGAGCTGTTGCTCCCCGGGTCTGTCTGAGCTGCTGCTCCCCGGGCCTGCCTGAGCTGCTGCTCCCTGGGTCTACCTGAGCTGCTACTCCCTGGGCCTGCCTGAGCTGTTGCTCCCCGGGTCTGCCTGAGCTGCTGCTCCATGGGCCTGCCTGAGCTGCTGCTCCCTGGGTCTGCCTGAGCTGCTGCTCCCTGGGTCTGCCTGAGCTGCTGCTCCATGGGCCTGCCTGAGCTGCTCCCTGGGTTTACCTGAGCTGCTACTCCCTGTGTCTACCTGAGCTGCTGCTCCCTGGGTCTACCTGAGCTACTGCTCCCTGTGTGTGCCTGAGCTGCTGCTCCCTGGGTCTGTCTGAGCTGCTGCTCCCTGGGTCTGCCTGAGCTGCTCCCACGGCTCCCGTCACGCAGCGATCGCGGCGCCACCGTCGAGAAGCCGGAGCGGCACCTGGGAGCCGTGGACGCCCTCCCATTTACAAGACACCGGGCATCTGGGTACAAGCTAGTGCTAGCTCCACACCTGGATAATGCCACCACTCCACTCCACCACCGACTTCCACTCGATCAACAACCACCTTCATTTGGACTGCATTGACATTCACCGAGAAACTGGACTAATTCGCCGTCCGCTTCACAGAGGCTCTGGTCGTATGTTCAATTACAACTACTCAACCCCAAACTCCATTCCATCCATCTGGTCCTGTTTGCGCCCAACAACTTACTTAATACGTCGTCACAACATACGACACGTGCACCTAACCAATCTCCGCCCCATCCCTCGGTCTTCTCAATTCACCACGAAGCAAAGTCACCTGAAACTGGCTTTGCTCAACACCCGCTCACTAAACAATAAAAGCCTCATTTTAAATTAATTCATTACTGCCAATAACCTGGATTTTCTCTGTATCACTGAAACTTGGCATAAACCTATGGACTATTTTGCACTCAACCAGACTACACCTACAGGATATACATACATGGACAAACCCCGATCTGAGGGGCGGGGAGGTGGTGTCGCTACAGTGTACAGAAAGGACATTAAAACATCCACCATCTCCATCCCTGCTGTTCAGTCCTTTGAACACATCATTTTCAAACTCTCTGGTCTCACTCCTCTGGTCACTACCATAATCTACCGACCCCCCAAACCAAATCCTTCCTTTCTCTCTGACTTTTTTGACTTTTTAACTCAGTTATCTGCCATCTCACCATCTGTTCTGCTCCTGGGAGATTTCAACATCCACATTGACACTGACTGTAAATTTGCTACTCAATTCCTGGAACTGCTACACTGCTTCAATTTCATCCAACATGTCAACTTTCCAACCCACAGCCATGGTCACATTTTGGTTCTGGTCTGCTCTACTGGTCTCACCATACCGCTCCTCGAGCCCCACAACCTCAACATCTCTGACCACCTGGCAATCACCATGAACATTGGTCTCCCCATTTCTACAACCAAGGACAAAAGGACAATTTCTTTCAGAAATCTTAAATCCATCTCTAGTCCTGCCCTTTCAGCCTCTCTTGCCAGCAAAATATCCTTCTCCCCCCCACCCGTGACTGACAACCCTTCCGACCTCACCAACTACTACAATGAAACACTTTCCACCAGTCTCGATCATCTGGCTCCCATCAAAACTAAAACTGTCTCATTCACTCACTCTGCTCCCTGGTACACTCCTATTCTGCACAAAATGAAATCCCGTAAGCGTCAGCTTGAAAGGCTCCATAAGAAAACTGGTTTAACTGTTCATCTACAAGCTTACACAGATTACCTTCAGCAGTATTAGGAAGCTCTTAACACTACCCGGTCCACCTACTAGTCACACCTCATACATTCTGGTTCTACCAACCCAAAGGCTCTTTTCTACACAGTAAATAAACTTCTCAAACCCAGTGACAATATCGTCAACTCATTCACAACTGATAAATGCAACACCTTTCTATCATTCTTTCAGACCAAAATTGACACCATTTACACCAACCTGTCCTCTTCTTCTGCTACCACTGTCTGCTCTGTCATTCCATCATTTGTTCCCCCCCCACCACACCTCACAGCCACTGTCTCAGTTCTCCCCAGTGTCGCCGGGGGAGCTGTCTAAAATATTGACAGGGATGAAAACACCAACATGTGTCCTGGACCCCATCCCACCTCATCAAAGACTGTTTACCGGCTATCTCCACACTCATCAAAAAAATCATTAACTCCTCTCTCAGCTCTGGCTCAATCCCACGTTCACTCAAACTGGCTGCTGTCACCCCCATTCTCAAAAAACCTGGACTTGACCCCAACATTATGTCAAACTTTCGGCCCATTTCCAATCTCCCCTTTCTGTCTAAGATACTGGAACGCACTGTCGCCAAACAACTCAAAACCCACCTCTCCTCAAATGACCTGTTCGAACCATTTCAATCTGGCTTCCGTTCACAACAAAGCACTGAAACAGCCCTCCTCAGGAGTTACCAACGACATCCTCCTCTCCACAGACTCTGGTTCCTCAGCATCCTCATCCTCCTGGACCTCACTTCAGCTTTTGACACTATCAACCACACCATTCTTCTCTCTCACCTCAAATCTTCCCTCAACATCACTGGCACCGCCCCCTCCTGGCTCCAATATTATCTCATCGACAGACAACAGTTCATCCACATCAACAACTGCACCTCCTCCACCGCTCCGTTGTCCCAAGGTGTCCCCCAGGGCTCGGTGCTTGGTCCTTTGCTCTTCATACTATACCTGCTTCCTCTTGGCAACGTCATTCGCCACTATGCTCTTAACTTTCACTGCTATGCCGATGATGTCCAGCTCTACATCTCCACCAAATCCATCACCTCCGCCACCCACTCCACTCTCTCTT